AGCCTGGCCATGTTAACTGCACGCATCCTTAGGAATGCTGACGTGACTGAGCATATGTGCGGCCTCCAAAATTAGCACGAACAATTTGCATGAAGATATCAGTGATGTCATGAGTACATTTCCGAGCACGTGGGTGAGACAAAAAAGGCGCAGAGAAGTTTGCGTTGTCTCCCTTAAATTAAACAAAGGTGGCCGTGAGCCGTGTTGCTGTTGGAGAGTCTGATATTGCATCCTGTCCTGCTGTGATTGTCCTGGCGCAGCTCAAGCCTGACTGCACTGTCCGTGTGTGTGTGTGTGTGTGTGTGTGTGTGTGTGTGTGTGTGTGTGTGTGTGTGTGTGTGTGTGTGTGTGTGTGTTCCTCAGAGAGAGACATAGGCAAAGAGAAGGCTTCAGCTACTTGTTTACTCAACAGTATCCAGAATGATAATGAATCGCGCACGCAGAAAGCCCCTGCTGGCTGATTCTATCCTCCAATCAAAAGTAGGGTATATTGTGTTCACATCTGGGTATCTTATGTGTTTTCCGTGCTCAACCAACCATTTTTTCAAACCTCCCCTAACAAACTGCTTCGAGCTGAACTGACCCAACACACCCATTGCCAACTGATTGGCCAGCCAAAATTCTCTCCTACGGTTAGGGGGAGCCTCCAATTGGTGGGTAGAATCAGCTAGCAGGTGCTTCCTGCATGCACGATTAATTATCATTCTGGATGCTGGGGCTAAACGTCTCCTCTGACTGTAACTCAGAGCTGCTGCTACAGCCGCGGCAGGGCGATGACAGTCTGCCGTGAGGAGCACACAGCAGTCTCAGTGAGTGAGAGAGAAAGAGCAGGAAGCAATATCAGAGTCTCCAAAAGCAACACTGCTCAGGCCGCTTTTGTTTACTAATTAAGGTGGATACTAATGGGCCATTCCCATCTGTACCGGGTCGGCCCGGGCCGGGTAGCGTAGGTTGTTTACATATCTGGGTGGCCTGGTAGTTTTCCGGGCCAACCAAGGCTCATTCTCAGCCCTCTTCTCGAGGGGGTCTGCTTCAGGCCGACCAGGGCTAACACACCCACTGCTGACAGCAAATTCACACCTTCCATTAGAGCAAGCCTCTGATTGGTGGGTAGAATCAGCCCACATGGGCTTAAGACAAGGATGTGTGGAATCAACCGGGCCAGGCTGGGGCCGACTGGGGCTACCCGGCCCGGGCCGACCCGGTACAGATGGGAATGGCCCACATGACTTCTCCACATGTCTTTTTCCCTGCCCACATGCTCAGACATTTCCGCATTCCCGAGAAGGCTGTGTGAACTAGGGTTGTCACGGTAACCGGTATAGCGGTATACCCCGGTAAAAAAGTTGACAATAAAAATAACCGTCCAGTTTTTAAAAAACTAAATTATCTCGGTGGGTTTACCGTGGCCGCGGTTTCAGCGCGGTGACCCTTACCAGCCACCGTCGCTTCAGCTGAAGTTCCCGCGGCGCGCACACGCACTTTTTAGTTTGCAACGGCACCAAAACTTTGAAGCTGAAATAATGGCCGAAGGAGGAGGCGGCAGCGCCCAGGACATCCATCAGCCCTCAAAGAAGACTAACTCGGAAGTATGGGCATATTTTGGATTTCTGAAAAATGCTGAGGGACAGTTAATAGAAGACGGCTATCCCGTTTGCAGAACGTGCAGGAAACAAGTGTCTGCAAAAGGCAGCAACACTTCGAATCTAATGGCACATCTGCATGACCATCACCCACATCTCTACAGCCAGTGCAAGGTAAGATAACATTAGCATTTTAGCTTAAATGCATGACGTGAGGACTTTTGGTTGACGGAGAATGCAATGAGTCACTATAGACTGCAGCCGCAGCGCCCTCTGCCAGCATTTAAACCGTGTCACGGACACCCTGTTGCTGGATGAAGCATCTTATTTGTTGATGATGAAGAGAAATATACAATTAGTTCCTTGTCATTGATTTGTTTACTTATTCAATGCAATTTATACTTGAACATTTGGATTTGATTACTTAGTGTAGTAGTTATTTTAGTAATTTGTTTAAAGTGGCTATTTATTTTATATACATATTTTTTAAGGTTGACTTGTACAGTGCTCAAGTCAAGTGTGGACTGGAGTTTTAGATTTTCATTTTGATAATGAAGAAAACAAGTATATGAGAAAACAAGTGGTGTTTCTTTGATTTGTTTAATTATTGTTTATGTTTTGAATGTTTGGATTTGTATAATTTAAACCTGCACTGACTACTGTAACATGTTCCAGAAAAAGAAGCTATTTGTTCCTTTACTTGTGAAAAGTTGCACTTTTGCTAAGGCTTTGTGTTATTTTAGGTTTAATAAACACTGTTAAACCTTTTCAAAACTATTTCAGTTTGTGTAGAACAGGACTATCAATGCTTTCTGAACATATGCAACACCGTTTAAAAAATACCGCGATAATACCGAAAACCGTGATAATTTTGGTCACAATAACCGTGAGGTTAAATTTTCATACCGTGACAACCCTAGTGTGAACAAAACCTGACCGTGAGCGACTGGCTTGATGTTACTGAGACCAGGCTGGACTGGACCATATGTGAATCCACCAACTGCAGCCCTATAAACCCCTTTAATGTTATTATTTACAACGCTGGAGGGTAAAAGAACCATCCGCAGCTGCTATCCAGACCTGTATTTTTGTGACTTAAGCTAAAAAAATAAAACCTAGAGATTTAGATATTACTACTTTAGATCATCTAAGCCAGGGGTGGGCAATCCTGGTCCTTGATGGCAACAATCCAGCAGTTTTTAGTTGTTTCTCTGCACACACACCTGGCATTAATCTGCTGGTGATTAACAGGCTGCTGCAGAGCCTGATGCGCTGCTGAACAGGTGATTCATTCAGGAATCATGTGTGTTAGAGCAGGTAAACAACTCAAATCTGCTGGATAGCGGCCCTCAAGGACCAGAAATGCCCAGCCCTGATCCAAGCTGAAGCAACAAAGGTGCAACAGGATCACTTCTGCGTTGTGTGTTAAAGGATCGCCGTGACACAGTTCGTCTCTTTGGAGACTAAAAGATTCTCTGATTATTCTGATAAGCTCAGTAAACAAATTTTAAAGAATCAAGCAATGTAAAACTCTAAAATTAATTCATAAAAGACAGGAATAAACAAGCACTTAACCCTATTTTAGCTATTGCTTTAAATCCAAAACTAAAACTCAGCTGTTGTATTTAGATTAATCATTAATATGTACAATCAAACCAAGCTGGTTAAAGGCAGCTCCTTGCTTCAAAAGGTGATTGCTATAGAACTATAAATATCTGTATCAGTTATTTGATTAGTCATTGGTTCATCCAACTAAAATAAAAATGAGCAAAACCAGGGTGGCAGTCTTGTGTTACAATTATATATCAAGCAACTATCACTGGCTGCCTGACATCTAGACTAAGGACAGCTAGACAGGCTTTGCTCCAGTGTTATAATACATTTTTCCAGGGAGAAACTTAAATCCATCCTGCTGTTTGCTCATATTCAGCACCCACTGATATAAAGTTGGCATGAGGACAAAGATAATAAATAACTGTGCAAAACCTCCTCCTGCGTGTTCACTACTGCTGCATAGCCCTCAGCATCTGCAGACCTTAAAAGTAAACAATAACAGGGGCATGTGAAGGCTGAAAAGAATACATGAAGATATATAAAATTAAGAAATGACAAATCAAGGAGATTTGGATCATGCATTTGCTTCACCATTCACTCCATCTGTACAATGTCACCGGGTTCACTCATGAAAATGTCTCTCTATTACTCCTGTAACCTATCCTGTACAGAATAAAGCCCTGCGTAATTCAGGCACGTTTCTAGTTATTACATCGTTACAAGATCTTCCATAACACTTGCTTTTCCTGCATAATGCAGTCACCTTCTGAGCAGCCCAAACCAAGTGCGTGCAAGCATTCCTGGCAATAAAATGTTTCTGCTTCTGATAAAGGGTGCAATAAAAACAAAAGACAGGTGGACTGCTGCAGTGTTGACTTCACCGTCGAACCCATAGAAATAGCGCACAGAATATAAAACCCGTGTGGGTGTTTGGGTCCATGAGTTATCAAGTAGATAATGTGAGTGATTACTTCAAAAGGAGCCCATCATCAAATGCAGAGAATGAATATTTTACATATGCATTGCAGCACGTTGATATTCACGTCGTAGATGATTCAATGTGTCACGCATAAGTTAAGCGTCAGTCACAGATAAGACGGGCAGAAAGGTAGCTTGCTGAGTGGCGTCCAATGTTACGCAATATCAACACACAAATCTGAGGAATGCGACCAGCGTCAGCGTATAAAAACAGCAATCAGCAGCCGCTGTTCGTCGCTTAAACGCGACAGAAAGGCAAACTCGGAAGAATTGATTTTCTCCTCCCTCTCTGTGTGTTCTGTGCTGTTAACCATAATTCCAGGCCGTAAAACTTACATGCGACATATATGAGAGGCAGGGCGGATGTCACCCACTGAACAAACATCTAATCGTGCAGTATGTGACTCTTATGACCCTTGAGGACAAGCGAACTTCCCAAACAGACAACCGAAGCAGATCTTTGCTTGACGTGAAGCTACAATGGACAAAAACAAAACCGAGGGAGTGGCTCTGCTTGCAACGATAGTTGCATAAAGCGGATTAGCAAGCTAACATCTCTAGCTAAGACTGGTAGAGCAATCTGTGTCCATTATTTACATCTAACTACTCTCCATAGCGCTCCACCGCTCACATATTTATATCAATCACGACTGCGTCGCGTTGACATTAACATCAAACTTACCTAGCGAGGGAAACTAACATTTTAGTCGAAGCCACAGAATATTCAAGTTGACATTAACTTTCTGTTAGCTGGCAAATAGCAATACATCTGACGGGCTAGGTTTGGAGGCTAAAATGTGACAAATGCCAGTCGTGGAACAAATTCGCCAGTCGCCAGAAAACGTTAGCTAAAAATTAAAAAATTAAAAAAGCTCAAGAACTCACCTAGCAAAAAGGAATCCGCGCAGGTTGAGAAGAGGATGAATAATCCTATCACCCTGACCACAGCGGCGTAAGGTGGCTAAAAAAAATCACAGACCAGCAATGCAGACAAGCAATGGAGGAATCAAAGCGTGAATTTAATAGCCGGTGTGTTAGCAATGCTAATTTGCTAATCTTACTGCATAAATGCCCTGCCGTAAGTTCAGCCCACTAATAAATCTTTACTAATTGTCCACATTAGCTACATTTGTCTCCTGCCATTCAGGCTGTATTGCGGCAGGAATAATTATTTAAATAATCGTGAGGCTGGCTAAGCTGGCTAACGCCTGCCAACTGTCAGCGCGAGCTGGCAAAAACAACCAAGTCGTTGGCTGCTAACGTCAGGCAGCAAAGTTTCTCTCTTTCCATAGACAGTTCCCTAAAAATGGCGGCGATGAGAATCTCCTCCCCTCCACTGAGAAAGGAGGCAAAATAATCTCAAAAACAGTCTTGCTGCAAAGCTTTGCCCTTGTCAAAAACAATAGGCGTGCGGCAGTGTCTTCAGGGTGACTAGCTGCATCTCTAAAGGTAAATAGGAGTAGGAGCATCTCTCATCTCAGAGCTAAACTGTGCTGTGCCATCACACAGAGATGCGTGGTGGAGAAAGCTTTACCAATAATGAGTGTCAACACATTATTGTTCCTTGGTCATTTGTGGAGTAATCTGATGCTGAACATCCTCTCTCTTCTCTGTGAGTGTTTGGCTTCATTCACTGTAAATCACTGAGTGCCTAACCAGATCAGTCCTAATCTGGTCTCTACTATAAATAGCTAGTCGTTAAAAAAATCTTTAAATCACAGAACAGGAGCAGATGATATGTGTGAACACCCGGTGTGATGGGAGGAGTGGAGTCCTGCAATCCATCCAAGTACACCTTTAATGCAGATTAAAGCTGTTGTTAGGCACTCAGAAAAGATGTTTCCTGGAATATTTCACTACAAATTGTGGTTAATAGCAGTGTGACTATATAAATATATACATTTCTAACTCTCTGCCTATCACTTGTGTTCTAAGCATCTTTGCTGTTATTCCATTGTTCATTTTAGTCATTATTTCACTCTCATGAGTTAATATGACTTTAGAGTGTGCATGACGCCGAACTCCACAGAGATATATGCATTTCTCAGTAGCTCAATCTGCACTGAGAAAGCATAAACAGGGGGGGAATGCAATGTGCAGCATGGCAGCAGAGAGGTTAAAGATGAACATTCCACAACAGGCTGAAGGCTGGGAGACCAATCAGCTTCGGGAGGAGGATTCAAAGGGTTTTGATTGGTTGCCGGGTGTTGCTGTTGTCATGATGATGAGAGTCAGGGCCAGCCTATGTGGTCTGTATCCAGGCGCTGAAGCAAAGGATATGGATGGATAGGCTGGAGAACTATTTGTTGTCCCTAACAGTGTCAATTTTTTTTATTAAACAAAATAATCAGTTCTTGTTACACATGCTCTCATTTAGTCACTCAGTAGTGTTGATTTGATTTATTTTTAGCAAACTTTCCTCTTGAATATTTGTTACTGTATCACCACAATCAGAATATAATAGTTAAAAAACCTGCAAAGTTGCGGAAAAATGATTGTTTTTATTCAAATGAAAGGTGTGAGATAATGTTTTGGCCTGTGCTGTTTTGTCAATTAGCAGAAATATTAGCAAACCTGCAAACTACAGCATTGGAGTTACAAGCAGCTGTTTGGGCCATCCACAATGGCTCCTAATAACTAGAAATGATTTTTAAAAAACAAACTCATGTTTTAAAATATAGTTATAATTAAAAAATGCAGGTTTAAGCAGCTTTTCAGTCCTGCAATGGAATGAACGCATTGAATTCCCACAACAGAATTACAGTAAACGTGCAGTAATATGTTTAGATTTTTTGTTTACATATTTTTCAACAAACATACACATCCCACAGACTTCTTAAGATCAAACAATAGAAACAAAATGGTGTTTATTTTTTCCAAAATGACAAAATTCCTATAAAATAGATTTGTATAGAAGAGAAAAACATTTTTTTTATTTATTCTCAGAAAGTCTGAATCCTGACCTTCTAAGAGTTCTTGCTTTTTCTTCAGAACTGTCATGATATTCTCAGTATACAATAAATTTTTAAGGTGGCCTAATCTTGTATAGAATTTATTTTCTAAAAATGTCCTATATTGGTTGCGGCTATGAACACATTTTATTAAGGTGGACTGAGGGGAAAACTAATGATTTTTTTTTAACTCAGAAAGTTCTTAAAGTGACAATGTGTAGTTTTTACCATTAATCTCTGGAAATCTCCATCGAAGTGTTGTTGAACATTATTTAAACGGTGCCCAGTTGTTGAAAAATCATGTCAGCTTTGTAAAACATAACTATAAAAATTGGGTGTAAAGTACACGGGAACGGATAGAAGTCTCTTGGGGACACCATATTTAACACCATGTTTTCTTCTATGGGAGCCTGTGATGACAAAACACATTTACTGGCTTGTAACAAAACTTTCGGCATTCATAAACATTGTTGTTTTACACATTTACCTCCTCACTCATTGCCAGCGATGAAAGGGAGCCTGATGTTATTTTGCTTGAGGTTGTGCTCCCAGGGATTTTTGACCCTAATGGCTATCCGTAGGGTCTTTTACTCAAACACAAAAATACAGCTTGCTGGCAATGATTCAGGTATGTACTGTAACTGCCCCCATCACCAGGGAAAAATATACATTTTCACTTTAATTGCAGTAAATTTACAACTAACCTTAGAAAACACAAAAATATTCAAAAGCCAGTCTACTATTCTACACATACTGAACTAAAACAGAATGTTTCCGTGGGTCATTCACCCTCTCTGCTGTAAGTGTAGAACTCCTCAGTTTAACTGGTACTGGCATTATCCTGTTACACAATAACATCACTGCAATGTTCAGTATGTGTGCAGTGCTGGGTGTACATTAGTATGTCTGTGTCTTATGCTGCATAGTTCTGGAAACCCAAGTTTTCTTTTTGTTTTTAGTGGTTGAAGGTTACAATAATAGCTTATTGCCTTTGTACATTTCCCTGTAATCTTATATTTCTTCTTCCTTTTCTTCAAGTGTGTGTGTGCTGCTGTAGCAAGTGAATTTTCCCACTGTGGGATTAATAGTCTATTCTATTTTAAAATGTGATGTGGTAGTTAACAATTATTTTCTAAAATTAACCAAACACGAACAGCTCCACTATCGTCCAATTTTCGACTTTCACGATCTGATCATCAGTAAAATAAAAACATCACAAATTGAAACATTTTAATGATAAACGATGAAAACAGAAAGCAGATGAGTTGTTCCGACACTTGAGCAGCCATCAAACAGAGCAACAAATCTTTCACGATGGTTCACACAGGAAATCAGCAGTTGAAAAACTTCAGAATACGGTTTAAAAAACATGAAATTAAACTAAAAGGAGATGGAGAAACTGATGCCACAAAGCAACTGTTAGAATTCATCAGGTGTCAGATTGACATTGAGAACAATAAAGTATCTCAGAATGCACAAAGAAAACTATAAAAGCCAAGAACAACAACAATCTAACAAGTGTGGATTTCTTTCTTTGACAAAATAATGTATGTGAGGAAAAACACAAAAATCATAGTTTAAAGGATAAAACTGGTGCTGATGAAGAGGTGAACTCTTGTGTTACAAACTAAGAAGCACAAAGATATAAATCATTAGGTAAAAAGAATAAAAATATACTGAAATAATGATTCTTGATAAAATATTCTGCAAAGTCATCTCCTGACATTGAGGCCAAAACCGTCAGAACAAATGACCATGGACTTCACTAGCACAACCTAAAAAATGCATCCATCCTTTTCTCAAAGAAATAAGCAAATTCCGTATTTACATATCCATTAGAGCCCAAATGAAAGAATAATCGAAAAAAATCTTCGGTATAACTTCTGCAGATGAAGAGCAAATACAAAGGGAGATGTGGACCCAGGAAGAAATAAAAACAAAATATTGAATTTGTTTTTTGCCAATTAAAAAATTCTCAAGAAGAGCTTCATATTAGCATCAAGCTAGATGAAGAAACAAAAGCTGCCAAACAGACATTCCCTACGTGAGACGGGAACACCGTACCTTCACAGGATTCCTCCTGGGTGCCACGTTTGCACGAGGGCTCTTAACTAATCCTCGTAACGATCGGTCTTTTAAAACTCTCCTGACAGATCTTCCAGCTAGACCTCTGCACCCGATGTCGTCTCAGCTCTGAGGCCACGCAGTTCAAGCCTAGGCCTTCAGAGAAGAGGAAGCCCCGTTTATCTCCTTCACAACTGCTGTCTTAATCACATAAATGATTATAGACCTTCTCCCTATGCTTCCATTCTATCATCTGCTCCAGATATTAATCCTGCTCACTCAGTCGCTGCAGGGGTTTGATCCTGCACAACAGCAACCTGCAAATCTTCCTTTTACATCCTTTCCTCTTCCTACCTCCATGAGACTTTGTAAAAGTCTTACTGGGAAACTGGATGATCTTAACACGTACATATACGCACACACACTTCCTTAAGAGGAGGAAAAAGCTCATTACCATCACCCTGCACTTCATTTGCTTGTATTTCTTAAGAAGTGTTTCTTTGCCTTCCTGATATGAATCATTTCCCCTCTCTCTGTCCTTGTTACTCCCTTTTCCTTTGCTTAAGTGTGTCTTTTCTTTTGAGTGACAAGCCAGCTTCGGCGTTTGGGTTCCTTTTTTTTTCCAGTTTAGTCTGCCTCAGCCCACTTTAGACCAGATGAGGAAGGAGGGGATGTCTCGCACTGGGACGTTGCGGGTCAGGGCTTTGACACGCAGGTTGCGGTCATCTGTGAGGAGCACTACTTCCCTCTGGAGCTTCACTGTCCCGTCTGGTGTTTAAATCAAGGAGACAACAAAGAGGAAATAACATCTATATTTGGCCAAGCAACATGAGAGCAGCTGAGACTTGATGCTACATACTTCTCTGAGAAGGTGTGAACTCTTTAGCTTTGTCGTTGCAGTAGTGGAGGCAGCAGGATAAAATCACATCATCATTGTTACCCTGGCAAAAGAACACGCTGTCACCAAAGATTGCATAACATCCTGTGTAGGTGTTTAATTAGCAGCTGACAGCTTCTCGACTAGATAATCGGTCCTATTTTATTTACTTTCACTTCTACGTGGTTACAGTCCTACCTGCTGTCCAGATGTGTCTTCACTGCGAAAGGCTATGGACTCCAGTTGATTTCCTCGACTCGTCAGGGCTCTTAGGCACGGTTCCCTGGCCTCAAATCCTTTTTCTAAGAAAGCCACAGCTAATCGAGCCTTTTCCTGGACAGCCCGGATGTGGGGAGCGCTAACGTTAAAGTTGCCACGACTGGACGTGCCGCGACCTCCCGACCCCACTCCTACACCAAAAGTGTCCTGGCCTTTAGCCAAGCCATCTAACTCTGTAATCACTGTTAGAGGAAGCCCAAGTCATACTATTAGTTTTCACACTAAATATCTAATTTTATGTTTTTATTTGTGTCTCTCTTACCAATGAGAGGAACAACTATTATGTATGATCCACACTGAAGGAGCTTCTTCAGGTCTTCCAGGTGGTCAATGAATCCATTCGTATCAGGCACCAAAAAGAAGGGCCTCACTTCCAGCTCCAACTGTCCACCAGTTTGTAGCACAGCCTAGAACGAGAATGCACACACACACACACACACAATGTGAAAATGATACAAAGATCATCTTTAGTGTATCAGATGACATCATTAGATACATGATATTTGAATGTAACTCAAAAGTTGAAGCTGAAACAAAACAAGCGCCCCCACTGTGGGGTGATTCAAATAAATGTTTTAAGGCCCACCCATTCATTGTAAATAATAAATGAGATACTTTTCTTCTTTTTAAAAAATGCTGTTCATAATTGTCTCCCCAGGCGTTTAGTCTTGCTGATCGACACAGTTCTGACTTGCAGGTTAAAGTTGATGTTTTTCTCGTACGTTTAGTTGTAATTAAATATTTACAGGTGCAGATGTTTTGCTGGAACATTTTTTGCCATATTGTTTGAAAAGCTTTTCACATACTGATGACAGCATATTAAAAGTTTTGTCTAAAAATGAATAATTGTAATTCCTTATGAGATGTACAATCCCACAAAAAACCTCATCCAATCATTGTGAATGTCCTGTTCTTAATGATTGAATCATAAACCATCCATCTAACCACCTTCTGATCATCCCTCTCCTCCGTGCATGCCCCTCTTATTTGCACGAATCGTGGGGTCTCGGATCGAAGCAGCTGAACAGGAAGCAAAGCCAGAGCTGGGCAAGATATGTCAGCTAGCACACTAAATTGTTATGTGATTATGTTGCCTGAGTTGGCCTGGCAGAGAGGGTTTTTCCAGAGTAAGAAGCCCAATCCTACCCACTGGATCTCCGATCTAGGTCCCAGTGGTTTTGTCTTCAATTTTCAGCTGGGAGAAAGTCTGGAGAACTCCTGACCGACACCCAAGCAATAACGAGACCATTAGAAGCCTGGAGGCTCCACAGCTGTTACGTAGGTGCTTTACATGAGGAATTATGGCACAAAAGATGCCAACAACAGAATCACAAAGATTGAAAAAAAATGTGTTTTGTGGTTGTTTTACAGTATCCATTGCATCCAGTGTTTTACCATTTTCTACGACCATCAGGTCCTGTGTTTCTAGGGGAGGAGCCAGAAAAAAAGGGGAACTTAAAACTTTTTTTTCTTCAAACTGTAGCTCCCTTGGACGACTGTTTTCAGGAAAACCGACTCCATCTTTAATGCTTAACTATAGACCATTATTGTGTGTAGAGGAGGGGGGATTTTTAGTCCCTACATCACATGACAGCATCATAAATACGATTAAGTGGCTTCTTTTTTCACAGCAAAAGAAGGAAATGCAGTTGTGTTAATAATGACATCCCATTTGACATAAGTCTATTAGGACAGCAGTAGCTCAGGAGGTAGAGTGGGATGTCCAGTAAAAGGTTACAGGTTCGATCCTGGTGTCCTTGGGCAAGACACGTAACCCACCTTGCCTAATGGTGGTAGTCAGAGGGACTGGTGGCGCCAGTGATCGGCAGGCCTTGCCTCTGCCAGGGCTGAATGTGTGTGAACAGGTGAATGACTGATTGTGTTGTGAAGAGCCTTGGGGGGTTGTAGAACCCCAAGATGGCGCTATACAAGTACAAGCCAGATTATGAATTTAAAAAAGGGGGGAAAGGTTTTTAAATTGAAGAGTAATGTCCAATCTATCTATTTAATATTAAATTCATGTCTTAAGAAGGTTTCGCCGTTTTACCTGGATTTTGTCCCTGCGCTTTTGCTGCTGGGCCAGTTCGTTAGCGAGGGCGTGGCGTCGAGCCTTCAGCTCTCTGATGTCATTCTCGCTGTCTCCAGCCTCAAAGTCCTCCTCTCCTTCTGATGGAGAGAGAGATAACTCCCCTTCGAGTATGACATCATCAACCTGCCAAACATTCACAGTTTAAACACATTTGCTGTGTGGAAACCATTTGACAACTACATTATAGTGATAGCGGAGATAAAAAGACACCAGGGCTAACTGTAGGAGGGAATCAGTCACCTCCTTTTCTGTTAGGGAATCCTTCCAACTCCTTGTTTCCACTGATGGGTGAGAAGTTGCCACGGAGATGTACTTCCCTCCCTTGAAGGCCAACAAAGGCTCTTCTTGTCCACACAAAGCCTCCAGAAAGTACTTCAGAACCGTCACTCTCTTACAATCTGCTGCTATTGCCTGAGGAAAGAGGACGGAGGTCATGTGAGCATACAGACAGACAGAAGGGAAGACGAAAACGCGTTACAGTAGAATGGAAATTTAAACAGTAGAAATTCTTCTCACCATGTCAGTCTGTCTGTCTGTGTAACAAGGCTCCTGTGGTGCAGCCAACAGCGGGATGAAACCAGCTAGCAGCTTGTCCTCCTTCAGCTGAAGCAATGCTAGTTCCTCATCTCCCTCGCTTTCTTCACTATCAACTTTGTACAGAGGCACTTCCTCATGGTCCACATGTGCCAGAACATTACAGAGGTCAGCAAGGCACTTCCACACATCAGGGCTGCATCTTTATAGGAAGAAAGAGCACAAAATGATCCTATTGTTGTTATTAGCTTTCGCAGCTGATCAGACAACAGTGTCTTATATTTAAGCCACGCACTCCAAACCGCACGGTGGGGGGTTCCACTCGTCAGGATGTCCCAACATCCAGTCAGACCAGACTTTGACACTTGGCAAAATTTCTCTCAGGTCCTGTGGGAAGGCCGAAATTCTGACCATCCCCTCCAGCTCTTCTGTTTTACCCTCCTCCTCTCCATCTGTCATAGAAACTGGTTCTAAAAAAACAAAGATACCTAATTGAAATAATGTATTTTATTGATTCCCCTCATCACTCGGAACTTCAGCTGTCTGTAATCGATCACAGACGGATCATACTTCAGGAAATGTCATTAATTATTGAGTAAATAAAGGCAGCAACAAAAAGACCTGCACACATTCACGCATAAGCGTGGTTCTGGAGTGGAAGTTTACACAACAACACACAAAACAATTACTAAAATATTTGGTACAACAAAGTTCATTCAAGCCTGAAAAATACCCCAAACGAATGTCTGTTAGATGATGTAAACAGATGCAAAGTGGTCAAACTAAAAGGTAGTGAGCAGACATAGCCACACAGGGTCGGATGAGAGGTTACCTGCAGGAGTTTCTTTGAGCAGGTCAGTGCAGCGCTGCACCAGCACAGCAAACATACCGAGGCCAAGCGCGGTGCTTTGCTCCAGTAAAACAGATCGGACATCTGCTTCTTCACCTGACACAAGAGTTAGAGCCACACTTGATCAGGGATTTGAGAATTATGCCATGCGTGCACAATTTCAGCTTCAGCGTGCGGTTTTACCTCTCCTGTGGGCGTTGTGTATGGCAAACATGTTGATGGTGATAATCTGCAACAAGTTTGTACATCCCAGGAGTGAAGGGCCATGCTGGAGAAGGGATTTAAACTCCTGTAGAACATGGCTCGCCACTCCAGAGAAAGATTCCATACTGTGTGGGGGAGACACACACACACACACACACACACACACACACACACACACACACACACACACACACACACACACACACACACACACACACACACACATCAGCTAGACCTGACATGAGAATTTGTGAAATATCATAATGATTACTTTCATTTTCAAATCTACGAAGGCAGAGAAAGGAGAACACAAGGCACTGCTCACCCCACTTTAGTGAAGAGCTTTCCATGTGCGTGCAAGAAACTCAGAATGAATCTCTTATTTAGCTGTGAAGAAAGAAGGCCAAAGATAAAAATGAAATCGTTTTTAATTATTTTCAGTTACAGTTTTGTATGTGTGTAGAAGAGCTCTTACATCAGTAGCACTCAGACTGCCCAGCTCTCCATCCTGCTCCGAATCTCGGCTGCACTCACTGCCTCCTCTCTGTGAGGAGGGGGTCACCGTTGGGCGTCCACTGGGACGAATCCAAATCTCCACGCGTGCTCCATCGTTCCCTTTTCTTCTACTCCTCACTTCTGGACCCTGGGAACCTCCTTCAAGCTCCTGCCTCTGTCTTCGCTCCAGCTGTTCTGCCTACAAAAACAAAATCTTTAATCAAGACCTGAAGTGTACAGGCACCCAAGAGCTCACAGTAAACCTTACAGCTGAGTAAACTAAATAATGCATCTAATAAGAAAAGATGAAGTTAGAACGATTTAGCTAGGAGTGAGGTGTCGTTGGCCTTGCCTTACGCTTGGCTTCCTCAAAGAGACTCATCAAGCTCTCCTTTGCAGTCAGAATGGGGTTAGATGCTGCCAAGCTTCGCATATAATAATATACAGCATCCAACTTCCGCTTCTGTGGATGAGAGAGGTGAGAGGAAGAAAAGAAACAATAACCCCGGCTTTCCACGGGAGCCGTCAGCAGCACGTTACTGCAGCAGCACGTCTTGCTCGCGTAAACTGCTGCTCGGCCCTTCCCACGAGACGCGAAGCAGCGGGGGAGCAGCTGTCACCGACTGAGCACAAAGTCACACGAGTGACTTCGTCAGTAAACACAACAACAAGCAGGAGAAAACTACAACATGGCTCCAAAAGCTTTGTGTTTTATGTTCTGTCCGTCTTATAATCGCCAATACGGACCTGAAAAACAAAGGAGACAGCTAGCTAGGTGATAACTTCTCACAGGGCCACACAGTTAGTAACCTTTTTTAAAAGTAAAGCAACAGGAAGGCAGTACGTTCTTTATTCTGAAAATCTCGGGAGCTTCGCTCCATTTCCGCGTCCGATTTCCTGTCTTTCCTTCCCCAAAAATGTCGAACTTGACCCATTTCAGAGGCGTCGCGCGTGGAAAATAGAACCGGCGCGTAAAGGCCGCGACATGCTGCTCCTGAGACGCGGCCGACTCGCGCTGCTGACGGCTCCAGTGGAAAAGGTTCTGTTGACCACAGCGGTTCCTATCAGCAGCTATGACGTGCTGCTGCAGTAACGTGCTGCTGACGGCTCCTGTGGAAAGCCGGGGTTACACTCAGATTAGGTGTAAAAGAACTAGACATATTTTTAATTTGTGCCACATCTTGAAAAAAAAATTAATCAGTTAAAAGTTTTAGCATCCGTTTATGAATTAGGTAGAAGCTCACAGCTTCAATCACATAAATATTTACACTTACAGTATAAACTGCCAACAGAGCCAACTGGTTATAAGGGCGTCCATTTTTAGGGGCGATCTGCTGGGCTTTTAGGTACCAGCTAAGATGAAATGAAAGCATGAAGTCGTGACATGTCAAAATATAAACGAGACAATTTTAAGAATAAAAAAATTAAAAAATCATTTTCAGTTTCCACCATAGTTGAAGACTTTTCAAACGCTAGTTTAATCTATTTCTGGATCAGAGATTCTCCTAAGTAACAGATTACCTGCGAGCCTTGCCATAGTTGGCAGAGTTAGTGGCTTGCTCCCGATACCGTGCGATGTCTCCCTGACAAATCATACAGCGCTGAGCACTTATAAGTGCATATTTCACCTTAAAGTACAAAAGAACACAAGAATGTCAACATCCTTCTTATTGAGACATGGTAGGACTCGCAGTTGTCAGTAAATTTTGAAAAGTTTACACATGAATAATACAGCACAATTTTAACATCAGGTTAAAAACACTTTGGTCTCACACACACGTGCAAACGCAAAAATAGGTGTTGTACCGTTTTGCGTAACGGGCGAGCTCTGATGGCTATACCATCCATGTAGTCCTCCAAGGTAAACTGGTACACTGTCTGCAGCTTCTGGAGCAGCGAATCAAAGAACAGCGCTCCCTGATAACCAACAGCAGTAAGAAAAATGTATCAATATTTTTACTGAAGGCTATTCGCTGACATTCGTAAAGTACAGCTAATTATAATTTAACTGCAAAGAAAGTAAAGGTTTTCAATGAATTACAGACACAAGTATACAGCCTAATATTGATACCCAAGATTTCCTTGATAAAGAAAGAATACTTGTAATATTAGATAACCGGGAACAAAGACTTCGTCGATGTGTTTAGTTCATTTTTTTACCTCATCTAAAAGCGTGAGGAGCATGTTCCGTACATCAGGTGTGTTCTCACAGGCAGGATCTTTCAGGAGCTGCCGGAAGTGCTCGATGACCTGGTAAAACACATTTTTCCACAAAGCTGGATCCACGTTCTGGGAGTCGGAAAACTCGATGTCTGTCAGGATGATACGCTCATACAGTCCCAAAAGGTCCGCTCTAGAGAAAAAAAAAACAGAAAGAGGGTTGTTTTCTTTTGAGTGTCGTGATAAATTGGCACACAAAAGCAGCCGTGAGTCAAGGTCTTTTCCTAAATGCTCACCTGAGCTGGGCCATCCGATCAGTGCTCACTCTATCCCTGGAGAGCAGATTACTGAGCTGCAGCTCGTGTGCATCAGCAGCCTTCAGCAGCCTCCCCAGCTCTCCTCTGGTTTGTTGTTCTGCCTCTTCAAACGTCAAACCCCCTGTCTGAGAATAACCCGCCCCACAGAACGGACCAGGACTTGGGAACATACCGTTAGAGTGATACGGCCCCATGTTATAAGGATAAGGATAGCGCTGGCTGCTGGGATTATGTGGGCTACTGTTGGGCACGGGGCAGCAATAGGGATTGTCAGAATTTTGGAACTTGTAGTAAGACACAGCCTGCTGGGATTGAACGTGTTCTCCTTGTGCCACTGGAGGACTGCCTGCTACCTCTTCATCTGTGTCCAGAAAGTGAAGCTGTCCGTACGCGGACCCAGACTGGAGATAAACAGGTTGTTTGAAAGATGATTGTGGTGAGGCTGGTGTCCTAGAAAGAGCAGGTTTCTGGTCTGGGTTATTAGGATCCCAAAGCCGTCTCAATCCTCCTCCTCGGCCTCCTCGATTCCTGAATGCTGCTCCTCCCCTCATCCCACCAAAAAGAAGCCTGTGTCCTGACTCCGGGGAGTTGGAGATGTCGGTGCAAGACGGAAGCACCAGGATACCGCCCCCTCTGCCACGAGAAACCGGGCCTTGCTTGTGTTGTTGTGAATCTATACTTGACTGCTTTTCTAAAGAAACCTTTAGAAGTCCCCGACCTCCACCTCTGTTGGACTTTGGCGTTCTCCTCTCTTCTTGTTTTTCTGTACTGCAGTCTTCCTCCCCACCTCTCCTCCTCCTCCTTCGCCTCCTATCTTCTCCTCGGGCACACATCTCACTCCTGTCTGCTGACTCTGAGGACGAATCTTTATTACTCGTCCAGCTTTGCAGGTGCCTCCGTCTCTCGTCATTGTTCTCATTCCCTGCTCTGATTTTCTGCCTAGGGTCAACACGGGACCATTTGCTGTTCTCCACACTCATCAGCTGTCTGGGCCCATCCTGACTGGTCGCGCTGCTGGCTGAGCTACTGCTGTAGGTTCGGTTTCGTGAGTGTCGAACATCTGACTTGGAATATCGTTTTGAGGAAGGTGTTACGTTTACATTAGATCTGCGCTCATCACTCTGCCCAACAGGCGTTTCTAAACTGTTTTCAGTTTTAGCCGCTTTTTCACCATCTCTGAAACTGCTGTTTTCATTTATTTTCCTGTTTTCTCTTAGATTTTCTTTTCTTTTGCTGTGATGTAGCTCTTTTGCCCTTTCCGATCTTCGTCCATCTGAATCCGGAGCGCTTTTGTCTCTCTCCTTCTCGGACTTTCTTGGGTTGTTTTTTCCACTGTGACGCACTTCATCCTCCTTTTTGGTTTCCTGATTCTTCTCCTTTTCTCTCTCTGCTCCCCGTCTCCTGCGGGTTCCCTTCTCTCTCTTCTTATCAGTCTTTTCTTCCTCATCCTTGGTGTCTTCGTCATGACCTCTTCTTTCTTTGGCAGTTTTTTCTCCTGTTTTCCATTTCAAATCACCAATATCATTACTTGCACACTCCACTTTACCCTTTTCTTTTATCATGAGTTTTTCAACTTTGTTTGCAATTTTGTCCACAGACGTACCAACGGGTAAAGGAGGCTTTTCCGCATGCTTGCTTCCTTTCTCTCTGGCTTCCTCGTTGTGATGAGATGGTGTAACCGTCTCCTGAAAGGTTTTCCCTTTATTTTTCCCTCCCCGCTTGGATATGGGTGTTTTCTCATTATCATCTCTTGCTCCTGAACTCAGGTGGGATTCGGGCTCAGAACTCTGCTCTTGTTTCTTAGGGTTTGGCCTATCCAGTTCTCTTGCAACACCACTATCCTTTCCCAAAATATTCCTGCGGCTCCCGGGTTGATAAAATTCCCTGTCAGGTTTTCGGATTTTCTTTGTAGGTTTAGAAGCTCCTACTATTTCCTGGTCTTCCATGTCATTCTCTCCAAGTTCTTTTTTATCATTTACATTTGTTGCAGCAAGCAACTGGTTGCCCTCTTTACAGTGGTGGGTATTACTGCCGTCACTTCTCATTCGGTCCTCGTCGCTATTTTTAGTACCCAATCCACTGCTGGTGCCCCCTCGTCCCTCTAAAAAAACTTCAGAAACATTCCTTCTCTCACTCTGTAAAAACTGATCTGACTGTTGTGATTTAGCAGTCAAGGGATCATTCTGGCTGCTTTCTCCTTCTTCACCATCCTGATGTCGCCGTCTGTGTCCAGCTGTGGGTTGGTAACGCTGCAGATCAGGATGTTTTGCTTCGCGCCTCTTATTCTGCTTGTGTGCGTGAACTTCCTCTTGCTCTACTGCAAAAATATTAAAAAATAACATAAAATGTGCCATCAACACTAGTTACAAATACATTAACTAGATATCTTACTTTGGAATTTTTCAATGAAGACTAATCACCTCAAAAAACATTCATAACGGCTGTTTGTATTTCATTCTTTACCACTATAGTCACTTTAAAAGCTAGTTTGTTTGCCCTAATTAAATATTTCATTAAAAATAGTTTCTATGGTTGTCTGCAAAAGAACATAAACCATCAAGTTAATGCAGCTTCAAATTACATGTGAGCAGTTTAAGATAACTCTCATCATCAGACACGTCACTTCTAAAGTGGGTAGCTTTAAAAATGTTGCTTTTAACTATTTTATGAGTTAGGTAAAGTAAAAACGCTGTTCATTTTAGTGTCACGATCCCACTATCTCTTTACTTTTGTCATTTCACATTTGTCTGTCTTTAATTTTATTGTATAAAATATCTAATGTAAACTGTTTTGGGTTATTCAAACCGCTACTTCTCTCCCAAGAGTGGTAGGAGTTTATTGGGGTGTTATTCTTCAGAATAAACCACATGTTAGAGATGTCAAACAAACGCTTTACATAGGGTGATTAAGTTAGTCCATCAAATGTCTGGCTGATGCAATCATTGGTAACTCTGTGTATAGTTGGTTAAGAAGTTATGAAGTTATGCAAAAAAGCAGAGATCAACTTATCAAGAGTTATTAGGATTAATGAAATATCAAAATATAATCACATATTTAATAATAGTGTTAGATAACGTATAAAGCGAAAGCATGGAAATGAACGCACACGTGGAAAAAATTACAAGACCTGCAAAAACACAACAATGAAAAATAATTCATATTCGCTGTTCTTGATTGAAATAAACTGTTTTTCAAAAATCTATGTTTGTTTGTTTGTTTGTTTTGGAAACAAGGTAACATGTTCTCAAACGTTTACGTTAATAAAGCTAAAATTATAATACTTTCCTAAACAAGATGTGTTACTGTAATACATTAGTACATATAACAAACAAAAAGGAGAGAACGTGAACCGAGGATAGTAGTTTTTAGATTGGAAAGGGGGCGTTTAAGACTCTGGAGAGCGAACGGGCACAAAGCCAGTCGGCTAACAACATTAGCTGCTTACAAACTTAGCAACTCCGAACGTCACTTTCAGCCAACTCAGATAACTAACTCTCTGCTTCGCTTTAATTTACAGACCCTTCAAAAGTGTTTTTATACAAAAATACACCAACTCACTGCCTCTCACCATGCAGACAATTGGAAATATTGACTGATTTCGAAGCTTCAGCTCGTAGTTCCGCAGCTGAGATTCGCACTCTGTCCAGTTCGTTCGCCATCTTCGACTTCAACACAAACACAACAAGTACGGTGGCCCAACTGGGTCAAACGCAAAAACCGAGGGATTTCTGAAATCAAGATGTCTAGGTAATGTAGTGCTGTCTCTCCATTGTGAAAGTACTTTGATTTGTCACTTCATATTTTTTCTGAATGTACAAAAATCTATAAAATGTATTTTCCCCATTTTAAATATATATGTGTTTTGCTTGCAGCAATAAAAAAAACATTCGCACTTACTTTTTTCTTCCAATTATTGTCTCACATCTCTTATCTAGTAGTGTGCAGCTTTATCCAACGTAACACCAATTTTAATTTATTTTCATGAACATTCTGAAAATATCTCATCTTTTAGCAGATCTATTTCAAGCACAATTTCTTTAGTAATTTTCTTTAAATACATTATTTGTATTATGGTGATTATACTTTAACTACATCACAGCTCAGTTGGCCAGTTATAAACCCTCTTTATGTAATAATACATAAAAACACCAATGTTATCACCTTTCTAATTGTGTTCATTTAAAATTTACACTTAAATCTCTTTGGCAAAATTTAACATTTCAGTTCAAATTTTGTGTAATTATCATGTAGGCCGTGACCTACATGTTAGGCTTAAGGAAGAGGGCCGGTCCTAACGTATATAAAGCAACAAACTGAAAGAGATCCTGCAAAGAAGATCACTACCAAATGCTGTACAATGTCCACTAGATGTCAGGATTGATTGCATGATATCATTTATAATCGCCTTCCTTTTGTCTCATGGGATTGGACCATTAGCAAACTTTCTGACATCTATTTTTAAGTGATTTAATCTCTTATTAATGCAATGCACTTTGTTCTCTCTTTTTGTCTTATTTTGATGGGAGCTTACTTAAAACATGAGGAAGTATAAGTGTGTGAAGGGAGTTCATGCAGACACCCCCAGCGTCTCTGATGTTAGCTTCATTTCCCTAGCAACACCAAATTAAAGGTCCAGAAGATTCTATCTTTCCCAAAGTCTCTCAAAAAGGATTCAATCCAGAACCTACATCTTACCATCAGGTTATGAAATTATTCACATTTTAAGTAAAATGGCATGCTTATAGTTTGTTCACCTGCCACCAAAGGCAACAGGTGGGTGATGATAGTTTTGCCTGTGTCTGTATGTGCCCGTGTGACAGATTTTGATGACAATTTCAGAAATTGATCATCGGATGTACATCGATAACTGATAAACTTTTCAGGTCAGCCCAAGTCAGTATTGCCACCATAGCAAATAAAGCTAGCTTTGACCCTGTTAGTTTTATAGATACTGACCTAAAGCTCTGAAACGCTGAGACATACCCAACACATACTAACCCTATCCCTGAATGCACAAGATTAGGCAACATTGTAGTAAATCGTGAAAAGTGATATTTTAAAGATCTGACCAAAGTGTCTAAAACACCAACATAACATGATCTGAAACAATAATAGTTTTCTGTCAATCAAAAGGTTTTCCTAGTTTCTTTTAAGCAGGACACTGAACCCCATTTAGCTCCTGATTGGTGTGAGTGAATGTGCACATCTCGTATAATCATTTTAAATGATCAGTTACAAAACCAAATGTGATCAGTTTTTTACAAAAACGATGACCCTTATCATCAGCTAACATTGTCCTTTTTCTGATCTTAGTTTTGTCCTCACCCATTTTATTTATTTATTTATTCATTTATTGTGCAGCATAAGGAATTAAGTCAAATCGTGTGTGAATGCAGAGTTTCTCCTAGTGCTGTGTGAGCGCCGAGCCTGATGAAGCACGGACACACCAGGGGTTGTAGAATGTTTCATGTCTGCAGTGGAGAGGTGAAAAAAGGGAGGAGGGGGGATTACCGGAAGTGGTGGGCGTGTGTCTCCCAGTGTGTGTGTGTGTGTGTGTGTGTGTGCGCGCCCGTACGTGTGTGCGTGCGTGCGTGCGTGTGTGTGTGTGTTTTCAGAGTTCTGATTGTCAGTGCTGCACCACAGTGCAGGTGGAGCAATGCAGGATGACAAGAGCCACAAAAGGACAGAGGGGGGAGGCAGCATGGTGGGGAGGGTGACAAAGGGAGAGAGGTGAGAAGACACGATTCAGGAGGAGGAGAGACCATGAATACAGATGAGAAAAGCTGGGTGAAGCAGGGAGTTTGTGCAGGTAAATCTCAGACACCAGAGGGGGGTTCTCCAGTCCAATCATGTCTTCATTTCTTCTGCCTCGATCTCATTTCACTCTTTTTCCATCCGTCTCTCTCTGTTTGTCTCCCCCATGTGGGACACTGGCAAGTGGGAGGAGATGACTTTTAGAAAGAAGATCAGGAGGAGGACAGACAAGGGAATACAGTCAGTGGGAGTTAAGGATGAGGCAGAATGAAAATGCTACAACTGGGTTACAATTAAAAGTATGAGGAAAAGGAAGAGAGGCGAGACAAATGGAACTGGTTTAACATCTCAAGCAAAGAGAGAGAAATGGGAAATCAGAGGCCCAGGCAGAAAAATACGTTGGAGAGTAAAAAAAAAAAAAAACAAAGGCTTGCGTGACGCATAAATGCTGGCTCTAGATATTTGGAGTATATCCATGTCAAGTGGGTTTTAATGTATAATTCATAATAAGAAAGAGAAGGAGAGGGAGTGACAGGGGAGGAATGAATGAAACTACCACAATATGACATGGACCACATGGGGTGATGAGTCAATAATGCAGCTGAACAGAAAACAAAGAATTTCAAACAAAGATTCAAGGCAGCCGGTTGCACAGACTGGAGCTTGTGGAAGCTACCAGCCGCTTTTTACTCATAATGGGAGCATATTTAATTTCTCAGGACTTTTCTGAGCACAAAAACAATGTTTCAGAGTCTTATTTTTCACAGTTCTTTTTTTGTCATAGTAACATCTGTATATTGCACCGAAGCTGTAATATAAACTTGTGATGGAGTGGCGGGATGGTGCCTCTTGCACTTTGACTATTGGAGACGGATGTTTCATCCAAAACTGAGCAGTCATGAAAAATTTGCATTGAGTCTAATCACAATACGACTTATTATAAGTCAGGACTTTGAGCAGATTTGTTTGTCTGTTTGGTCGTTCCACATTTTACGGTGAACATCAGCAGTTTCTTTTTTCATCTTAAAGAGACACCTTGCAACTTTTTCATATATTTAAATAATTTTCTTGAGCCAGTATGACCCTTTATGGGGCTAATGAAAGGCTGCTCCACCTCTATCGCCCCCTGTGGCTATATATTCCACTTGCAAGTTCAGAGTGCCTGTCCAGTCTCTTGAGCTAACATACCTGGAGCTGCAGTCAGCTTCCAGCATGTTCCCTGCTTGTTTTAGATCATGAACACAACTTATTTGTCTGATTTAGTGCTGAACTGCTCCTGTAAACACCAAGGAAGGTTGGGGAGACATTTCAGCTTTTAGATTAAGGGGGCAAAAAGACGAACGCATAGCGAGGAGATAGATTTTGCTTTCGGTTCTACTAAATGGACACTAGGGGGTGGTAAAAGCATGCCAAAACTGTCTAGTCTTCTTTTAACAACCTGAGTTCAACTGATGTTGCAAAACTTCTGTTACTTTGACTCTTAACAGCACATCATAATTTTGTGTTTAAAGCAGAAATTGCTGGTTATTGCTTTAAAATTAATGTGAAAAGTGTTGTTTTTATTTAAAAATGTTCTCTTTGAAGTCACTTGCATCTGCTTAAGTCCTATGTACTTATACTGCACACTTTCATCAAATCGTCAAAGTTTTTTTTTTTTTTTTGCAAGAAAATTAGATTTTTCTTTACCTGTCTCAACAGTTTCGGCTTCTTGTTTGAGGCCTTCTTTGTAAATTGAGACATGAGACAACTCATGAAGAAATTGTCGGGACAGATAAAGAAAAATCCATCTTTCTTAACCCTCTCAGGCTCTAAATAAGTTTTGATAAAAGGACGAACAACTACGTCCTTCGGGGGTACTTTTGAGTTAAAAACTGCTCGTGAAATAAGTTTGTGGAGAAACCAGATAGGTAGGTTTTAACGTTGCAAATATAAGAAACTGTGTAGTATAAGTGTAGCAGGAACAGGCGTTATGAGCTTCATGTCTGGAGTCTGACCTCTAAAGGTATTCCTGTCCATTTGAACATAAAGTCTGGAACCAGCTTCATGCTGAGCTGAAGCAAACAGACTCACCAAGTCACTCCAACAGCGACAGCGTGTGTATACATTCACAGGAATCCCACGCTTTCACACACACAGATGCACGCACATACACAAATTGTGATGGGAAGTTAATTACACTCAGCATATGACTTAGCTAGATTGGTGTGAAGTTTTGTGTGAGCTGGAGTTACAACAAATGGATCGTTTCGAGGGAACTGTTTACACAAGCCCTCTGATGGGATCATGGGAATAATCCTGTCATGTCATTCCAGGTAAGCTCGTTTATGGATTTGGTTAATTAGCTTCTGTGACCTATGTCAGAGAGTTAAAACAATAAGCAAATGTTGGAGTACTTTCTCAACCAGACTGAAAATCCATCTCCTCATTATGGTTTAAATGAGATTTTGATTTTAGAAGTTTTTTAGCATTTTAACTAATTATTGTCTTGTTTTTACCCATTAAATATTAGCATGTTTTAGTGTTTTCATGTCTTTTATCTATTGTATTCTTGTTTTAGGCTGTATGATTGTTGATTTTAGTTGATTTTAGTTGTTTTTAGCATCTTTAGCTCACTGGTGTGCTGCTTTATAGGGCAGTTTCATGTTCTTCTCCATTAGCTATTTTAAATTGTTTGAGTGCTACATTTATTTGTCTATTTATGTAAAGCGCCTTTTTCCTTTATGGTTTTTGAGGTGCTTAATAAATAAAGTTGCATTCAATTGGAGATTCGCTACAAGACTTAGAGGATGTGGTGTAAATGGGTTAGGGATAGCCACTACCACCTTTTCTAAGTTTGCCTACACTGATTAGTCATCTTTAGTTGGGGTCACTCCTAAACATCAATCAGTTATAGATCCAAATATTACTTTCTGAGAGTCAACATAAAATGAAAAAGAGTTGTTTGCGTGTCTATGTTTTTATTACTAGCATTTGTATATCAAACACTAATGATACAGATGTGTCATTTTATGTAATGATATCTTTCAAACCTGTGAAGCATAGAAGTGGATGAATCATAATCTGGGCTTGTGTTAAAACCATTGTAGATTGTTAATCAGTTAAATAGCATCATATATGTTGTAAAAAAGAATAATGATTCTGTGTCAAAGGAAAATGTCTTGTGCAACCTCAGATATCTTCCCTAAACAAGGACCTCAGCAGCAGAAAGAGGCACACAAACTTTCTAAGCCATGGGTTTGCAAAGTGTGTCCCTGTTGATAGGTTTGTGTGTGTGTGTGTGCGTGCGTGTGTGTGTGTGTGAGTGCGTGTGTGTGAGTGGGCGGACATGGAGTTGCCGCTGTGTGTGATTTCACAAATCTCGTAGGCAAGAAGAGCACAGAGATAGCAGAGGGAAACGATGCGAGGGCGGGAGGGGTTTCACAGAGAAACACCCACTCTTTCCAAACATACTTCTCACTTTGACACACACATACACACACACACTCATTTTCTCCTCCTCTCCCGCTCTCCTTTGACAGATTCCTCATTACAGGCATGTTTGGCAGCACAAACTCTTCCTCTCCCTCCTTCTCCTCCTCTTCTTCCTCCTTCTCTCCCCATCCGTCGACTTCTTCTCTCTGTCTTTTTTCATTTGCTCACTCTCTCCTGCCCTGCTCATTGCGCTCAAGCCAGCTTGGCAATCAGAGGGAGAGAAAACACGAATGAGAGCAGAGGGGTGGGGTGGAGGGGAGAAGATGCTCACTGGGACTTCAGTATGAGTCAGAATGGGAGAAGGGGAGGTGGGAAGGCAAGGTAGGCGGCTGTAAGGATAGAGAGGAGCATATTGGAGGGATGGGTTTTTTCTCCCCTCATTTATCTGACTGCATTTTCTGTTTGGAATTCAGATGAGGAGACAGAGATGGAGCCAACAACAACTGGGCATGACAGACACAGAGGAGATTTGAACAGGAAGTAATCTGCATCCTGATTCATGAACAAGTTTCAAAACAGCAGCAAGCTGAATGATGCTGAATGGTGAATATGGGCTGAAGGTGCCAGCTGTGGACTGCAATTAAACGCATCATCCAACTCGAGCAGGCTAAATGAAATATGCCAAAAAAAAGCAGCATTGACATAAGCATGTAGTATTAAGATGGTGTGGTTCATTCATACTGCTTCATTCATTCAACCTCCCACTGTTTGCACATTTATGCAGGATACACTACGTAGAAATGGGTTCATGGGTAAAATTATTCACACACACACACACACACACACACACACAGCAGTGTTACTGCTTTACTGAATGGGTGATCTTTTATTAGCTAAATTGAAATTATCTTCATTTGACTCCCCTGTCTCCAGATCTGCATCCTAAGGTCAATCTGTAGACTGAAACATGATATTTTTGCATTAGGACAAACTAAAAGAAACAAATTAAAAGCCTGTTGCATGATAAAATAAACTCTTAAAGGTGCAATAAGTAGAAATTCGAGATTGAAATAATCACAAAACAGTCTAATGTCTCAGTCATGTTGGAAGGAAGTCTGCATTGAAAAAGATTGCCTTCTCTGTCGGCTGGGGGGTTGCCAGATTTTCTCCTTTTGAAAATGCAGAAGAAGGACGAAGGCCCAGTCCTAATACTTGCAGTGTGCCCTGTGGTTTTCTGTGAATTGCACTTGGAGGAAGTGAGCAGTAGGGTTCGGGGGCATACATGTGCCGCATTGGCACCGATTGGGACAGGGAGCATTGCATCAACTACACATGCTGGGATGCTGGTCGCGGTTTGTGCTACTTTTTACAGAAAATGTATTAACAACTTTCAAACAAACAATTATTAGACTAAATTTACATTCATTGCTGTTTCACTCTATTTCACACTGGAAGCATCAGTGGCGTGGATAGGCGGTGGAACGTTTTATTCAAGAGACTCAACGCGGTCCAGTACACATCGTCAGAGTTTTGGCCGCGGAATACTTCCTCGCTGGACACGCAAGATCAAAAAATCCCTTGAGACTTCAAAGGTCACGGTTTGTTTATGAAATCTGCCATTAAACCAACAAGAAGGAAATCACGATTGATACCACTGTTTGATGTTTTTCCGCTCTACTGCCAGGATTAAAGCCATCAAAAACACACTGCTGCACTCCTCGAACAATGCAGGGAGTACAAAAGTACAAAAGTAAAATGAACTTATTTAATTTGAAAATACATATTTTTCACAAAAGGTACTTGAGCCATTGCTCTACCCTCTTCTAAAAACTCCCACGCAGAAAGGAATTGCAGGTAATGCCCTTGCCCGAAGTCCGCATCTATGCAGACTTTGGATCGAGGAAGCAAAGTGGGCGTGGTCACTTTTTGCATTTGATTATCGGGACATCTTACACACTTGCACCTCTGGACAGGATCATGTAGATGAAGGGGGCAAGAGTGGAAGTGCAAGTATTGGGACTGGACCATCGGTTTTGTTTATAATTTGCCCTGCTTCCATACTTCCTGGTTCCAGAGCCATATTTGAGCTCACAGGGTTGCCAAGCCTGGGCAGGAAAACACTGCTACACCAGCATTTGTAATTGGACACCGCCTGGTTGAAAGCAGCAGTGTTGTAGAAAATTGGAAGCCAGTAGGAGTGGCTCAGTAATTATCTATTGTACCCCTAAGAAGCCACAACACCTTTATGACTCTTCTTCACTTGACATCTAGAATCTTCATGGCGCTGATCTTGCAACAGATGGTCAGAAAGGACTCATTTGTTTTGATAGGGTCCAATCCCAATACTTGCACATCCACCCTTGCGCCCTTCAATTGCACGATCCCGACCAGGGGTGCAAGTGTTTAGGGATTCTCCAATGCGGAGGTTGATCACTCCCCTTGTGCACCTTTGATCCGCACTACACCCAAGTCCACATAGGTGTGATTTCAAGGGCGTTGACACCCATAATGATAGCTGCTCAGGAGAAATTTCAATTCTGAATATAAAATATTTAAAGTGAGGTGTACAGAGATAAAAGGGGAAGCCAATTAGAATTATTTGCTTTGAGATAATTGACAGCTTCTTATCAGAAAAATATTAATGAGACGGCTTTTTGATCTTGATGATGCAGCAAGAGGAAGAGAACTTTAAATTCCGTCACTCCCTGACTTTTATTCAAGTTAAATGTAAAACAACCAGTTACATAACTTTAAATTGAAAAGTGAATCATAGTTTAACTAAACTGTCCTTTTCAGGAGCAAAATTAATACAACAAGGGGGGAAAAATCAGTTGAAATTTTCTCTGAAGGAGGCGTGTGGAGGTGTGCGGTGGTGGAGGTGCGTTGCGCAGGCGACAGGTCGAGCCACACCTGGCCTGCTGCTCGGAGGCGTGTTTGGTTGTGAAGTTTTCTTTCTGGATTTCTCACGCGCCTTTTCGGCTGCATTGTGCGTTCCCGTGTCGCTCGTTGACTCCTGAGTTCAACGCGGTAAAATGTACAAAAGTCTCTCAGTCCACCATGTGTTGACGTAAGTCTGACACACTTCTTTACGCACGAGGATCTCCCCAAAATCTCCCCAAATGTGTGACTTGAATCTAAAATAGTGCCCGGAATTAATTACACACGACTCCATTCAACTCTCTGGATAGAAACCAGTCGGTGATTTGTATTTTATTCATGATTTTGATTTTAAAGAAATCTCTTCAAACGTTTTTTAATCGATTTAGCGCAGCTGCGGGTGATTCATCACCTCATGCAAACATCACGACCCACTCATCTCTAATGTTGACCAAAATTTTAAAACGATTCGACTACAGGTGTCACCTGCTATCGTCCCTATGATCTTTGGAGACAGAGCTGAGTCTGAGTTCGCTTTGGGCCGACTTTATTTTCAGCTTTTGAATGGATAAAGCTCTTTTTTGTCTTAAAGCGCTGCGCCAATTAAAACCCATTTTGGAAATCCTCTGTAATAATTACAACACATAAAATGGCTAAATTGAAGCTTATGAAAGAACATATATGTGCGTTTTATATTATGCGTTTTCACACTCGACTTTACACTGATAAGATTCCGTTATGTGATTTTTCGCAGGTTTCACTATTTGTCTTCACGCTAAAGTAAATCCGTACAACACAATGTACTATTTCCATTCCTCCTTTTAGAAGCCCTGCGCAGTGATTCAGGCTATACTTTTCCTCCCCTTCATATAAATAGCTGCTCCGTTCAGTGACGTGGGATACGCACGTACATGTGTAGGTGAATCTTTGAATGAGCCACCTCTCCCCTCCCCTCTCCCCGTCCATCCACCCCTCCATCTCCTCCATCCCTCCTCATCCTCCCTCCCCACCACGCCTCCCCCTCCACTAGTTACTACGGGATCTCTATAAAAAGCCTATGGATGGGAGAGCCCGGTCTGTGTGGGGAGCGACTTTGGAGAAGACGGATGGCGGCGTGGCGCTGATTTGCTCTGACACTTTGGTGGAGGAGAGGAGACCGGACGGACATGCTTCCAAGCAAAAGCGCGACAAAACGCAGCCGCTCGGGGAACTTTTCCAGGAGGTGAGCCAAATCTCTGCTTCGTTCAAGTAAATTTAGATGAACTTTACAGAACACAAATGTAGATAATATTAGATTTTAGTATATTGGATGATCTAAATCCCATTAACTCTGATTGAATTGGCTTCTCGAGCCTCTGGTTGGAAGTTGCTGCAGTGTGACTCATGTCACTCCAGCACTGAGCCAGAGGGGAGGGAGAGATCTGATAATATTATTAATAATAACAATAATAATAAAACAAGTCATTTTATATTTCGTTTGTTTCTGGGTCAACATTAATGTATGAAATGTGTCACTTTTGGTTCATCTGGCTGCATAATTAAGCCGTGAGATGCTGGTTTTTAAATGCCGCTGTGCCATGGACATGTGCGCGGACCGAAATTGTGACTCGGTTTGTCCGAGAGACGGGGGGGTATTTGGTGTGGAGGAGGTGGTGATGGACTGCACCTCGCCAACTCCTTCTCCTTCTAGAAACTCTCTCTCTCTCTCTCTCTCTCTCTCTCTCTCTCTCTCTCTCTCTCTCTCTCTCTCTCTCTCTCTCTCTCTCTCTCTCTCTCTCTCTCTCTCTCATTTTCTCTCTCTCGAGGCACCGGGAGGTTTCCGGTGATAGTGATGACATGACTGCCATCACTTTCTTCCGGTGTGGCCCCATCCAATCTACTTTCCCCTCCCCCTTTTACTCCCCTTCGTGCACTTCCGGTCGGCGTTTCTTTCATCTCATTTTTTTCAGTTCTAATTCTGTGACGTCGTCAGCCAGTGAAGTCACATCTGCGTCACTCTTGCGCACGTTGCAGATGAGACGCACTCACTTACTATATAACCCCTTTAACGGCATTGCGCTCACGCACGCTGCGGTGTGATCGTCAGCTTGTGAAGGCGCAATGTTAGAGTCGCGTGCATGGGCGACACAGGAAGGGGGAGAGAAGGCGGAGCTTTGATAACGGCAATCATTTGAATTATTCAAATTGATTAATTTTGAAAGTGAATCATTTTAAAATGATCGTTTATTGCAGATTAGACACGTGATCATGTTATTTTTTAAGAGCATGTTGGATTTAGTCTTTTACAAAAAATGTTAGAAAAAGAATCAAAGTCAGCACGCGCACTCAGTTCACTTTTCCCCCAGTGCCATGGAAACCAAGCCAGACCACTATCTGCCCACGCGCTCTGATAAGCCGTGGAAGAAATGAGGCGCGAGCCGATTGGTGTGCTCGTGGAGTGTCGTCACACGCGCGTACCCCCGGGGGCTGTCGAACACGTCACGGACCTCGTCAGCTCGAATCGCCAAGGAGGAATTATAGAACCAGTTGTGACAGATGTTCGGTTACATGCGTGATGAATGGAAGACTCGCTAAACCTGCGAGGTGGTGAATTTCCGTTCTGTTCCGTTCAGCACCACGGACAGCTCTTGTCTGTGTCTCTGTCCAAACGCGGTGGTGCTGAAACGGAAATCACACCGAACCAGTCAGAAAGAGATTCATTAATGAAGAATAAGCCTCACTTATGCTAAAATGGCTTATTTCCTTATTTTAAAAAGCCAATAATGTCGATTTATACCTAACGCAACGCCCTCATTTTGCCACATGTGTTCAAGAGCTGCGAGTGAAGCCAAACTTCATAATCAACATTTTAAGAACTTTCACCTTTTGGCAAATTCAGTCACTTATCTTACTTAATGTTAGTAAAGCAATCATAAATGTTACAGAGTGTGTACAGCTCTACCAGCAGAGAAATTAGATCCATATGAGGTAAAATTAATCATTGCTGTCGAGTTTTTGTTTTGTGTTTTGCCAGCTGTATAATTATGTTCCCACATAAACGAGGAAGTAAATTAGTCTGATTCTGGGTTATCCGTTAAACACTAGCTGAACATTTCATGCTACAAAGATGACTAAATCCTCTGAGCACATTCGTTTTCCCATTCAGTTTTGATGTTTAGGAAACAAACAAGAACCAGAAACTAAAAGAACACGGATAAAAGCGTATTGCAGCTTGGTCTGATGTAAGTGAATTGCGTTAGATTTCATTTCACTAATTTAAAGTCTTCCTTTCCTTGTGTTGCTGCAGATTTCCACACAGAGGAGATTTACTTCCTTCTTGCCATCTCCTCTCTGCTCTCCTGCCAGAGCATCAGCACCTTGGCTTTAGACTGCTTACTGCTTATACAGTATCACAGCACAGTAACAGTCTACAGTCATGGCTACTGAAGCCTGGTAATGCAACAGACACGGTAGAAACAGGCTATGTGCACACGAGGGGAAAGGGGAATACTGGAAGTGCGCAGTACTTATAAAATGGCTGAATTGATAGCTGGATCTCACTTTCAGTGCGAGCACGTGTGTGTGTGTGTGTGTGTGTGTGTGTGTGTGTGTGTGTGTGTGTGTGTGTGTGTGTGTGTGTGTGTGTGTGTGTGTGTGTGTGTGTGTGTGTGTGTGTGTGTGTGTGTGTGTGTGTGTGTGTGTGTGTGTGTGTGTGTGTGTGTGTGTTTCTCCCACACAGAGAGGAAAGCCTGTGTGGGCTTGCATTGGGGGAGTCCTGCACCCCACAAGTGAGTAAGGTTCACACTCAAACCAATGAGCTCCTGCAGCTTCCAGTTACCATGCCAACTGCAGTTCCACCTCCACCCTTGCTGTCTCCATGGCGACCGTGGCTTTAGATTGTTACTCTAGCAACAGCACCATGGTAACAGTCTACAGCCATGGTCGTTAGGGGCAGGTGTCATCCGGAAACCAAAGGAAAGATCACTTTTAATTGCATCTACTTGTAAAAATGTTTCTCTTTGATGTTTGTCTGAATTAATATGCAACAAACTGAATCTATTGGCTGTAGGAAACAGTTTCAGAGTCACAAAATGACGCACGAGCACACGCTGCTTTTCAGTTTCTTTATAAAGTTTAATTAGTGAAGTACAACGATACATGCAAACATTACAAGCTGCACAGATGAGTTAGTAAGCTCCACTTTCTGTTCATCAGACAAGAGAAGCTTCACTTCAAAGTAGCACAGTTAGGAAATTCCAGTGGGTAGCGTCCAGACCTCGGCAGAGTCCTGCACAGGTGGGATAACACACACCTTCACACACACACTCTTAATGTGTGCTTGCAGCACAATATCAGAGCTGTTTCAAGCACAACTCTGCAGTGTCCGGAGTTAGTCTGCCATCTAGTGGGAAGATAAGCAAATGTAACAGATTTCGTGTTTTTTTTTTTTTTTTTTTTTTTTTTTTTTTTTTTTTTTTACTAAGTGTATTTTCCTAATAATAAATGTTTGGTCTTTTTGAATAAATCATTAAAATTGCCAAAGTGCAAAGTGTTTTCTGCTTAAGTCGTGTCCTCTCAGCATCTCCACTTTGTCAAATCCTAGAAATACTAAAACACAATTACTAACCCTAGACTTAATGTAGACAAAAAGTTTTAAAGCAAGAAAGAAAATAGCATGAAAACCTGATCAACTGTCTTGCAATTTGTTGGACAAAAGGAAAAACGTTCACTTAACAAAGTTTTGACAGGTTCAAAACATTAAAACAATTAAAAAAAAGATTTAAAAAGTAAATCTGAGAGATAAACTCTAACATTTACTGTGTTTGTGTTTTAAAAAGGAGAGCATTTTAAAAGAAGAGAAAGAAGGAGTTGTTTGTTCTCCACCTCCCTGCACTGTAAAAGCTCACGTGCTGATGGATGAGCAGCAGCACATAAACTCTTACTGTTCAGGGTGGAGGAGTGCTTCATTACCCGTAAATCCTGTTCAATTCTAACACATTTAAGAAATGTTTAGTAAGGGGATTCATTACAATAGCATCTCGTTACTTAAAACACACTTGAACAACACACATCAATTTCTGCAAGTTGGATAGCAATTAATGAATAACTTAAATAATGGGAAAACAGTTTTAAAAATTAGACAATCAGACGCTCAAAAAGAATACAAATTACACTCGAAGTCATGTAAGGTGCAGATTTTTGTAAATTTTTTGTTTTTATTTTAACAATATTTGCAAATTATCCCTCTAATAAAATACTGAACCATAAAAAATGACTTTTGATGGAAGTATTGCCCCATTTCCAGTCCTCCAAACAAGATTGCACAACAGCATTCTTTTTCTTTTTTCTTTCCTGTTGGCTCTTGCGCATCACAGCTTTCTTCCTTCCACCGCAGCGCTTGTCCACAGGCACAGTGACTAATATTTACCCCTGTAGTGTCAGGCAGCACTTACAGAGGACAGCCAAACCACAGCTCTCCTCGCCAGGGCCCATCCATAACCTCAAAAACAGACCAACGAAGGAGACGGACTCGATGGCCGCTGCCGTAACCAAAAACGGCCTGCTCCCTGTGTCCTTAATTCACCTTTGTGCGTGCTCTGTTACACAGAAACACTTCTGCATTCATGTGATCATTTAAATCAGACACACTCCAGCTTAAACTGAAAACAACCCACAAATAAATCAACTCTACTGTGGATGGTCTGCAGCTGCTAAATGAAGAAATGCGTTACATTCCTGATTTGTAACACATAGCTGATAAATAGGTAGAAATCAAACAATCTGAGTGTGTTCAAGTGTGTTCAGGCTGCAGGCAGAAGCACACACTGTCCACAAAAACAAGAAAATCACAAAGTAGAGGATCATCAAAAGTATGAGAGTGTGAGGGTAAAAACAAATGACTACATTTCATCCATGTGGAGGAAAATAACTGCAAAAACACACCCACACGTGCTCACACACACACACACACAGAGGCATAAACACTCAACTTCTCTCACCTTTTCTACTCTTTAAACAGAAACGAAACCCCACTTGTTCTTCCGTTTGAAAACATACGCTGCATGTGCCAGACGCACAGCAGAACTGAGCACCAGCTCTTTGCTGCATGACGTTTTCCCCTCCTTTGCTCTTACCAACGCGGGCACCGCTGTTCCCAGTAAAACCACAGAAACAAGCGCAGAGACTTGGTAAATCTCCACCTGACACTGGGCTAAAATAATTCCTGTTAGAACACAGCAGCAGCAGCCACAGAAAGAGAAAGATAAATTTAAAAAATTGTAAAAATTTCTCCAGCTCCTCTCTTTTTCAAGCAAAACTTTAAATGTAAATAAAAGTGAAGTTCTGTTGCTGCTAAATGTGAATTAATCCAAAGTTGAAGGCTGGGTAAACAGATCCCAACATGCTGAAATCATGGATTATCCCTGGTAGATGCAGCCCAAGTCAGATGTCAGTGTCTAGTCTGAGTCCGGGCCATGGGATGACCAGGCTCTTTGGAGTTCAAGTTCAGGACTTTTATAAAACCCTCTCCACATGGCCCCACCCCCTTCTTCCATCTCCCATAACCACAAGAAAAAAAAAATCAAAACAGCCCGGCTGTGCTCTGACACTCCCCTCTTCTCCTTGTCGCTTCGTCTCCCAAAACATCCCAAAAAGTTGGAAAAAGTGACACAAAAACCTAAATGCATCCCGTTTCAGCCGCAGCAGTCGGAGCGGGAGCTGGAGAGGGGGTGAGTTTAGTGAGGGAAGAAGAGAGAGGGGATAACTCCACCCTCATCATTCCATTATTTCCAGGCAGTTGTGCAACAGGGAGAAACAGATTCCTGAGAAAAGAGTCACGGCTCTGTTGTAAAACTTACTGGCAAGAGTGACCCTCTGTGTTTTTCTTTTACGGTTTCCCTTCCTCACTCACTTGCTCCATTCCTCTGCACTTGTTATCAAAACCATGTGTAGAAGTGAGTGTGTGTGCGTGTGTGTGAGTTAGGAGGCCTTGAAGGGACACAAGGGCCACAGGGGGGCACGGGAGACTGTGGATGCAGCAGAAAAGCACCCGTACGAACTGCAGATGGATGTTTAACAGAGGATTCTGTTGAAGAATTTAAGACGTGGAATTTCATCTCAGCAGGAGCAGCAGATACCCAAACAGACATATGATTGTTGAGTCAAACGTTGGCGACTCACAGGATGCAGCAGGAGGGGGAGGCAAGGGCATAGAGGGAGAGTCTGATGGCGAGATGAAAGAAAACAGGGTGAGACGTAGAAGAGAAAAATCTGGAAGTAATTGAGAGAGCGCGGCCTGACATGCACATGTTTCAGCTACAAAAGAACAACACGTACTTGAACCCTGCACACAAACAAGTCTGTGGAACTACTTTATTCAGTCCTGATTTTAAAACTCATAATGCAACGGTTGAAGGATTCTCATCATTATTCTTCACACTCTGCACAAAGGGACTAAATGACCTACTGCTCAGAATATGGTCTGCAAATACTGTATGACCCCAAATCCTTATGAGGCCAGGTATAAAATAAAACACCAACAATTAAACCCTGTTAGCTCAGGTGTGTCAAAATGTTTAAATCCTGTTGTCCACAGGAACAGGAAAAATTCTTTTGTAACTTTAATCATCAATGCTGAGTTGTTTTCAGAATCTAAAGAAATTGACATCTTGCTATAAAATGGGTCTTTTAAGAACAACCATCCTTTAAGGGGATGTGTTGTTAGTTTTTAATAAGTTATAATAGTTTTATGGTCAATACAAAACATGTTCATGAAGTTGTTTGCACTAAATTACTCTCCATGAAGCGATTTCAGCAGTTTTATTCTTGACAGTTTCAGTACCTTCCAGAATGAGCCATTTCAGGGCCTTGTCAATTTAAGAAAACAAGCTGGAGCTGGCCACACTTACGCCGGGGACACACCGGCCGCGGAAGCGCCGAGAAGCGAATCACTCACGAAATTCGGCCGCTGCTCGCCGCTCCTCAGTTCAGATCAGACGCACCCCAGTCGAGGCGCGCCTCGGCTCAGCTGTAGTTTCTTTTAAACACTTGGTGTCCTCCATTTCCTCTCTGCCTTTTCTCAGCTCTTTTCCTCTATGTTTAAGTGTTTGTACGTGTGTGTGTGTGTGAACCTATGGTACGAACCAGTTGTTTCTTCCAGTTGAATCTCTTGGAACCCGCTCCAATTCTGCAGCTGTATCCTAGCAGTTTCTTCCAAAATGGGTACGTAAATAATCATGTTTTTCGGGGGTCGTACAGCTCCTTGTGTTTCTCAACTTCCATAATTCATTTAAAGTCATCCATCTTAACTGCTTGCCTCAGACTTTCTGCCTCTCTGTCCTGTTTGCTCCGGAAAAAAGACACCCAAAACCATACCCCCTTCACGTGGTCACACACGCACACAAGTTCGATGTGTGTGTGTGTGTTCGTGTGGTTTTTCTGCAGTGTCTGATTACAAACACATTTGACTATTGCAGAATTTTATTTTGAAATGCTTTATTTTGTTAAATTTACCGACCTGCCTCTTATGTCTAGGTTTGACTTCCTGCCAGAATTGACGCGATTCACCCGCGGCTCGCAAAAAAATAGAGCAGACGCCGAAATGATTGCTGCACGGCGTGGGCTGGAGCGCCGGCGCGAGGCGATTCGCTGCGCTTCGGCGGCCCATGTGGTCTATAGAATAGCTTAACAAGGGTGCCGAATGAAGGCGGCCCCATTTTCGCGGCGCTTCCGCGGCCGGTGTGTCCCCGGCGTTTACCCATCCCGATTGGCTGCTATGAGCTGAGAAGCTCCGACATTCGGGAGGGGCTCTGAGTAGAGCTTTTACTCCAGCCTGGAAAGGTTAGAGGTCAGGGTTTTATGAAAATTTCTCCTTTTGTGACATCATAAATCAGGACTTTTGGAAATTGCTTGTTTTAGGCACAAAATCCCTAAAACACTGACAGAAAATGTACTTTTTTTTAAACCTATGGAGTGTTTATAGACGCAGTGGAATCGCACAAAAAGCAGTAAAAGACGAAAAAAGCTAAATGTTTCAGATTTAAAGTTAAGAGCTTTGCCAGAAAACAGGTTGGGACAGCAGTAGTCCAGGAGGTAAAGCAGGTTGTCCGGTAATCGGAAGGTTACATGTTCGATCCCAGCCCCGATCAGAGAATGCTGCTGTTGTATCCTTGGGCAAGACACCGCCTTGCCTGCTAGTGGTGGTCGGAGGGACCGGTGGCACCAGTGTTCGGCAGGCCTCACCTTTGTCAGTGCGCCCCAGGACCGCTGTGGCTACATTGTAGCTCATCCCCACCGACTGATCACATTGTAGAGCGCCTTGGGGGGTTGTGGAACCCTCCGAAGGCACTGTACAAATACAGGCCATTTACCATTCCAAGAATGTATGTTTGCACAAAAAAGTTGAAAAGTCTGCAGATAATGAAAAATTAAACATGAACATCGCTGAATATTACTTCCGATTTAGACTTTCATAAAACTGGAAATTTTCTTCCAAGATGAAGATTTATAACTAAACCTAGAAATTACTCATTTTGGGGGCAAAATTTGACTCCAGTCAATATATTTTGTAAACTTTTTAATTAAAATATATGAAAACTACAACTTTTTAACACCAAACTCATTTAATGCTGTAGGTAAAAATGATAATTTTATGTACTTTTTATTTTGCAGTTGCTTCCTTAACATGGTAGCAAGGCTTTTTTAGGGTGGCCATTTTCACCCTATGCCACCCCAGTAGATATGTCCCTAGCTGGCAATTCATTAAACAAGTGTGTGCTTCTGAACTGTAGGATTATTTGCCTATCAGGGAAAAAAGCAAGCACATGGTTCTGACTTCTCCAACCAAAACCCAATAAATGTGCTCTAAAGCATGTTTTTAAAATATAAATCACAACATTTCAAATATTTTATTTTGTTTTAAACACATAAAACTCTACGAAATTGGACATATTCAACATTTCAAAAATAAAGTTCACATTCTCTCTGACTTTTCTCGTTTTCAGTCTTGGTGCTCATGCTCCTGTCCAGGAATGAGCCAGCGGATGCTGTCTGCTCGCAGAATGGCGTAGACTGTGAATCCAGTGATAAAGAGGTGAGAGAAGACTAACAGCCAGTCAATGCCCTTTACTGGGACACTGGGCAGAGGCCCAGCATAATCTGCATCTGTCAGATTTCTGTTGGGATCTACTTCAAATCCTTAAAAAAAAAAGAGAGAGAGAGTCTGCCAGTCAATTAAAATGAGTGAAATAGCTAAACTGCATTGTTTCATTCGGTTTCTGTTGTATGTCTACCTGTCTGATTGGCAATGAAGGAAGTGAGCATCTCCAGAGTCCTGTCGGTGTGGTTGAAGCGAGCCATGGGCTTGGCCCCCTGGAACAGCAGAATGTTTGGGACTGCCACCGTCCCAAACCTGGTGGAGAGGCTGGTGGAGGAAACATGACAATTCTTAAAGCCATATATTTAAGTCATGGTGATCAGATTTTAAATAATCACCTTTGGTTACAATTTTCAAATACATGAAAGTTCTATCTTGTATTTTTAACTCAAATCTGTGTCTAGTTCATGCATCATCTGAGTAATCAGCTGCATTTCTTTCAGAAAACATGTTAGATTAACTGAAACCACAAAGAGAAAATGTGTAAAAATGCTAAGTTAAGGTGCCTCAATGTGACATTAGCAGTAAGTAAGCTAACACATGTTACCACAGGAGCACGGTTTGTATTCACCTGCTGTGCTGTGAGGCATCTAGTGCCAGGAAATGCATGCTGGGAAAAACACGAGGCAGAGCATTGAAGTGAGGAGCAAGGTTGGCTGAGAACCGACACCAGGCGGTGAAGAACAGCACCACAGAGCACTCTGTGCTGTTAGCATTAAGGTACTCCATCAGATCCTGAAGGACGTGGGAAGAACATGTTCAATAAACCCTCTGTCTGCTCTTTAACATTACATGGAATAATACTTGAGTCGTGATGACCAACGTTTTATAATTCTGGTAGGAGAATAAGCTAAACATTTGCTACCTGTGAAGCGTTGAGAACCTGAACGGTGAAGTTCTCCATCCCTGTGGTGTTTCTCCTATCACAGGTCACTTTATAGGTTTTGGCTGTCTCTGTGGTGTTCTGCTCTTCTGGTGGCGTGTCTGCAGGCACCATCTCAAGACTGACCTGCAGGTAAATACAAAATCATGAGAACTTCATTTACTGTTGCAACTAATGTTATGTAAAAATGATTAGTTAAGCATTTAACCATGACATAAACTGATATTAAAGAGCAAAGTGAAGGTAATTTTTTTTTCTAATTCATATAAAATGCTGTTCAAAAAATACTATTTGAAATGCTTATTGTGGATATTTCATTTTAAAATACATAACAGCAATTTTTCTAGTAAAAAGTGTCATTTTTCAGCAAAGCTTCTCAAAAGGCTCTTTTTCTAAATCTGAACCTCTGACGTAACCAAAGGGAGTTAGAAGCTAGGCGCTGCCTCAGCTCAGTGTGGAGAGTGGGTAGTTTTAGGGTAGAGGTCGTGAGTCAAGTGTGTGTGTTTACTACTGTTGGGCTGTGTTCATTTTGATAAACTATAGTTTGTGAAGGCTGTACCAACTCCAGCTTGTCCGGACATCAAGTCCACGGGTTTCCAAACAAGAGAAACAATGCCTCTATCTCCGTGCCCGAGTGCGTTTTGTACGGCTGAAAAGACGGGACCGTGCTGAGCTCCGGAGACCCGTGGCGGGGTTTAAAAAATTTAAATGCGGATTTCTGGAACCCTCAGAACCAGGTCAGAATTGACCGCCGTGGCTCAGCGAGCCAGTGGAGCTGGTTTCTGGGTCGGAACCAGATCAGAACCGCTGCGGACCACCAGGAAAAGATCATGTGCAGCTTTTAAAAATACCAGCTGGACTGGCTCGCTGGTGTCTGGGTTGGATCCAGCCTAAAAGCCTAAATAATTTATGTATGTGTTAAATTTTTTTTAATGAGTTTCTATTATGTTTCTCTAAACACTGGTTCATGGGAGTCTCTAACTTGCAATTTGTTCTTTAAATTCCCTTCATATTCAAAAGCTTTGATATTTTCAACTGTGCCACATCTAACTAATGTAGTTCAGTGGTGAACCTGTTGCAGTGATTCGGATTCCCACTCTTCCATCCACTCTTCATCAGCAGCAGCAGCAGCCGGAGGTGGCGAGCCACACTGACCACTGCTCTCATCACAAGGTGGGGAGAAGCCAGCCTGGAACTCTTTCACATTCTTGGGAATCAGAGATTCAATGTCAGATGGATCGATCGGGATTTCTGTCCCCATCACGGCATCTGCCATTTCAGCTGTCTTAAACTGTCTCTTTGGCAGCGAGTCGAAATCCTCTGACTCCACAAATGTTGGGTCGTTCTTCAAGTCAGATGCCAAGCCCTCTGATGGTGGCTCATCGTTTTCTGAAAAGAGATGCATACCATTGTTTAAATGATACTTTAGCAAATTAAATTTTTCTTTTTATCAATAAGTGTAGATAAAATGCAGTACATATTTTAACAGAGCTCAATAAATGCAGCTTAGACTGTTGCTCGTGATGCTAGTTTTCTAAAACGCATATTTGTTGTTTTCTTGGACAAAAGGTATTTGATAAACCTTTTGTGGACGCTTTTATTTTAATTTGATTATTAAATAGTATATAACGAAAGACTGGTGAAAACAAAACCATGGAGTGAAATATGATACAAAATAAGGTAACATCAAGTTTGTCTAAACAGCAGCATCACTAGCTTACTGTTTGACTAGCTAACAGTTTCCTACCTTCTGCCGTCACAGACGACGAACTCCACACGGTAAATTTACACAAAATAAATAATAAATTAAGCAATAAAAGAAATGTATTCCTGTTTCCGAACATATTTTATAAAACAAACAAACAAAATACGCAATGATGAGCTATGAGGCTATCGCCTCGGAACGAATTATTGAAGCGCTGACGGAGTGTGATTAGTGACACACGGGCAAGTTTAGCTTCCGGTGTATGGCTCTCCCAAAACGCACTTCAAATTAAAAGATCATCCTCGGACCAATTGACCAGTTTCTGCCAGTTTCTGGCTTTCCCGTTATCTAGACTAAGTAGGTTATTAGTGCTAATTTAGAAACCTTAAGAATGTACAAGTATTATTCAAAGTTTAGTTTAATTTTAGGAAGCTGTAGTAACTACTTATGTCCGTCAGAGGGCGGAAAACCCCTTACACAAGAAAGCCAGACAATAAAGGATGGAATTCTCCTGTTTTCATCAAGTCAAACAGCAGGTTAGAAATAAGTCAAATACAAGTTAAATTATATTAAAAAAACAGTAAAAAGAACTGCATTTCTTTTTGTTACTGGCTGTTTTCTGTGTTTGTTTTATTTATTTAAGTAGCTTATAAATATACATCGTTTTTCTGTTCAAAACAAAAATGTGGGACCTTTTCTTTTAATTCAATGTCTATGAATGTCTGTGTATTTATAAGATGTGTTTTTTATTTCTTTGGTGTTTAACTAATAATTAAAATAACCTAATAGATTTAAAGGGGCAACAGTGACAGAAGAAGTGTCCGTACCTCCAAAATGCATTTTATTTTGAAAGAATTTTAAGGAAGCTTTTCTATTATAATTACTGTGTTGTAACTTAATTAAATGTAGTTTCCTCATCCTCTACTCCTCAATCATATTTATATTCCCAGAAAGACAAAAACAAGGATTAGGCGTTTTACTGAGGTAAAGAGGCTAAAATGTTTTCTTCGTTGTTTTGTGGCCTAAAATTAATTGTTCTTCATATATTTAAACATGCACCTAAAATGTCAAATAAATGTCTTGGTGCATGCTCATTGCTTATCTAGACCGAGGATTACAATAAATCATACATTTGAATTAAAGTTTTTCAGAAACGCTTGAAAAAAATTCTGATCTATAGCTTTTGAAGGGTTTGTCAAATGTTTTATTTTTAATTATGTTGATGATGATTTAATGATTCTAATGTGTTCATGCATCTCAATTTCATTAGAAATCCTAACTTTCATGGTCATCGCTTCCTAAAACGGGATTTTTATCCTGATCCTAAACTGAAGCAGTTCATTCATGAAAGCACAATTAATTCAAAACACAACCTTAATTTTAAAGATTTATTACACAATTCTTCACATTTCACAACAATCATGCAGGAATAAAATGGGACGTGTCCAAAGCTAAACAGGCTTCATCAGTCACACTCCTGGAATAACTAGACATTAGAGCTTCTTAAAAACACAGATGTGAGGTGACGCTGAAGGGTGAGAGAATAAACAACAGAATATCTAAAAATCATAACACTGATATTAACTGTGACCCTCATAATGTTCATTTTCATTTCTTACATTCTTCTTGCAAATGGATTCCTTCTGCAAAATAAATTCTAATTATTGTTTCATTACAAAATTTAGTGAATAAAATAGATTAAAATGTACAGTAAAGCTTTAATCCTAGCTTTACTTTAGACATTTAGTATGAATTATTAATAGAGGCAAAATCTAACGTCTCGTGTAGGCATCGTTATGATGGGACAGCATATGTTCAGCATCTATACATGTACGCTTCTTAAGACTTTTTTATATTTTGACTTAAATAACCTTTACTGTAAAGAATGTCAATGATTCCCTCATGTCCGTGTCCAAAAGATAACACAAACCATTTAAATATATTTATATTATAATTTAGACTGAGCCAATTTTTTCTAAACTATCCAGAGAAGCTGAAAAAAATACTTTTCTTTCCAAATGCTGAACAAATCAAATATATATGTGAGGTTAGCTTTCACAACATAACATCCACACAAAGATCCTTTTAATAAATCGTGTATAGAACTGCACTATTTACCTTTAAAACACAAAAATCAAACAAACCAGCTACGTTTGCTTGCTGTGGAGTTATTAAATACAAGAAAACTATTGTTTACTTGCTTTCTTGTCAAAAGAAGAAAAACGTTACAGTGCATGAATTTATTTCTATTTATTCTAGAATAAACAGATTGATGTGATAATTTAACTGTAGAAAACAACCTTTAGGGTGAAGAGACGTAACAGAAGGTGGAGCGATGCTACAAGTGTCGATTTTGTGTCTGAATAAGCTGCGAGACATCTTTTTAAGGTTCTGTTTTTCTGTCATATGAGGTTTCTGTAAACAAAAGCTACCTGGCTAATAGTGCGTCGCACAAGCACATTTACACCAGGGGTTAAAACCTTTTGAATTGTTCCGACACAGTTTAAGAATTCAGTAAACCACGGTTACCAAAAATACTACAAAAGGATATGTTGGAAGCAGAATAACATGTGGATTAAACACTAAATTAAATTGTTAATATCGGTTTTGTTTTATTTTACTATTTGACCGACCGATGCGACTTGAAGGGTAGAGTCGAACGTGTTTAGTTTGCTCTCGTCGCTCTGACAAAAGGAACAAATGTCTGCAGACAAGCGGCATTCTTTGGTGAAGAAGAGTGAAAAACTTTGTGAGACGTTTCATCCACACGGCACGAATCACCCAAAAGGTACTGGGTGGAGCTTTAAAATCACAGCAATAATAAAAAGTTAATTACAGTAAAACACAACATTTTATTGCACCAAATTTCAGTTTATAACTATGTTAGCAGAGAATTCAAACTAATTTGCTTACTGAAGTTTTTTGACCTCTTTATAAATAATACAACTCAACATGGAAGAAAAAAGGCCAAATTTGACTTTAAAAGTCTTTGATTACATGGTCTCACTATATTTACAGTGTAACATGCTATGAAATATTAAAAAATAAATTGTTTCGTGACATTTTTGTTAAAATATCAGCTTACAATGAATAAAATACAGCTTCATGTGGTCAATATTTCACCATTTCTTTACATTTTATCCTCAAATCTAAAATTGTGAGGATGTTTTAGGGAAATAAACAACAAGACAATGAAATAAAGTGTCCCTTTCTTCCTCATTAACCATTGAGACAGTCCAGTTTGCACCACGTGTTTCTGTAAGTTGGAGATGTAAAAAATGCAATTATTCATCTAATGAGGTTGAAATTGATCACTTGTTATTTTTAGGTGACGTGTAGAAAAGCAGAGCCTTATAAAATGTACAAACTGGAAATCTATAGGGATATCAAAAATCTTCGGACTGCATCCAACAAAAAGTAGCTGAAAAACGAATCTGCGCTGAGCATCCATGTATGCAATCACTAAGCAATAAAACTTAAGTTATATTTGGAAAACCTAAGATGAGTCTCGGGAAGATCTTGCAGTGGGAATAAACCTCGTTCGTCTGCATTTTCAGCTCTCCTGGGCCGACTAATGAACAAACAAGGTGATGGGAGAAGCTCAGGGGAAACAGAACGTTTGTGTTTTTATTTAATTTATACTTATGTAATAAAACAGGAAAAAAAACAAAGAAAAACTATAAATAAGCCTGTAAACTGAGTTATGACATCTGCATGCAAAAGATAACAACAATAATAAATAATAATAATAATAATAATAAAATCTTTTTGGAAGTAGAATCTAGAAAATAGAAGACGACTACTAAAGAAGTCGTGTTTTTAGGGCTTTCCACCGGAAACATAAGCGGTACGTAATGTCTGCTAACAACTATCCTTATAGTCAGTTTGTATCCACCGGGCGCACAGACACGCATCCCCCAAGTGTAGAATCCTTACTAAAAGTTTACGTAAACTCAGCCATATTTAAAAAAAAAAAACATTTTTCGCAAACTAATTTTCCAACTTTAAAAGCTCCGCTTACACGAAGCTTCACACAGTTCCAGCTTCATAAATCTAAACCAGTCCTAGAAATGTGCTCAGGTGTCCATGGATCATATCCCGCCTCCTACACGCCCACGTTCTGCCGTGAATGATCGATGTAGGGCTGGGCAATATGGCCCAAAATCAATATCACGATATATTGAGGATTTTACCTCGATAACGATTAATGGACGATAACTACAGGTATGCGCAGAAATAAAAGTTGTCCACTAGATGGGGCTGTCAAGTGTATTACGTTGAGTCCCATTTTTACGTGACTCATGGTGGTACAGCTTCTTAAAGAGACATGAGCGTTGTCAACATACACACATCTTTCATTTTTCTAATCATCAAATTTATTGACATTGGAAAAATTATCTCGATCAGAGTCAGAAACTAGGATAGCGATAAATTTTCGATTTATTGCCCAACTCTAGATCAAAACACTTTATAAATATTATTATTTATAAATATTCTGCATAAAAACAAGCCAACTGATAAGTGGCAATCCAAGGTAACTATGGCAACCGAGACATGGGCCGCTTCTCAATACCCAAGTACGCTAGTATGCTCTAGTGTACTTGACAAGTCCGCTCTTGGTAAGTACGCCAGAAAGTCCATTCTACCGAGTATGGGAGGACGAGGGCATCCTTTTGAACAGAACTTTGTTGCTAAAAAAAATGGCCAAATAATAAATAAAAACTGACATAAAAATAAAAGTCTGTCTGTTAAATAACAACAATTACATATTATTTGTATTTGGTCCGCTTTTGACCATCTCTCGCAGTTCATTGAAACAGCTGTTTATGGCAACTCTGCTTTTATTTTGATAGTGGTTGGCTAATTAGCATTCCAAGGCATCGTGAAGAGTCAGAAATAAATATACACTTAAATGTTTTGATGAAAAATGTTATTTTCATTTACCTGCATAAAATGCTGGTATTTTAGCTACTTTGATTAAAACGTTGACCTGATATTATACAAATTTAATATAACTGTTATTTGGTTATTTAAGGGACAAAATAGACTTTATTTAAATTTCAGGTTGTTTTCTTTAACGGTAGCATAAGACAGCCCTTGTTGCCAAGAGGTTACAAAGTATGATTCTGCTCCAAATGCCATCCTCATCTTCCCTTACTCAGTAGAATAGATGTTCTGCTGTACTTGCCAAAAACATACTTAAAAAGTACACAAGAACGTTCTAGCGCACTTGGCTATTGCGAAGCGGCCCGGCTGTAAGGAACACATTTGCTGCATGTCTGAAACGCTCCAGGTAGTCAGGGACAGGCCGCTGAGACTGCAGGTAAAAATGAATTAATTATATTACGCGCCACTTTTGCATCTGGTGGAAAACCGAGTAAAACTGGTTTGGTTACCGAGAGCATGTCGAGATGCTGCTCATCTTTTTTCAGCAGACACCAGATCGCAGAGACAGCTGCTTGTTTAAACCGTAATGATACAGGTGATGATGCTAACACATGAGCTCATTTGTATTGTGCTGATGCAACTTTTGCTTTTAAATGCTACATGTAGGAAGTTGAACTAGGAGCCGTTGGGCTGAAGCTTCGTGCTCCGTGAACAGCTGATTTGTGACTGTTTACGCTCTACAGTGGAGGCATTAGGAAACTAATGAGAAGTATATTAGATGACAGGCATACACATAACAACACTAATATTTTAAAAGCGCGAAGCAGGAAACCTATACGTGTGTCAAATGTTCAAGCAGTTCAGGGAGAAGAAGAATCAGTGCAGAGCCTTGGCTCGTTAGCTGGCTTCTCTTTGCAGGAAGGTTCACAGAGGATTTCTTTGTGTGGCAGTGGGTAGGGGAAGGCTGCTCCACTGCAGGTGCTACTATAAGCTAGTTTGTTGAGGCGAGATAGACCTTTAATGCTGCCCGGAGGTCGTCCAGGGCTGACCTTATACCCAGCAGCTCTGGTTGTACCCAGCGGCCTTCCCGGACTGGTTTTAAACCCAGCAGCTCTAGTTGTGCCGAGGGGTCGTCCGGTGCTGGTTCTATATCCAGCTAGCTTGGTGGTTCCCAACGGCCTCCCGCGTCTGCCCGTCTTCCCGACCCCTTTGCTCTTCTTCTTGGCGTCATCTGGAGGTTGCTCGGCTCCTTTCAGGACCGTTATTTTCCCAGGTGAGCGCGGGTCACCCACAAGAACGTCCTGTCTGTGGCACACTATGGGCTTGTGGCTCTGGGTGGGTAAGGTCATGGGGGCCAATGTCATCTGGAGGGACGTTGGAGGGGGAGGAGGGTAGAACTTGTTGGGCTGGGATGTGCACAGTTCAAAATGAGAGGTGGGGTCGTGGCCATCCTCTGCGAGGCAAGATGGCCTGCTATTTATGCAGAAATCGCTGCTTGTCACCTGGCGCATCATCTTTTGCTGGGGGGGGGGGGGGGGGGGGATAAAAAACAGTTCAGAGTCACTGATGTCTGGTCAGTAGATAAGCATTCAGATGATGCAAAACACCAGCAAATCCACCTTAAAGACTAATTTGATATCTATTTAATGATAAAACATTAGAGCAAACATGTTTTCCGTTAAATTATCGCTTCATTTTATTTTTTTCTAACGGTGTCTGTGCACAGGTTGTAAATAATTGCAATTTTACTAATAGAAGACATCTTTCCAATGGGATATTGATGAGCTAATGGCTTGACAGAGCCCAGCAAAGTTTGATGCTGCCTGTGCGCTGCCTACTGCACTGGCCGTAACAGCCATCATAAAACAGATCCCAGAGAAGTAACTATGTTGTGGAGGTTTTAAAAATGAACATCACATTTGAGCTTCAAGAAAATTTGGAGTCTTTTTTTTTTTATATTTGGACATCTCGCTTGGTTAACAGCAACGTGATTCTTCTACTGTAATGCAACATGGATGTTTTATCTCAACAAATAACACAAGCCTGCAGGAGCTTCTGCCATGAAGTGGCCAACGCTAATGGCTAGCTTAAACTAATTCCATTTTTGGTTCTTTTTTTAAAACACAGGAAATCTTTCCTGTGTAGCTTAAACTATTCGAGAAGTCTGCCTCTTGCTCCGATGTTAAAACAACAGCCTTCCCTGTCGTGAGTCAAGATTGATGAGTCAATACATGCTAATTCATAGTCTGATGTAGATCTGAGGATTTTCAAATCCTAGCATTTCACTGCCTATTTTCTATCAGAAGCTAATTGAGAAGATAAGTGATTAACTACTTTCATGTTCAGCCTGCATGAAAAACTCAGTGACCATTTATCAGAAAAAAAAACATTTTTCAGTCAACCACACCTTGAAAACAGATTCAATCTACTTTTGCCCTGGCTGTGCTCTAACTAGCCGTTAGCTCATCGGTCCTGTCAGATGCAAACTCCCTCTCCAAACAGAGGCTGTTCTGGGAGCACTCTGCAACAGGTCTGCATAGAAAAAGTTAAAATGTCAAAAGTGATAACATCTCAAATCTTTCCAAGAATTTCAGCAAACATCACTTACATTTTGACGATAAAGCTGCGCAACCTCTGAAACCTTTTCCTCTAATCTTGTGTTTTATTGTCCGAAAATATATTTATAAATGTAAAAACTCAAGATTGTAGTTAATTTGACTTTAAAATGATTCAGTTTTAAAGGGGGCTGTCCTTTTAAATCACTGTGATGACAAGGCGGTCCATGTTCCTTTTAAACCAAACAACCCTTATTGTAATGCCACTGCCGCAGTGCCTTTGAGCAACTTTAGTGTGCTAAGAGTAATATATAAAGATAATTTTGAGTCATTAAATAGCGAGGAGTCTATAAGCCAGGGGGTGGGATGTTTTACTACCACCACAAACACACCATCTTTAGTGTTTCCATTCACAAACACATGCACATGGATTCCGCATCTTTGTGTTCAGACACAATAAAACCCTCCGGTGACGTCCGACACCAACAGCTGGATTCAAGCCTTCTGGCCCAGTATTCCATATATTTACAGTTAAAAAAAATTAAACCATGACAGTAACACGAAGGGTTGAATTTACGTGCCATTTATGATACTGAATCGTTCCGTTCCTCCTCCTCCTTGCAGAAGGTTACTGTACCTCGATTGTTAGCAGATCTCGGAGCATTAAGGGTTAAGGAGAAAAATGATCTTTCATCCCTCAAAGCGTGAGTCGCTCCATTTTCCCCACTTCTTCTCAAATCACAGGACGTCTGCTTCGCTAGCGAGCGGTCTCCGCATCGAACTACTTCGACCAGAAACGCCGAAACCGCCTTTTCTTTCTTTCACCTCCCAGCTCCTGCGGTTTGGTAAAGAAACGCAGCCATTTTCCATTAAAAATTAATAAGACGCGAGCGCACTCTGCGCATGCGCAGGACGGCCAAACAGAAGCCGTCCGGGGTGTTCGTCTCCTTCGTCCTCCTGGAACAGTTTTGACACACAAATGATTCTTTTTCCTCATCCTACAACACGCTCAAGCCTGAAATAAGCAATGTTTGTTTATTAAAACCAGCTTCATCTTCCACGCTGCTGCTCAGAAACGAATCCGTAAACAACACAGCTGATAAATAATATAAAAACAAATGGCTGTTAATGAATAATTCAAATCAGCAGAGCACACCACATTTTCCTAAAGCAACACTGTTTTATTTGGGGGAAATGTAAAAAAAAAAAAACATCTTTGTTTTATGTTGCATGTAGATAAATGTGATCAGAAAAATTCCATTAACGAGGCGAGAGATGTAAATAAAGGTGTTTCTGATGAGTTTGTGGCAGAATTGTGCTGCTTTCATCTGGAAGTACAGGAAAATCACTGGAACGTCAAAATGCACAAACAGTCATTGGAAAATTATTAAAATATAGACTAAAATATTCATCATCCATATTTCTGACGCTGTAGTGACGTAAACCCCCACAGGCACTCTTCCTTCACAGCACTTTGTATCGGCCTTTGCTTGTTGGCTGGTAGGAATTTTGCTAAAGGAAAAAAGAAAAAAAGACAAAATTAGGCATTTTACAGATTTCCAAATTATTACAGATGGTTTGGAGGTAAAGAGGCAATAAAACAAGACTCACTAATCTGATGAGCTCCTCCTTGATCAGTCGTGTAATCTCTGTTTTAGCTTTCTGCACAGCCAGTTCATTTGCACCTAGAAAAGAAACAACATTCAGATTGACAACACCACTCCGTGCATCATCTCTGTGGTCGTTAAAAAGAAAAATGAAAGAAAACGATCTTTTATATAGCGTGTCTCAAGATAAAAATCAAGAGGCGCTTTACAAAAAAATAAAAAATAAAAATTAAAGTATAAAAAAAAAAGATTTTAACAATGATTAAAAATATGTTTAAAATTAGAAAATAAAATTGTGATAAAAATAATAATAATAATGAAAGAAATGGGAGAGAGAATATGAATAGGAAAGAGGGAAATCAGTGAAGCCCGGGGAAAGGCGGAAGAAGTAAAAAGAGCAGAATAAGGGGAGGGTGGTGACGAACATCTGAACATAACAAGTAGCTGGAATCGCCGGGTGCTACGTACTCTCAATAGCCAGATAGATCTTGCGTTCTCCCTCCTTGGGTTCTTTGCCTGGTGGGAAATAGGTTCCTCTGATGGTGATGGCAGCTTCAGAGTATTCACCAATCCTCTGCAAAGCTTCTTTAGATGTCACCTTCCACCTGGCGGTCTATGGAAAAATACAACAGAGTATCTTCATATCAGATGAATAAGTAAAAACCTGGCTCAAAAGGCATTTGAAAACAAAGATGAAAAAGATCCTGATGGCTGAGGCGCTGACCTGAGGGAAGTCGTTGATCTCCAGCTCTTCTTCGTACCTCCTGACGGTCTCGGCCTGTTCGGCTGCCTGCCGCTCCTCCTCCATTTTCTCCACAGGCGTGTAGTTCAGTTTGGCGTTAATCTTCTCCGCCAGCTGCTCTGCGATGGTCTTGGCCGATACAGATGGCGTCACGATGGGTCCACCACGCAGGATGGCATTGGTGGCCTGCTGCATCACATCCTGTAGGTAAAAAAGGGTTAAAATTCAATTCAAATTCAAAAATACTTTATTAATCCCAGAGGGAAATTCAATCGTTTCAGTACACACAATTCCAAGATCAGACATACATACATAGACACATGACAAAAATTGGTGACTGTGGTCCTTCGCAACATGAGTCGTGCTACCGTAATAGATCAAGAGGGTTTATATGAGGATAGAGTTGGGGGAGGGGGGGAATGGCAGTTCAGAGTTACCCCCGACAGAGAGGATAGCTTTGCTGTGCAAAAAACAACACCTCAGACAGATATGCACACAGACTTCAGATGATACACACCATTAAGTGCCCACTAGGAGGGGAGGTGGGGTTGGACCGTCCTCACTTCAGAGAGTGCAGCCGCAGGAGCAGCGCTCATCACCTCCGTTTGGACAGGGGAGGGAGATACTGGGTTAGAGAGCTCATCGACTCCTAAGCCCTTTTCAGATTGACATTCTGAAAATATGTGTGGACAACTCAGTCCGGTTTTTAACCAGAACTGTGTTTTCAAACACACCACTTTTGTACCTGAACTTGTCCTTCCGGCTGCTTTCACACAGCAGGGAAAAGTTCCAGATGTCTGAGGGGGAGGGGGTGGGAAAGCTGTACCCAGATATTGCGTAAACATGGCGCGGCGGGCGTACATGCGCCATTTACCCAAACAAAGCCATTCGGTCAAACATGGCGGACGAAGAGATATAGTTCCTCTCACTGATCGGACTTATGTTAAGCATAATTCTGCACACAAGAATAAGAGACCTGGCTGATGAAGCTCAATGGTTAATAAATGAATCACGGAAGCGGTGTGAAGCGCTCAGTCGCGCGTCTAGGAGACGGTACCGTAGGAGGCGAGCTGCCTTTGTCGCCGCATGCTACAGGAGCGAGCTATCTAGGTGCGCACAGCTTCCCCCGGTCCCCTCCTCCCTGTCCGGAACTCGACCTCACCAGTCTGAAGCAGCCACCCTGTTCATGACAAGTCCGGTCCTGTTACTAGGGGCTTCGTCCGGTTTAATTACGGAACACGTTATCCGGATGTTTGTATTCAGACACAAAGGTCTTACGGACAGAGTGCCGAACATTTCCGTTTTTCATGGCCTGTCTGAAGGGGGCTCTAGATACGGTTCCACGGCCTTCACCGGTCACAGTCCCGCCCAGGCTGGGATAGGGAGAAAGCATTTCCATAGCAACAGCAGCATTCCACATTTCTTCTGAGGGGAGTTTTCACTTCAGCCTCACAGGCTCCAAGAGCACCAGATCCAGATAAGAATTGTTTTGGGGACAGACCGAGATAATTTCCTCTCTGCCTTAGTGTTCTATTGTTCTTCAACCCCTCTAGATCCAGTAATGGCGTTATCAAAATATTCCAATCCGTGCTGATCTGTCAACTCTCCCCTTGATCGAATCAACCTTCTGTGCCAGAGCCTGAATCTCAGCCAGAGTTCCAAGCTTCCGACTCATCTCGACAATTATCCGAGTCTGTGAGTTTACAGCACGATGCATTCCATCCCTGAGCTCCGGGATTGAGCCAATATTCCTCGAAAGCTCGTTAATTTTCCGGTATGCCAGGTAACCGCTCAGGCCAAACAGCAGAAATCCCAACACCAAGACGACGAATATCCAGACATCTTCAGAATCCTCTACGGACAGTTGAGACAGGCGGACCAAGTTCCACAGTTTCCAGGAGTCCATGATATATCCAGCTGGCTCCGTCCCAGAGGGACATCCGGGAGCCCCTTCTCCCGTTCTCATCATTGAAAAAATGTTGTCAATCGCGTTGAGAGAACAACTAACCAGATCCATGTTTGATAATTTCCAGAAAAATGCAGAGACGTGCAGTGCACAGGCAGACAGGGAAAAAAGCCTTGGGAAGAGCAGGGAGGAGGGAGAGGAGAAAAAGGCGTCTGTACTCTCCAAGAGCCGAAAGAAGACGATAAAAAAAGCCAAATGCCAACGCAGAAAGCTCTTGATCAACAGAAACACATTTAACTAAATACAAATTGTAATTATCACGGAGCTTTGACACACCTGAGCCTCAGCTCCCAGGTTCTTCTGAGCGTTGATCCTGAGGGCAAGCCTTTTAGCCATCTCCAGTTTCTGGATGTTTCCAGCAGAAGCCAGGGCGACTCCAGGAAGCCCCCCAGAAGCGGCTGCTGTGGCAGCAACAGCTCCGGCTGCTCCAGCAGCCGCTCCTGGAGCAGAAAGATCCTTCACTCTCTTCTTGGAATTAAACATGCTTTCAATTTGCTCCTCGATCTGAGGAAAGAAAACAGATGTTTGAAGACTGAGTCAGAGATCTAGATCCTCTAATAAGAGGAGCTACTCACATCCAAGGCTCCATCCTCGTCATCGGAGTCCTGCAGCCCGAGAGCAGCTTTCTGCAGCTTCTTCCTCTCGTTAGCCAAAGCGTGCTCCGTCTCATCGAACTTGAAGCCTTTTCCCGAGAAGCCACTGCTGCTCTTAATGGCCTTACCCTCCTGTTTGGGTAGAGGGGCAGAGAAAAACAGGAAGACATGACATAACATTTTATGCTTACCCTTTTCAAAACATTAAGGTAACATTAAGTGACAGACACTTTTGATTTCAAATTTCAGAAATGCTGTTAACAGGCAAAGTTTGGTTTAGCTGTTCTATCTTACGGCTTTCTGCCGATCTTTGAAGGACGCCCAAAGCTGTTCCAATTCAGGCGGGACAGGAGAGCTGGACAGCTCCAGGGCCTTGATAATGTCACCAGCGTAGCGAGCCTGATCCTCCGTGATGAAGGTGTAAGCATAGCCCTAAAAAAAGAGAATAATACAGAATAAGCAGGTGTCCATGCATCCACCCTCCTCCTCTCATCCGTGGTCGTGTCACAGAGCAGCAGCCCAGACTTCTCTCTCCCAAGCCCCCTGGACCAGCTCCTCCAGGGGGAGTCCCAAGGTGTTCCCAGGCTAGCTGGGAGACACAGTTCCTCCAGCATGTTCTGACTGAGTCTTCCTTTGGGTCTCCTCACCGTTGGAGGTGCCCAGAAAACCTCACAGGGAGGTGTCCAGGACACCATCAACTGGCTCATCTTGATGTGGAGGAGCATTCTTTTGGTCACTAGCCAAAGCTCATGACCATAGGTGAGGGTTAGAACATAGAGTGACCGGTAAATTGAGAGCTTCACCTTCTGTCCCAGCTCTCTCTTCACCATGACAGAACTGTACAATGCCTGCACCACTGCAGACGCAGCACCAGTTCGCCTTTCGATCTCACGCTCCATCTTTCCCTTGCTCATGAGCAAGACCCAGAGATACTTAAACTCCTCCACCTGGGGCAGGACCTCGTCCCTGACCCGGAGAAGGCATTCTACCCTTTTCCGACTCAAGACCACGGTCTTGGATTTAGAGGAGCCGATTCTCATCCCAGCTGCTTCACACTCGGCTGTGAACCGCTCTAGTGAAGGCTGGAGATCATATTCTGATGAAGCCAACAGGACCACATCATCTGCAAAATGCAGAGACTCGATCCATAGAACACCAAAACGGATTCCCTCAACACCTTGGCTGCGCCTAGAAATCTTGGTGGCAGCCTCGGCAGAGTCCAACTCACACAATAACCAGGGTGTCAAACCTAAATTTTATTTCTAGCAACTCAAAGAAACTAAAAGTAAAAAAAAAAACCCACAAATCTACCTCTACATGAGAATTTTTATTTTATATTTCCAAAATAACTTCTGCAAAAAAGAAAAAATTAGACCAACCTTGTTGCCTGCTCTGCCTGTACGTCCCGCCCTGTGTACGTAGTCCTCATAGTGGTTGGGACAGTTGTAGTTGACCACCAGGATCAGCTGTTTGACATCCAGGCCTCTGGCTGCTACAGAGGTGGCCACCATCAGGCGACAGGCTCCGTTCTTAAAGTCATTGATGATGCTGTCTCTGTCATACTGATCGATTCCTGAAATGACAGCGAAACTAAATCTCAAACACTGACCCCTTTGTTCCAGATTTAAGTAAGATGATCGACGCAGATCCTAACGTGACTCAGTACCTCCATGTAAAGACATGCAGGGGTACGAGGCTTTCATCAGGTCTTTGAGTAATCCGTCCGCGTGCTCCTGTTTGTCCACGAAGATGATGACGGATCCCTTCTCCTGGTAGTGACCTAAAATCTCCAACAGTTTCAGGAACTTCTTATCCTCTTCAATCACCAGCTACAGGAGGGGGAAAAGGGAAGCAGCAGAGGATGAGCTGGTGGAATAAAATGATTCTGGCGATTTAGACGTGGAGTTTATTAAATATGTACCACGTGTTGTTCCACGTCAGAGCAGACGACGCTGCGACCTCCGACCTGAACCTCGATGGGCTTTGAAAGGATCCTGCGAGCCAGCGCCTCCATGGCTCTGGGGAAGGTAGCGGAGAACATGACCGTCTGTCGGTCGGGACGCACGTTGTCCACAATACGCATCACCTGCAAGTGACATACGGCTTTTTTTTTTTGCGAGTTTACCAAAAATACATGCAAGTAACCATCTGGTCTCTAAAACCAAGGATGAAAAATAGTTCAAATCTGGGTGATGCTCACCTGCGGTTCGAAACCCATATCAAACATCCTGTCTGCTTCATCCAACACCACGTAGGTAACCCTGCGCAGGTTGGTTACCCGACCTACATATTGAGGAAGGGGAGCATCGGGAATATAAATCAACCATGAGAAAAGCTCTTTTCTCTAAACAGCCTACATTATAATCTGGCAAACACAGTCCGTTATCTGGATAAAGCTACTTGAAATTATTTAAAAACTGCATCCATGTTTTCTTTAGGAGTTTATTTTTTTGACATTTTGAATTCCTGGATTTGCTCGTCTTTGTTCTTGCGTACCATCTCAGGGACATGAGGGACCTATAAAAGTCAGAAAACAGCCTCAAGATACAAAACAAGAGACGGAGCCCCTTCACCTACAAGGGAAACATATTACAGATTACCTCGCATGTGTGGAAACAACAGAACCCCTGATTAGCAGTCAAATATAATAAAATCACATTTTAATTACATTTAAGAAACAGACTACAGACCCTAACTGATCTAAATTGTTCTTCAGTCTGATTAATCCCAGCGTTGAGACACAAGAACTGTGGAGGCAGCGCCAGGTCCACCTACCTGGACTCGCTCTGATCTTCAGAAAACATCATTGTCTTGTAGAACCAAAAATTGCCAAATAATGTCGACAGTTTAGTAACAAGGTACCGATTTGAATCATATACTGTCACTTTTAAACCATGCAGTTATTACAAAAAAGCTGCAAATAAATCTGAAAACCCTAATATGAAGTCTGAATACGGAGGTGGATTAACTCACCGCTGTTCGCTCCCAACATGTCGATCATTCTCCCCGGTGTGCAGACGATGATCTCTGCTCCCCTTTTCAGCTCAGCAATCTGCAATCCACCAGCATGAGAAGAAGGTATCAGTGAAACTGGGCTCAAAAGACAACAACATGTTGGAAAAAGCATCACACGGCTGCATTATGAGGGTTTTTACCTGTTCACTGATTCCCGTGCCTCCGTAAACACACACTACTCTGAGTCCCAGTGATTTGGAGAACTTCTTGCACTCCTTGGTGATCTGCAGCGCCAACTCTCTGGTCGGAGTCATGATTACAGCTGTGGAGATGCAGAAACATGCCATCAAACAGTTTAAAGCACCAAAATCATAACACATTTGTCATTCATTCTTTTGAGTCCTGACAAAGACGTATACAGGACGTATAAAATTATCCTTACAGATGGGTCCCTCTGCCTCCTCCAGCGGTCTCTGATCCATGATGTGTCGGAACATGGGCAACAGGAAAGCAATGGTTTTGCCACTTCCAGTCTTAGCGATGCCAATGAGGTCTCGGCCTGACATGATGGCAGGGATGGCCTGAGCCTGGATGGGTGTGGGCTTCTCGTAGCTGTGCCTGGTTACATTTGGGGGAACAACAGAAAACATCCTGTGATGTTTACATCAGTTAAAACACTGCATCCTAAAATATTACTGATTAACCCCCAGAGACCCACGGTTGTAATATTACAAGTACAACATCAGATTTAAGTCTACAAAAATAAACCTTCCCCATTTTTTTTTCTTTTTAAAACCACATTTACATTGCTAATAGGTCCTATTGTTCAGTTCTGCAACACTATTGGCCGTTAAAATGTGTAAATAGGCCCGTTTATTTGGCCTCCTAGAACAACATGTGAAAGGTTAAAAAAAGATTTTGCAGTTGTTTTCTAAATTTGGGTTTCTGGGGGTTAAAGCTGTCATCCACAAATTTTTTTCAATACATTTGCAGCGGTCTCTAGTATAAATAAATGCCTGGGTGAAAAACGGCAGGATTTGCAGTCTAGCTCATTCGCGGTTTTTGGACATCTCACCTCTGATTGGCTTACAGCAACGTGACTCTGACACTGAACCTGTTTGATTTGCAATGTTGATGTTTTATCTACACAAATAACTCAAGCCTGAAGGAATTCTGCCATGTTGTGGAGTTGCTAATGCTAACAGTTAGCTTCTACTAGCTGAGTCACGCTCTGCTCTCTGCTGGTGTCAAAAACCAACAACAACCATCCCCGTTGCGTGGGAAGATGGTTGAGTCCAAGATTGCTAGTTTATAGTTTTACGAAGATCTGTGTGGCTTTTTTTAATCCATGCATTTCCTCATCTGTTTCCATTCTCCGGCTAAGGCTTGGTTTATGCGTGACGCATTCACTTTCCGCTTGGTGATGCGGCTCGCGGATGGAACGCGCTTCACAACTCGCAGTGTTTATGGTTCATGCGGCTCGTTTCTGCGGTGAGCCAATATTCTCCCAAACTGTAGGGGGCAGCATGGAGCTCTAGGCATGCATCCAACACTACACCATAGTAGAAATTACTGTTTACAACATGGCATTCCAGCATTTTTAACAGCGTCCTCGTCTTATCCGACAGTGCGAGCTATTTCTCTCCAAGAATTATTAACAACATGTTGATCACGGTGATCTTTGAGAGCTGAATCATACAAATGTCTATTTACGAACCTCTGCCATACTAGTTCTTGCCAGTCTGCCATGTTTTTCCGCGCCCGACCGTCTGCGTGGTTAGAAAATTTCCTCGGTGTGCGGTGCGGAAAGTTTAGGCCGTGCGGAGGCGCGGTGGAGGGGCGTGGTTGTTAAAATGACGCAATTTTGCCGCGTGGGAGCCGTCCGGACCTCGCGGACGCGTCAAGCATACACCAAGCTTCACGCAGGAAATAGGGATAGAAGACTATTTTCATGATGAACCTGCATATGAAACTCAGGGTGACTGATCGTATTTCAAAAATAAGTAAAACAAAACATTTTCTCAGAGAACCTGTTCTTTAAAACTAACAAAAGGTGAATGTTTGTGAACTCACTTCCTCATGGCGCTCAGAATCTTCATGGACACCCCACACTGCACCCAGGTCTTGATGGGTTTTGGACAACCCTTCCCTTTGACAGTAATTCCTTCCAGTTCCAACCTGTATGCGTTCACTTCTGTATAAAGTAAAACAAGCAAACGGAGAAAAGCCAGATTGTTTAGGTACAAACATGCATTAATAAAAAAAATACTGATTCTAAATTTTATGTGCAGTTCTGTGATAAAATCTGATTACCCGACCTTCTGGTGTAATTTTAGCCAGTTCAGGCACCTCCACATAGAAGTTTTTGCGGTACGGCTCATACTGGATCTTCCCGTGGTCAACGGGCTCCAGCACCTTTCTCTGTTTTGTCTGGAAGCCTGACAAAGCCGTATGAAGGTCCACTTCCTCTTCCTCTGAGGAGTACTGTTGATCACACATCAGCCATAATTTAGGTAAGTCAGCAGCGGAAAGCAAAGAAAGACGTTGATGCCTTACAAACGCACCTCCATGGCATCCTGGTCATTTTCCATCAATTCCCCCTTCTTTTTGTGTGTGTGCGGTCCTTTTTTGGTTTTCACAACCGTCACCACTTTGGTTACCATCATGGCTCCTTTCTGCAGGTTAAAAATGATGCATATCAGCAAGAATCAGTGGACAAAACACAAAGAGGATAAAATGAAATCAAAAGGGGAGAAACTCTGACAACTAATACAGTCTGGTACGGGTTTTAGACACAAAGCAGTCAACATAGCAATTCCAACCATCTACTCTAAATAAACAAAGTGATGACATCACCTTGTCGTTTCCTTTCATGGCTCCTATGTTGAACTTCTTTACTTCCTGTTTGACCTCCTCCATGTAGGCATCCAGGGGATCCACTTCGTCTTCTTCAGCCTGCTGCTCCACAGGCTTATCTGTCTCCTTCTCACCCTCCTCTTTTTTTACCTCCATTGCATCCTTCTCTTTACCCTCTGCCTTTGCATCCCCTTCTTCATCATCGTCATCATCTACCTCCATCAAAGCTGAACCATCATCATCATCATCTGAAATGAAGAGTTAGAGCATTTGCGTTTTAACAGATCAGGTAAAAGTTCATAACTGCATTTATTTTTGAAAGTTGCTTACAACTTATAGAACTTATTTCCTATAATAAATTTAGCAGATTTTTTAAACATGGCATCATTTTCCTATGCGAAACATCCCAGGTTGCTTCCTCACCATCATCATCCTCAAGACTCCACTTCTTGCCCTGCTTCATTTCTTCCAGTTCTTTCTTGATCTCTCCAATGTTTTCAATAGCCTTCTTCCTCTGCTCTTCCCTCCACTTCTCCACTCGCTCCTTCCTCTTCCTCATTTCCTCCTCCAGCTTGTTCTGGTCAAAGTCTTGCTGTTGAGACACAAACATCATCAGCCCACCGTTTCAGCGCAAAGACATTTCAAAGCTCCTGACATCAGGAAAAAACAAATCAGTAGAACTTACATCTTCAACTTTTTCATCTTCTTTCTCCTCTTTGATCTTTTTCTTGTCGGACACAGGGTCAAGGTTGTCTTTCTCTTTGCTTTTTGACCTTTAAAATAAGAAAATCAGCTTCAACAGCTTGAAAATGAAAGTTTTTCTCTAAATTTTTTGGAAAATCAACAAGAATTTGGACACGTTTCCATGAACAATATAAAGAACAGTTAAGATGGGATAATTTACACAATGTACATTTGTGTTAGCTGTTCATGACTTTAATAGTTTTTATTTGCACATGTCATCTCAAACAGACTTGTTTACTTAATGACCAAGTGTTTGTATTTATTTGTATAAAAACTCACTTCTCATCAATTTTCTTGCTCTTCGCTGGGCTACCAGACCGGGACCTGCGGGTTCGGCTTCGGGACCTCTTTCTGTCACGGCTTCTGGTCCTCCTCCTGTCTCTGCTCCTGGAACGCCTGAACACCAAAGAATCAAATGTGCAAACAATTAAAACACAGAAAAATGGCAAAACCCTAACCACGTGATGACTTCATGAACATAGTCATTGATTTATTTTCTTTAAAGTGATTTAAATTCATTTCATCAGTAGGCTTAAATAGAACAAATATATCATATCAAACTCATTAGAAGCACAAAGATCTCCTGACTTTGTTAGCCTATAAGTAAAGTAAGTGGTATTTTTATGTTCACATAAACAGTTATTTAGAAATGTGTTTTTATTTGTGTCTCAGCCTTATTTTTCTATCTTAGCTGACATCATACAGCTAACCAGCACACACCTGGCTCTTTTTCTGTCTCTGGATCGTGATCTTCGGCGGTCTCGGCTACGTGATCTGTCTCTCCTGTTTCGGTCTCGGTCGTCTTTCTTGGAGCGTTTCTCCGGGGACCGACTCTTCGATCGGGTTCCCGACCGTCCACGAGACGCCGAACGTTTCCTGTAATGTCTGTAGATCAATAAAATTAAACAAATGCTGTTTTTCAAGTGAAAATTACACCACATCTGCACGAAAACATCCAGAAAGATCCGCTTTAGCTGGTATGCTAACGCTAGCCATTCAAAAACAAAACAGTCAGTAAAAGAGATTTGAGTCGAAATTAAACCGAAAACTTGGACATACCTCGATTCTCGTCCCATTTCGAGTCTGCAAGATTTGGTTTGGTAAAAAGTCCGATTATTTAAGAGATAGACACAAGCACGGAGAGACAAACTTGTTGGGTTTGTGTCATTGAACCTGCGTGTGTAAAATCTGCGAGTCAGATATGAACCTATTAAAAGAAGAGCGCCCCCACGCGGTAGGAGGTCAGAGAATTATCTAAAAAAACTGGATCAAAAGCTTAGAAATTGGTTTTGAATTCCATGGAGCTACAGTAAAACTAGTAATTATTAATAATAACAATAATGTCACACGAAGTGTTTTATTTGGTATTACAGTTTACATCACACCAAAAATACTTAAAATATAAGAGCCAGTAAAAACTGTTTCACGAAATTTATCAAAACTTATCAAATAAATTACACAAGTAGTGGGATAAAACATAGTTATGTTTTACACTAAAACTGTTTCAATAAAATTAAAAGACAAAGCAAATACATGACTGCAAAGAGGCAAAACTGTACCAAAGATTTTATGAAAGAGGCTTAAACAGGGAAAAGCAGGACACGTCACCAGGATTACGCAACACAAATAAGCCCACAAACATCAGCCGCCTCACACTATACCTTACAAATACGAACCAGTAATATTCTCATCATGTATGAAGTTCACTGCGATTTTTAAGCTACTTCAAATACAATTTCACACAAACCTGGACTAAATGCTTTTTTTAAATTTAAACAATGAAACTTGTTAATAGCAAAGATGGACCCTTTCTGAATGCTGAACAGAGTGAAGCAGAAAAGTGGAGTCAAAGCCCTTTACAGACACAAATGACTTACATGACTCAAGTTAAACAGAGTTCATATCAACGCAACAATCCACAGTTTTCAAATCCATGTTCAAGGCTTCCAAGTTCCTTCGTCACTATGACTTTTAACGGATAAGAAAAATGACAAAAATAAAAAATTTTGTAAGTTTACATGATACATGACAGCAAAACATGTTTCCATATCTCCTTTAAGGTCAAATGAGATTTTAGATGTACTTTTGCTGCTCAGATGAGATGTTATATCAACTTTTTGAGATTGATCAACGTAATCACAGAACTAAAAGAAACAACTTAAAATATTACTCTGAAATCTAGTTAAACAAGATTTATTCATCTGCATCTCTCCATAAAGTATGTGATGTCATCACATTATTGTTCAAAAAGGGTGCCAAGCCTTGTTTTAAATGGATATCAGCAGAGAAAAAAAATGCATTTTTGTTAAATTTTCACCAAATTTGATTATCCAGAGTGAAACTCAGATCTTCAAGCACATTATCTTATTACAGAGCTTAAAACACTGATAGTCAAAAGTACTCAGTAAGAGAAGAGCTGAAACTACAAACACCCATCCAGGTGGTGTGCAGCCTTCTTCATAAGGCAGCAGATTAGTAAATGACAGGAAACAAGCACCAGAGGGAGCTGAAGAGCATGCCTTGTTGGGGTAGGGAGAGAGGGGCAAGTGAGGGGTCTACTATCAGGGAGCCTCTGAGGCAATGAGCAACACGATTTCATGAGAGATGATGAATGTGAAGAAGTAGACGCAGAGGTCAGAGAAGACGTCCCCCATCCTCCTGTAGGTGTCCATGGAGCGACTGATGACCTCAGCGGGGATGCCAGACAGTAGCAGGGCAGCAGTTAGCACAGTGGTTTGGGTTTTCTTCTCTACCTGCACAAAAAAAGAAGAGAAGACACACACAAAAAAAAAATCACTGTAAAAATCATAACTTGGTGGTTCAACAAACTCATTTCTATCCAAATTTTCAAAATACCTTTAACTTTTATTTAATTTACAGTAAACCTACAATAAATGAACATTACATACTTAAAAAAATACAAGATCCTAAACAGTCTCACCTTTGGAAAGTATTTGGACAATCCCATGTAGGCCAGTTCAAGGGTCAGAAATGGAGCAAATATTGACTAAAATGACAAAAAACACAAACCAGAGCAGGAGAATAACATTTTACTATATTAGGAAAAAGTGTAAAATTTTACACATTTTTAATCATCGTGTGATATAAATTGAATAACAATGCACAGAAATTGGTTTAAAGGTAGACCCACCAGATACTTGCAGACAAACACCCTGACAAACACAGCGAGGAGGACGCTGCCAATAAGTCTAAAGATTCTGAACGGATCCAGCTCCTCCGAGTCAGAACCTCCATCTTGAGCCTGCTTATCGTTGGCCAGCTGACTCCGGAGTTTCATAGCATCGTCAAAGCGTGATAAATACTGTTGGAGGCTCCGACGTGGGGAGCCACTGAGATCATCTCCTCGCTCCAGCTTTGCTCGCTGCCTGAGACCTCCCATTTCGTCTTCCAGAGATGCTCCGGGCAACTCGCTGCTGTCTGGCAGGGGTGAGCCTCGTCTCTCTGGGGTGGAAGAGTGGGAGCGGCTGCCATGAATCGAAGCCTCTGGCAGGAAGGGAGGCGGTCTCGGGGAAGGGGAGGACGAAGACCACGGCTGTGTCCTGTCCAGATCAAGGTGAAAGCGGGGTTCTGTGGGTCGTCGGGAGGATCCTGCAGAGAAGATCAGCGTTTATGAACTAGAAATGAATCAAGCACACAGATAAATGGATACAAATAATGTTATTGTTGTTTACAGATTTGGTTCTAACTTAATTCTCACAAATCCCTCTGAGTGGGATCAGACTTTCTAAACAGGTCCTGTGTCACTTCCATGATGAAACATTTGTTGGCATCACATTCAGAGTGATGTCAGAGCTCATAAAACATCAAGAACAGCCCAAGAAAATGCTTCCTGGCAGTTTGCATTTAGACGTTGTGTCTGATTAAAGATGACAGGAAGGCACAGCATCAACATCTGTGCTGCTGACGCCTATGCTGTTACTGTTGCAACACTTACAAATCAATTGGTGATGTCTGGACACATGTCACTAATAAACGTTATGGACTCAACATACGCACAAAATCTAATTTAAGAAACTGACTTATAAGAAGAATGTATGACCAGGGTCAAACATTTACCACTAAAAAGGCAAAAGATGCAACACCTGATCATTTATAAATCATTGCTGAGGTGTTAATTCAGCCCAATCAATCATATAATGATCAGTTATTTACAGTGCTTTGAAAAATGATTCCCTTACAGATTTAGTATGTTTATACATTTATTTTTCTTCAAAAATTTCAATTTCAGTTTTGGAGCAAAGATATCCTGAATAAATACAAAATAGTTAAATAGTAATGATTACGGTTTCATCTTAAGTGAAAAGGGATACGCAAACCTAAATGGCTGCTGTTGGCAGAAAGCATTTGCCATAATGATAAATGATAAATGATCCGCACTTGTATAGCGCCTCTCAGAGTAAGGACTCCAAAGCGCTTTACACTACAGTGTATCATTCATCCATTCACACACACTTTCACACAGTGATGGTGATGAGCTACGATGTAGCCACAGCTGCCCTGGGGCTCACTGACAGAGGCGAGGCTGCCGAGCACAGGCGCCACCGGTCCCTCCGACCAATAATCATAACTGCTAATGAGTATCTCACATCACTGTGAAAAGGATTTTATCCCACTATTGATTGCAGAATTGATTTAATTATGCCACATTGGAGGGTTTTACTGCATGAATGGATTGAGATTACAGGTCAGAGCAGAATTCATAGTTCATTTTATTACTGCAAGTTATCCAGATCCTTGGAACCACCCAACAAATGCTATTTTTTTTACTGTGTTTTTATATATTTTACTTTGTCTATGACTTTTTCTAATGGTGCTTATTGCTCTGTTTTTACCTTTGCATCGCACTTTACCTTTTTTATTGCCTCATTCCTGTGCAGCCCTTTGGTCAGCTGTCGTTATTTTTTTGAAAATCGTATGCATATTTTTGCCCCATCTCTTTCTAAAAGTTGAATCATTGCCACTGACCTTTACCTGTGGTGCCTTTGATGTTGGTCTGGATTATTTTTTCCTTGAATTGTGTTAGAAGACGGCTTGATGTACTGAATTTTTCAGGGTTTGCATCGTACTTGATTTGTTTTCTAGATAAATAAGGCCTGGGTTGGATTATTCAAGCTGTGTGTGTGTGTGTGTGTGTGTGTGTGTGTGTGTGTGTGTGTGTGTGTGTGTGTGTGTGTGTGTGTAAACATATTCGTGATTTACTAATGGGGACAATAACGTTGTCTTCTATTGTATTAAAGGATCATTTGAAAACTGTTAGACACAAGAATAAGATGATGGGTCAGAATGATCAGCCAGACATGTGCGGAGTGTGATGATGAATTTGTGTCTTAATAGAATTAACTAATTCACCAGTCAGGGCGAGACTACTGAGTGGTGAGAATCAGTACCTTTATGAAATATACATAATACATTTTTGAGAAAATTTTAGCTTCAAAAGTAGCAAAGGCACCTTTTGTCTTGAATCAACACATTTAAAATCAAGACTATTTTTGATTGATTTCAGTGTCATCCATTTTACCTCCAAACTAAATAAACCAGTGCTCGGTTACATGTTTCACACAGGGACATATATGTCCAGTAGTGCTAGCCTAAACGAACGATGACTATATTACCGCTGTTGTCAGAGTCGTTTTTAGCGAAACCCACGATTCTGTTCATCCTGTCCTCTGAATTCATGAGCAGTTTTCTTCTTCGAAGCTCAGCTCTCCGCTGCGCCGCAGACACGCCGGAGCTGGGTTTCTCTGTCTTCTCCTCGCTGGCCTCCATGTTGATAAATGACTCAAATTAACTCCGACTCCAATGTGAAACTACAGAACACGAAACTGGCGAGTCAACTGCTCGTTAACGGCGAAACAAAAGTCTACACGAGCTGAATCAGACGGTAAACATAACAGAATGGACCGAAAAGAGGTCGCACGCCGATGACGTAACAATTCTGCGCAAAGAATGACGAGATGGTTTATTGGGATTTTCATCCCTGAACACCGCCTTGCAGGTGGAAAAAAAACACATGTCATTTTATATTTAAGTAGCAATCTGTTAAACTACTGTATATTTGCTGAAAATTTGTTTTTAATAAGTCCTATACATTTCCACTAAAACCGTTAATGTTTCAAATAAATGTCCCGCACTTGCATGGCACCTTTCATGCTCAGATGACTCCAAAGCTCTTCACTACAGTGTATAATTCATCCATTCTCTCTCTCTTACACACACACGTCGTGATGAGCTATAGTGTAGCCTCAACTGCCCTGGGGCACACTGAAAGTGGCAAGACTTCCGAGGACTGGTGCCACCGGTCCCAAGGATCACCATCAGCACAGGTATGGCGTGTTAAATGTCTTGCCCAAGAAATCAATAGAATTCTCTGTCCGGAGTCGGAATTGAACCTGCAACCTTCGGATTACTGCTCAAACCCCTGAGTTTCATGTGATTTTCAGTGATCCCTCGATAAGAATGTTTTCCTTTTATCCATTTAAATATATTTTAGTGATATCACAGGGACCAAAATAATGCACAAATCTTTATGAACATGTCTGGCTACATTTTTTAAATATATTTTCTGATTGTCATGCATGGTAAATGGTTGAATCTTTTATTCCTATATTTATATAATTACTTTATAATTTTGTCATTAATGTTGAATTTAAGGTTTCTTCAGAAGCCTTCAGCTTTCATTCACTATAATCCATGTCATGTTGAAAACTTAATCTACAAAAAAAAAACAAAGCTAGCTTTATTTTCATTTTTATGAAAAACAACTTTGTGCATAAAGACCAAAACAATTCCGTTTCTAAATACATTCTTCTTCTATGATACATAGATTACAAACTGAATGAAATCAGCCCAAACTGAAAACCTTAATTCAAACTCTTATGAACATTGATTAATTGGTCCAAAATGAATCCATCTTCACAGAATAAACATGGTTCACCAACCAAAACACAAACTACATTTAAAAAGTCCCAAACAGTTTATTTTCTTAGCATAATTTCAATCTGTTTACACTAAAATTAGCATTTCTTCTCCTTTATATAATGCAGTGTCTTTCAATATACAAATATCAATAAGCATGGATACAAGATCAAAATGGCTTTGTTATGACTGTGTTAAAGAATTTCCCATATCCTATTATATTAAAATATTTCAGTATTTAAACAGAGGATTATTAATAAAAAGTGAGTTCCCATAGAAGGCAATTATAGCATTTAATCAGTTTGGGAGTCTCATAAATTAAACAAGAGAAAAAAAAAACAGAAAAGTGATGTCATCAGAGAGAGAGAGAGAGAAAAGATGACAGACCAACGGGAGGACAGACCAATGAGACAACCTTTCACTGCCAAGTCTACACATTCCAGGCAGCAAAGACGGCAAGGTCCATCTGCTTTCCACATCAGGAGTCTACGCATTTGCTCAACAAACATTTTAACGACTTTATAACTAAAAAGAAAAAAAAACATACTTCTGGGATTTTATCAGCATTGGAGCCCAGGTGTGTACAAAAAATATCTCCAGGTGACAGCCCACTCAAAAAAGAAGTCTTTGAGCGCCAACTGTCCTCATAAACCAAGTCTTGCACTCGCAAACATGCAGAAGTTTGACCTGGTTTAGGTTAGACGTGTTTTTTGAACAAAAACATCCATTTTACCTGTTCTTTCACCTGAACAATAGCTAGTCTGACAGAATTGTTCTATGAGAATAAACACTGATTCAAATCAATCACAGACAAAACAACCTTCATCGCAAAAGTTCTGTTTGTTTCCTCCAACACGCTTCTTCAACCGAGTAGAAAAGTCTTTGTCATGTTCGGTTGATATCTCAGGTCCACTCGGGTTCTTCTCTAAGATAAAGGTGGAAAACAGCTGGAGATGGAGTAAGAGGCATTGCTGAGGGGCCTCTTACAGCTTCAACACACACACACACTAACACACACACACACGATGCATGTCCTTTCCCCGAGGTTTCCCGTCTCAACAATCTCACTGAAGATTATTTGGAGATTTGCTGCTGGACGTGGAGAAGGAACTCGTAGTAGGACAGGGCTGACTCAGTTCGGTCCTCGATCATGCTCTGCATAAAGACGGGTTTCAGCTGGCTCTCATCCCTGAAAATAAAATATAGTGTGGGGAAACATGTTTTGTTCTTTTACAACATCACTTTAGATTTTCATGGCTATTAATCCCCCTTTCTTCAAAATAAGAGTCTTAGAGTAAAACTCTGACATGAAAGGCAGCAGGTGATTCGTATTCTTTCAAAAAAAAAAATACAGAGCCTTCAATATTTTAGTGTTTCCTCTTTACTCGGAATCAAACTTTGACCCCGAGCCTCAGCGCTAGAGAAATCTGATGCTCCAGTAACTAATACCCTCCATAAACCTTGCAAAATAATTTGACATCACTGGCAGTCCTGTTGAACACGTTATCAAACTTTGAAAGCTATTTTCAAATATTAGACAGCTTTTCTTGTGCTCGACTGACCTGATGATGTGCAGGGAGGGGAAGAATGGCCTCTGATCCCTGAGCCAGCCAATAAAAGCTCTGGTTCTCTGAGATTCTGCTGTGTCCAGTTCTGGGAGAAGATACTGCAACAGAAGAGCAACTGTGAATATTTTTGAGAAAGAAGATGCGATGAGTGAAACCCTAGCTGTGCCGTGAGTTAAATGGCTCTGGGATCAGAGTTTGGCTCCTCCAACTTAAATCGCTGTAGTTACATGATGGTCCTGCAGCCAAGTAGTGCTCGCTGCAGAACCACAAAGGCGGAGCTGCACCAGAGTCAGCCCCGCCCATTCAATCTGCGTCAGTCCAATTCCTTCCAGTTGTCAGACTTGACTGCATCCTGTTATAGCTAATATCATCTAAAATGAAAGATTGAGGATGGAGTTGAGAGGTTAATTGAACAGTTTTGGTAAAGGTTCCATAGAATAAAAAATCTAAATTTTGGAACTTTTTATCATGTTATATTATTGTCATTTCCTCATAAGAAATACCCCAAAGCCATTTTTGGCCTCATTCACGCATTTTCCTCCCATCTCAGCTTCAATTTGGTCTCCTCCCCTGAAGCGAGTCTGGTCTTGGTTCCCAAATCTGGATATTCTGTGAATTTTCTGACAAATTATTTCTGAAATGACTTCTACTGAGACACCGCCGGAAAAACCATACAAAGACATGCTGGATGGCACAATTACATGTGACGCCGCTTGACTGTTACCAGATGTAGTGGTGAAGTGGTTATGCAGTCAGATTAACACGCAGTTTTGTGCAGGTTCGCCTCCCGGTAGCGGCGTTAACTTTTTTATTTTTTCTAGCTACACTTGCCAGTACTATGTTTATAACCATTTATTGGTATACCGTTTAAAATATAATGACTAATGTGTTATTTTTTTATTTGTTTATTTAGCCAGTGTGAGTCCACTTGTGAGCAGAGTTTCAACTAAAATGCTGTTTAGGAACGACCAAATTCAAAGAACTTTTAGAGACATAAATATTTTGCAGAAAATAAACATTACAACTAAAATATAAACAAATTAAATGTTTCAGCTGGCTGGCTAAATAGATTGCTGCCGACCCCACCGAGAGTCAAACCAGCATCAGCTGAGGGGAAAGCAAAACTTAAGTCGGACAATCTTGCCACTGGACTAGAGCCGATGTAGGCCACATTTGTTGGAGCGGCTGTGGGCAGATATTTGCTAAAAGAAACCTTTTCATTTCGGGATATATTCAGGCTTTATCATGTAGCAAGTAGTATTTATCTTGTTTAATTGGAGCATAGAACATAGCGATTGTAAACTAGTAACAGCCGTAATTCATGTGGGCCAGGTCGGTTTGCGATAAAGTTAAAAAACAAAAACCGTCAGTGGGCCAGGCTGAGTTTGCGTGAATGGGCGGGGCTGACTCTGGTGCAGCTCCACCTTTGTAGTTCTGCAGCGAGCACCCTCTCCCTGCAGCAGCAACAACCAGTGAGAGACAAAGAGGAGCTTCTGCTTTTTTGAAAATAAAGTACTCCTTGTAACAGTTGTACTTTTCTGCTGTTTGATCTGTTCAGTTTAGTTAAAAACTAATCGTGAGATCAAGTTTTACGTTACGTTAAAGGCCTGAACATGAGTTTCCTACCAGGTTATCAGGCAGGGCAGCGTAGTTTGGGACTCCCAGGACTTGTGTGAGGAAGTTGGGGTGGCAGTTACGTCCAATCCAAAGGTACATCACCTGTTAAAAGGAAATCATTTGAAACTTTGACTCGAGCACGTAAACATGTTTTTACCACAGATTCATCCAGATAGAAGACGTAATGTTAATAACCATTAGCTTATTACAGGAGTGAATCTTTTAAACGTACAGTTCCAGCATCCATGAGGAAAGCTCCCTCCCTGCTAAGCTTCTCCACAGACAGCTGCAGAATTGCGGGCTGGGGGATGGTCCGCTCGTTGATGTTCAGAGCTCCCTGAGGGTGAGAGAAGTTAAATTGTCACACACAAGAAAGGAATGTAGAGACACTCAAAAACAGGTGAAAATTAGATAAACAGAATTACTATTTACACTTTTTTACACTCTGATCAAATCATTTCTATTAAAGCAGTCCCACTGAATGAAACTAAAGATCCTCACCTCATCAGTCAGATCATCAACACGATACAGAGCGGGATGGATCATCAGCATGGCGAAGGCCAGCGGCTGGTACTTTAGCTGGTACATGGCAAACATTCGCTCATCCAGCCTGGTGCTGGTGCCAGTCCTGAAGGCTTTCTGCAGAGTTCACGCACAAAACACACGAAACACCGTCAGTAATCAAATGATGAATCCTAAAAAATAAAAGCTGTTGCTTCATGTCTGAGTAACTGATTAAATGGACGTTTAGGAATAGAAAACCTGTTTGAGCAGAGCGAGGATGTAAAGAGGGAAGAGTCTGAGGCAGGTAGGAGCCAACAAGCCAGGCTGCTGGATGGTCAACGCAAACTGCCGGTATGAAGACAACGAGTCGATAGAGGCGTTGATCATAGCGTCTCTAGCGTCGCTCAGAGAAGCCGTCACTGAGCGGTCCACAGCTGGATACAGGAAGACAAAAGTTCTCAGCTCTTTGCTGCACATGTTTCATTGTAACGTGTTATTGTGTAGAACGTACCCATACAGGCCAACAACCCGGTGATGGCTTGAACATCGGCTCCAGCAAAGATGTCTGACACAGAATTAGCAACAGGAAGGCACAAAGTGTGCACACGGATCCTCCTTTCACCTGTGAAAAACCATACGTTACAGATTTCCTAAGATAAAACACACACCCTCCATCTGTGTGTGTGTGGACGTACCTTTGCTGGAGGTGTAAAGCAGCGCAGCCTGGAAGGAAACAACCTGCATGTCGTCCAGATTTTCCTCGATGGACATCTGAACGGCAAAACCGGCGTCCGGGTTGACGTTGGGAAGGGACAACAGGTCTGTGGAGCGCACAAAGAAGTTCCCGTGGAACGTGTGGATGGACAAACCTGCAGAAGGAGAAGAAAATTGCAACATAAACCTTCTCAAACTAGTCATTACATTCGTGTAAGAGTAAACTTGTTAGTTACAAATGAAGTATTTCAATTTAAAAAAAACATGAGAACACAGAAACTCACAACTAAACGTGACAGAAAACTTCTCTAATTGGTGTGGACCGACCTTTGGTGCAGCGTATCCTCATGACGGCCTCAAAGCCAATTTTTCTTGTTAAATATCTTTTCAGATCCTTCTGGAAGCGCTCCACCTGAGCTGGATTATGACGATGATGGTAGGAGGGGTAGTAATAAACGCTTCCTGCAGAGTATCTGGATATGCAGCCTGGAAGAAACGAAAACTAGTTTCATTATTCCCTAATCGAATGAACCATTTGTTCTAAGAAATAGTTAATTCCTCACCAAGTGACGCCATGTCACAGTACTGAGCACTGAGCAAGAACAGGTCAACAGCCACCTGCTGGCTCGAGCAGTCCAAGGCCAGCTTCTTGTAGAAATCTGTAGCTGGGGAGAGGTGCTGGATGTCCTGAACAGAAAACACACAAACAATGAGTGCAAATGCTCAATATAACACAGCTTTACTGACGTCAAAATCATAATAATCTCATATTTAAGATGGCAAATGACTCAATTTGAGTAAAGCCTAAAGACTTCAGTGCATTTGTTCTTAAGCATAACCTGTCCTACCTTGGAGGATGCTCGCTGGTTGGGGTCCTCTCTGGACTGGAGCGCCCCTACACCCAGGTTAGGCAGCTGAGTTTGAAAGACAGACATCCGCCCCCCGGTGGGAGACAATAACTTAAAGGCTGCTTGCAGAGCTGAACCCAGAGCCGACTGGGTCTCCATCGTCTTCTCGAATAAACTTGGCAGGCTCTTCAGCAGGTCCTGGACAAGCTGAAACACAAACATCCACCATAAAAGGACTTTGCTTCCTTCTCAGTCACAAAAGAAAACATTTAAAATGACAAGTTCATATTTTTTATTATTAACCAAGGCACATTTCATACCTCCTTGCATTCATTGAGGTTTACTAGAAGGCTGTCTGGTGTTGGTAAAAAGATATCTGAGGAGCACACAAACAACGATTCTCACACATTAACAAATTTACAAATGAAGCGTGCAAACAGTGGATGTCAAGCTGCCATGCTAATGAATGTGTGGCTTTCGCCGGCAGCTGCAGCTCACCTTCAATGTCAGACACGATGAGCATCTGTGGCTGAGAGAGTCCCTCCTGGAGGTTATAGAAGTGGATGGTGCTGTCAAAGGTGATGAAGCCGACTTTTGTCCGCGAGTCCCCAGGGAGCCTGAGGGACACGTCACATAATCTCAGGGGTTAAATAAAAGTTATCAGGTTTCATTTGTGTAAATAATACCTAAAATAATCACTTATTGACACAATTATGATCATCTAAACTTTACTGACAGATTCAGTGTTAGAAATGCAACCAGACTGGGATGACCTAAGACTTTATGTTCTACATACGCATCGATGTTGTCCAACACTGACTGACAGAACACGCTCAGGTAGCCTGTCTCCACGGCGTTATGAGACACGTCCAGAACAAAGAGATAAACAGCAGGCTGTGGCGGCCTCAACTGGGGGAGGGAGGGGGAGGGGTGTTAGAAAACCAAAAACAAGTTTTTTTTAAATATAGAAAATATGACAGTTTCACAAAAACGCCTGCGCTGATAACCCGTACCATGTATTCTGAAGGAGCAATAAACTCAATAGTGGCATTCTGGACTTCGGGTCTTTTGTGTGGTTCTCCGTATGATCTGCTGACTGGGTTATACATAAACTCCTCTGGAACTGCACACAAAAACATTCAGGTAAAGTTTCATTTGAATTATATTTTTCTTATAAGAAACACACACACACACACACACACACACACACACACACACACACACACACACACACACACACACACACACACACACACACACACACACACACACACACACACACACACACACACACACACACACACACACACACACACACACACACACACACACACACACACACACACACACACACACACACACACACACACACACACACACACACACACACACACACACACACACACACACACACACACACACGGGACTGTCTCGGCTGTTATTTTTGTTAAGGAGTGTGCACGTACAGCATGCACACCTCGTACACGAGCTTACTTTTGAAGCTGCATTTACACGTTAGGCCTGAGTGGCGATCGCGAGCATAAAAACTTTAAACTTCCTTACAGTCCCTTTAAACTTAGGGATGCACGATATATCTGCATCAATATCTGTATCGACCGATATTAGTCATTTAACATATCGGTCCAATAAATAAAACTGGGCCGATATTAAAAAAACAATATATTTCCCATCTTGTTTTCATTTGTTTATCTGTTTCAGAGGGTGACGCGGGTGGTGATGTTCATTTGTTTAGTCATCATCTCAGAAGCATAAATGTGTATGGGGCGTGTGCATAATAATGTAAACTCAGCTTTAATAATATTCATTCTATAGAAAATCTGCTGATTTTAGAAGCACTCCTTTCAGTATATCGGTATCGGCAAATATCGGTTATTGGCCATAACAGTAATATCAATATCGGATATCGGCCCAAAACTTTCATATCGGTGCATCACTACTTAAACTTTAGGACAAACTACCAGAGTCCCAAAAAGAAAAACACCATTTGAAGTCACGGATAACAGAAGACATTTAGATGTAGAAAATGGCGACTACTTTTTAGCGCTCTCTGGTTTACTCTGGCAATGCGGGTTCATCTATCAGGCAGACATTGTCTAGGGATGATAGCAGATGGGAGGGGTGAGACTTCTGTGATCAAGTTTTAGTTTTTTTTTTTTTTTATCTAGCTTGTTTTGTAGATTTGCCATTGCAGCTTTAAGAAACATGCTGGAACCAGACTCCAGAGCCAGGTATCAGCTCCAATAGAGCAGCCTGCCACTCTGAAGTTGCAAATGTGGTACTCTGGCCACAGAGGGCAGTGGGGGTCTGAGTGACATTTCATTAACCTTGTAAAGGGTCATTTTAGCACATACTGGCTCAAGAAAATGATTAAAAAAATATGAAAATGTTGCAAAGTATGGCTTTAAAAGGCCTCCAGTCGTCCGTTTTCTTACCATCGTTGACTCGATAACACAGGTTGCACTTCCACCTTCTCTGGTCCAGGAAAGAGACAAAGGGGTTGATGTAGGTTCTGCAGGACCGACACCTGACAATGGTGCTAGATGTCACCACAGGAAGTTGCTGCATTGATGAAACCAAAGAACAAAACAACCCTTTTGAGAGAAGCAAACTCGTTTTCTTTATACGAACAGCGTTTTCAATAGAGACTTTATTTTTGCTGTCCAAGTAGCGCAGAACTGTTCAAACTTGTTTTTAATTGATGAAGTCACTCGTTGTGACAGAAGTTTCCTGAGGGTGGGGGGGTGTTATATAGTCAATGTTTACTAAAGAAATGAATGAAAAAAAGGTGGGAGGGCACAGAATAATCAATCCAAATGTGATGTAGCCCGTACAACTAATGAGCCAGTCTCAGCAATCTAAATTACGCGTTTTTATTTCTTTTCAGGCTGCTGCTGTTGTAATCTGGCAGAAACAAGATGGTTGAAGAGTGACAACACTTCTGCTAAATGTGTGATGAGGAAAAAGACTTTCAGCGAATGTTTTGGTTATTTCAGCTGTGTTGTGATCATGGTCACATTAACACAGTTATACGATTTAACGGTAAAAGCAAGGTTACATCAGCACCACCTGAAATATGAGAAGTATCTGACATAAAAACCACAAATCCCCCATTTTGAAGCTTGTTTGGATATTTCATTATTGATAGGTTTTGCTGTATTTTAGTGAGAAGTGTGTAATCTCAGGACAATCGCTTCTTTAGGAATCCAAAGCATGTTTGTTTTCAGATTGCAGTAAAACCTGCTGCTGGAACTAAAACGAATACAAGGAAGAAAAGCTTGTTTTCTGTTATTCCTTCAGTTTCACATCTTTACACTGATCAAAGTCAGCTTTATTTTTAGAATTTCTTTTGATTTAATACAATTTGTTTCCACAGAAATGAAGTATAACAAACTGCTGACAATAACATGTAAACAGATGAAGGTCAAAGCAGTTACCGAGAGGTCTTTGAACGGGTGAAGCAGCAGGCCCAGAGGCATCTTAGCTTTGTTGAGCAGAGCTTGGGTCTGAGGGATGCTGGTCAGTGTGGAACGAAAAACTCTGGAGGAGCAAAAACACATGCTTGCATTTATTATGAAGTTTAATGTGATTAACACATGTTGTATACAGTTTAATGCGATTAACACATGCTGTATACATTCATCAAGACTTACTCTGGACTGCAGTTCAGCTTCTGCAGGTCCTGGGGAAGGCAGGGTGTTGGGGCAGAAACTGGGCTTGGTGGCAGCAGATTTCTCTCTTGCAGGAGGTTGACCACCCTCAGAGCCTCTGGGGTGTTGGATTGGAGGCTCATGGCGGCCATCGATGGACTCAGCTGGGCTGGCCCAGGGCCGCCAGGGGGCTGAGGGAAGGTAAAACAATCAGTGCGTTTACATGCAGCCAGTAACCCTTTTAAAATCCGAATATTCACAATAACCCGGTTCCGCAGGTCCATGTAAACACCGCCAAAAACCCGGATATGCTCATAACCGGGTTTTTCAAAACTACTACTACTACACCTGGGGTAACCCTTTTCTAACCCGAATGTTTGGTCGTGTAAACGCATACCGGGATATCCCCATCAAAGCGTGTGTTCTGCGCATGCTCTGTTCGCAAGGAATCTTGGTCTTTTGAGTAGCGAGACGTCTTGTATGCGCCAGAAACCGGAAGTAAACAACAAGTTGGGAGCAAAATGGCGAGTCGCGGCACAGCACCACACTTTTGGAGTGACGAAGAAACTAAAGCGCAAACAAACGCGGTCGCTATCTCTTCCGAACTGGGAAACATGTTGTTTTCACTGATAGCAGAAGAAGAACCGGAAATGAGGCATATTGCGTCTGGACGTAGTCCATACGTCTCGACGCTACCCCAACGTCCGCATTTAAATGGGGTTATGCAAGTTAGGGGTAACTCTATTTATGCTTGTAAACGGGTTATTCTGATCAACTCAGAAACCCGAATACCAACCTTAACCCGATCATAACCCGGATATTGGCTGCATGTAAACGTAGTCAATAAGTTGGTGTAGATCATGTTCTGTCATCCAAGAGGCAGAATTTCTATAAAACTCTCAAATAGCTGCAGACGAACTAAAAACTCACAACCTGTTATAACTTCAGGTCTGGATGATGACTGACGGAACTGACTTAGTCAAAGCACACAAACTGAATCAGGTTTTCTTTCACCTGCTGGAACGGCTGAGGTGCTTGAGTGTAGGGCTGCGTAGCAGCTTGCATTGCTGGGTGCATGGGGGGGTTCACAGGGGGGGCTGAGGTGTTCTGGTATCCAGGGGGGAGGGAGGGGTAGTGACCCAAGTGTCGACCAGGTGGAGCAGGCTGTGTCGGGCCAGCTGGGGATCAACAAAAAAAATGGTTAGTGACTTAGAATAAATCCAACAGTCCCAGTAGCAAAGAGGAAAATATGGAGCCATCTTTAAAGGCAAGCTTCATAACAATCAGAAGCCTCTCCTCTCCTCCCAGAGGTACATCACTGTATTTGTCTAATTAAAGGGGTTTTAAAAACATGTTTGGTTAAGACAACTTTAGAATGCAGGATAATTGAGCCTTATATTTAAATAAGTGCAGATAAATCAACTGCATTGTTTTACTGTTGTGGCAGTGCAAGCTCTACCCAGTGGACAGCTTCGTCCCAAACATCATACATCATCACCTGCCTCTGAAAGGCAAGAGGCTGATTTATTTAAATGCAAAAGTGGCACCAACTCCATCAGGGAGTGGGGACGGATTGTTGGGCAACGTTAAATTATTAAGACAAGGCAGCTTTATTTATAAAGCACGTTTCATTCACAGAGGCAATTAAATGTGCTTGAGTTTTAGCATGAACTGCAAATGTTAATGGTTGAAACACAATTGATTTTTAAAAGAATAAGAAGCTCATCTTTTAAAATAAAAATGCATCTAAACACAAAAGGCAAAACAAAATTAAAGGAATTAAATATTTATTACAGCAGAATTAAAGTCTAAACACAGAAATTAAAGGAGTTGAACACTCATTTAATCGATGCATTTGCAGTGGTCTCTGGTAGGAATGAATGTCTTGCAAGTGCAGTCGAGGGAAAAAAAAGCCGAGAAGCACCACCAGCACAGATAATTCTGCTGCAGCAGCAGAGTGGCGGATCACAACATAATCTGGAATCTTATTTCCTGATATTTGGACAGCTTGCCTCAGGTTGGATAACAGCACCTCAACTCTACCACTGACTCAGCTTACTCTGCAACATGAAGGCTTTATCTCCATAAATAACAAGCCTGGAGGAGCTTCTGCCTTGTGGTTGAGTTGCTAATGCTAATGGTTAGCGTCTGCTAGCCGAGTCGTTCAATGCCGTTTCCTGGAGGCTAAAACAACAACATCCTTCCCTGCTGCGAGCCAAGATGAGCGAGTCCAAGCAACCTCTTGAAGTAGAGCAGTCAGGCTTTTCAAATCAGAGATTCAACATCTATCAGAAGCTAATGCAAGAGATAGGTGTAGGAGACTATTTTCATGTTCAGCCTGAATGAAAAACTCAGAGTGACTGATTATATTCAAAAATGATCATTTAAATAATGTTTTTTCAGTGTCCCACACATTTAAATTTTACAAGTTGTTGCTATAAACTTGTGAAAAACAGAACAGTTTTGCCAGCAGCAAGCTTTCTAAATACAAAACTACACATGGCAGAAAAAGGCCTTACCCATTCTGTTGTCAACATGATTATAGCTGTTTGCTGCTTGTGGGCCATTGCCAGCCACAGTTCCTGCATGAACACAAACACAAACACAATACAAGTGATTTACTGAGACAAACTACTTGTGACAGTCTGCCAAATCAGTGACAGGATGGTGAAAGTTACAGAAGAACACACGAGGGATAAATACAGCAACAATGTTAATGATGGAAACGTTTTGAAAAATCACATGGGGGTGCAGGTAAATGACAGATGGACCAAAAAATAAATAATAATCTGAACAGGGTTTCACGAACTTTGTTGAAGTAACAAAAGTGATGTAAGAAAAGAAAAACTATAGTGTGTTCTAGGGTTGTCACGGTAACCGGTATAGCGGTAAACCCCGGTAAAAAAGTTGACAATAAAAATAACCGTCCAGTTTTTAAAAAACTAAATTATCTCGGTGGGTTTACCGTGGCCGCGGTTTCGGCGCGATGACCCTTACCAGCCACCGTCGCTTCAGCTGAAGTTCCCGCGGCGCGCACACGCACTTTTTAATTTGCAACGGCACCAAAACTTTGAAGCTGAAATAATGGCCGAAGGAGGAGACGGCAGCGCCCAGGACATCCATCAGCCCTCAAAGAAGACTAAATCGGAAGTATGGGCATATTTTGGATTTCTGAAAAATGCTGAGGGACAGTTAGTAGAAGACGGCTATCCCGTTTGCAGAACGTGCAGGAAACAAGTGTCTGCAAAAGGCAGCAACACTTCGAATCTAACGGCACATCTGCGTGACCATCACCCACATCTCTAGAGCCAGTGCAAGGTAAGATAACATTAGCATTTTAGCTTAAATGCATGACGTGAGGACTTTTGGTTGAGGGAGAATGCAACGAGTCACTATATACTGCAGCCGCAGCGTCCTCTGCCAGCATTTAAACCGTGTCACGGACACCCTGTTGCTGGATGAAGCATCTTATTTGTTGATGATGAAGAGAAATATACAATTAGTTCCTTGTCATTGATTTGTTTACTTATTCAATGCCATTTATACTTGAACATTTGGATTTGATTACATAGTGTAGTAGTTATTTTAGTAATTTGTTTAAAGTGGCTATTTGTTTTAAATACATATTTTTTAAGGTTGACTTGTACAGTGCTCAAGTCAAGTGTGGACTGGAGTTTTAGATTTTCATTTTGATAATGAAGAAAACAAGTATATGAGAAAACAAGTGGTGTTTCTTTGATTTGTTTACATATTGTTTATGTTTTGAATGTTTGGATTTGTATAATTTAAACCTGCACTGACTACTGTAACACGTTCCAGAAAAAGAAGCTATTTGTTCCTTTACTTGTGAAAAGTTGCACTTTTGCTAAGGCTTTGTGTTATTTTAGGTTTAATAAACACTGTTAAACCTTTTCAGAACTATTTCAGTTTGTGTAGAACAGGACTATCAATGCTTTCTGAACATATGCAACACCGTTTAAAAAATACCGCGATAATACCGAAAACCGTGATAATTTTGGTCACAATAACCGTGAGGTTAAATTTTCATACAGTGACAACCCTAGTGTGTTCAACCTTAAAGACAATGAGAAACAGCACAGAGACGACCACAGCACTGACACAACATCTAACAGTCACTGTCACCACACAGCTAACGATTGGGTCACACCTGGACATTCAATGTCTCCTTCCTGGAAGTCGGGCTCAGTGGGAGGAAGGACATTGGGGACCACCCCCCCACACTGAGCTGGCATGTAGAGGAAGGACGGGAGGAGGGTGGAAACAACACAGTGAGGTCAGAAAACTTATGGATCAGATTTAAACCAAAGTGATTTATGATTCTGATCAGCACAGAAGGACTTGACACTTTATAAACAGGAAAGTAAATAAATGCATGTTCATCCAAACATAAGAAACGGACCATTAGTGTCACCATTAGGATTGAAACAAACCAAAAAACTAAAACTTACCATCCACATTGGGTGGTGGAGGTGTTGCACTGGCCACTGAGGTTCCAGTGGGAGGCAGCGTGGGTTTCATGGATGACGGTGGTCCTGTGGGTGGAGGCCCATAAGCAGGTCTAACAGGCTGGTATGCTTGGGGAGCCATCGGTGGAGGTGCGGTGCCTGGTGGGAGGAAATAATAGTAATAGTCAATTATTGCTTTTCTTGCTATAATTTATGGATTGTGTTTTATTTTATTTTAAAATGCCCCAACTATAAAGCGTGAGTAGAGGTGACGGCATCTGGTGGCACCACAAAGCCACAGTGAGCTAATGTCAAAGCGCTAAAGTCAAACACCATCCTCCTCTCTGTACAGAGAAACCTGATTAACCCGGATCGAAGGGGGCAACGGGTATATTTATTTCCATTTACAATTCCATGCATTTTTGCTAAGCTTGTTGTTGCTATGGAAACATGAAGATCAAAAAAAGTTTCAAAAAGAAAAAGTAAAATACAAAGAGTGCAAGACAACGGCTAAGGATGTCAGAGAAAACAAACCCTAATGTGAAAAATTATTAAGCTCAGAAAGAGTTATAAACTTTGATCATGTGACCTTTTGCAACTAAGAGGTGAAATCACAAAATTGTCAACTCTGTCACATTGTGGCCAGAAATAAAGCAACCAAATGAAACACCAAGACATCAGATAATAAAACCACTTCCTGCTGGAACACAAAAGTGACGCAAAATATCCATTTGTGTTTTTTTGTTTCCTGCATTAACATCAACCTAAACACAGAAACTATTATTTAAAGTTATGTCATGTTTATTGATCAGACTGGAAATTTAAAGAGCTAATCTGAACTTTGTACAAAGTTGGGAGTAAACTAGTTTCCGTGGCTGTGGGGCGAGCCAGAAGCGTCTATGGCAGCCAACATGTTCAGCATAGGAGCAGAGGGCAACGTCCAGCTCCAACATATCACAACTCTAGATATGCATATCTACAGCAGGTCGGGGAATGAAGGTAATTACAGGACTAAAGTCACGGAGTTTATGTTACCAAAGAACTGGGAACAATCAGGTGTTTATTATTTTTTTATGTGGTGTCTATTTTGAAATTCCTGTAGTTTTTACATAATAATGAACCAATAAATCTAAAATTAACACATTTGATTTTCTTTAAAAACCCAATTGAACAATTATTCTTTTTATTGGTATGACCCAGGAACTGTCTGTATTATCGCAGCCTGGTCTGTAAGAACTGATAATAGTCGCCTCACTTCTGAGAAAATGTCTTCCTTCAGTTCAAAGTGAAACATTGTTGTCGTGTATTTGGACAGAACAGAGATGACAAGTTTGACTCAGTGCAGCCTTTGTGTTCCTACCTGGTTGAGTGTATCCATGCATAGAAGTGGGGGGCAATCCAGGCCCTGAGAACTGGGCAGGCCTACTGGACATGTGGGGTGGGGGTGCAGAGCTGTAAACAGCTGCGGACTGTGGAGGTGGCCCAGCTAAGCCTGCAGCTTGATTCACGTGATTTGTCACAGGACCTCTGGGGGGTGTGTTCATGGATGGGGCTGGTCCCATTGGTGGGGTAGCTGCGTTGTACTGCCACACCGGGGCCATTGGCTGTTGAGGGTTTTGATAGTAGCTACTAGAAGACACAGCAGGAGGCGGCGGTGTGGCCTGTGCAGGGGGCATCCGAGGACCAGGGATGGGGCTGGCAGACAGAGGTGGGGTATGGGAGGGAGTAGCTCCCATTGGAGGCCTGGTCAACAGTGGGTGACCTGGAGAGGAGGGGTAAGAAGTTACCTGTGGGCCTGGCTGGTAAGAACTGATAGGGGGAATGGGCTGATATGGCCCAGAAGGGTAGAGACCAGGGCCAGGAGGTGCAGGAGCTTTGGCCTGCATTGGATTGTAGGCTTGTTGGTGATTCATGCTGTAGCCGACCCCTGGAGTCTGCTGCAGAGCAACTGGATTCTGTGTTGGACCTGAAGAAAAGTGAAAAAAGATAGATGAGTTACAACTACAAATCCATCTTAGGATATTTCATTAAATCTACCTAAAGATGTTTGGGATTCAGATGTATTTATTTAGAGCACACTGAAATGTTCCAGGAGTGCAGAAGCGAGTTATAATAAAGGCCAAGTTAGTAGTGACACAAACAAGAGTAAAGCACTCAAATCTAGCAAGTGCCCCAAAGAACTGACAGCCAAGAGTCTAATCTCTATACTTGCTTTTAGCTGAACATGATCTGCCTTCACAGTGGCAGTGTGTGTGCAGAAGCTCTGAGCCAAGTCTAACCCCATTTTACTGAACTCAGCTGGAGCACAAACAATAGGAAATGCTTCTGATTATGTATTTGTGGCAGCAGTAGCTCAGGTGGTAGAGCGGGTTGCCTCATGATCGGAGGGTCATGGGTTCTATTCCAGCTCCCGCCAGGTGTATCCTGCTGTTGTGTCCTTGGGCAAGACACTTCACCCAACTTGCCTGTGTTATGGGCCATTCCCATCTGTACCGGGTCGGCCCGGGCCGGGTAGCCCCAGTCGGCCCCAGCCTGGCCCGGTTGATTCCACACATCCTTGTCTTAAGCCCATGTGGGCTGATTCTATCCACCAATCAGAGGCTTGCTCTAATGGAAGGTGTGAATTTGCTGTCAGCAGTGGGTGTGTTAGCCCTGGTCGGCCTGAAGCAGACCCCCTCGAGAAGAGGGCTGAGAATGAGCCTTGGTTGGCCCGGAAAACTACCAGGCCACCCAGATATGTAAACAACCTACGCTACCCGGCCCGGGCCGACCCGGTACAGATGGGAATGGCCCATTAGTGGTGTCAGAGGGGCCGACGGCGCCAAATGGCAGCCTCGCCTCTGTCGGACCGCCCCAGGGCGGCTGTGGCTACAAGTAGCTTACCATCACTAGCAGTGTGTGAATGTGAGAGTGTGAGAAAGCGTCTTTGGAGGTCTTGAAAAGCGCTATATAAGTTTAATGCATTATTATTATTATTATTATTTATGCAACAGAACAACATGCTACTTCATTTTAGAGTACAAATGGTCAAACACCTTGATGCTGCATAATCTCATTAATGGCCAATACTTAAAAAGCTGAGAAGAAGATGTTGCAGACAGAATTGACTCTGAAATGAATAAAGGTTACCTACAAAACAGTAAATCTGAAACTCAGTGTGGAGCTGTTTGAATGACCTTTTTTGCTTTATGTAACAAGCTGCAATCAGTTATTTGGTCCTTCACAGTCACACTGCAAACAGCGGCAGAAAGAAATCAGTGGAAAGGAATTTGAAAAAGGTTTCAGTTAACCTGCAAAATCAGAAAAAGCAATCTAAACACCTTAAGCATCTGGTCACGGATGTGGTCTGAGGGGAAATCACCTACTACTGGACGTTAAAATGCAAAATAACTTTTACTGTTTAACGGGGGGAAAAACATAAATAGAAACAGATTTTAGAGGGCTCGTTAGCTCAAAACAGCTGCAGACACAAATTACATTTAAATACTTGAGTGTGTGACTATTTCATTTAAAGGTTTAAGAAAAAGTTTGCTAAGAAGTGATACCGGTTGCCTTTAATATCCCCTCCAGGCCATTATGGGATCATGTTGGAGTCGTGCAACCATTTCCAAATGACCTCCTTTTGATAAAATTCTTCTAATTAATCTTAGAATTAGGAAGAATGGAAAGACTATTGACTATTATTGACATGGAATGTGCATTTAAGAAAAGCAGCCAATTATGAGAAGATACCCCCGAGTCAACAGCATTTTTGTATTTAGCAGGTTTTATCGTTTTCCTTGTTGATCATTTTTACAGCTGATTTATTACTGTGAGCTCATTGTGCAATCAAATTACACAAGAGTTAATCTAGTTGACTCAGACATTTGGTGGGTAAAACTACATTTGACAACTGCATAATATTTTGATATAAAATCTGATTTACCATACTTGTTTGTGTGGTGAGAATGACCATTACAAAAGGTTTAACCTTGATCTAAGCTCAAAGAGCAATTCTCAGATTTGGCAAAAAGCTGCTTTATTTAAGGAAACATGTTTAAAAGAGGCAAAATGATGCATACATTTGCAGGTCTTTAGAGACTAAGTTGTTATAAACCACTAATGCATTAAGTTGCTCATTACAACAAAGGTATTTCACATAATTGATCTAAAAGGTTAAAAAATGTCAGCTGTTATTCACCATGGGTAGATTGCTTCCCCCCCCTAGTAGGTAACCATTGGAACACAGTAGAACATGTGAACGATCTCATGTAAATGATCTCCAACTGAAATCCTTGAGCCCTTTTAGGGTAAATAAAACACAGATTTTAACTCATCTGGATCATTCCCAATTTGCCACATGTACAGCAAACCGTAGAGCGGACAAAATAAAAAGCTTAAGAGCTAGATGAAAATTCCTTATTGCATTACAAACGCAAACACACTCACTGTGTGCTAAAAGTCAAACAGCAAAAACTCACAGGAGACTCATAAATAAGGGACAAGTTAAAGCCTGTAAATTCAGGCTCAACGAGACGCTTGAGGGGGGGGGGGGGGAATAATCTCAGAACTTCGGAAAAATATAACAATAAATGTGCTATATGCCCTGGGAAACGTCTAAAAGATCACATGCCTCAAACAGGTCATTAGACCAGCGAAACGTTCAGTTCAGTTTAAGATTTGCCACCTCGACAAAATCAAAACTAGCCACAGCTAGCTACGATTAGCTTCGTAGGTTAACAAACACCATACGATGGCGACTATTCTGGTCATTCTGGCAACACGGGTCAATATCAGTCATTGTCATCCTGGCGTTGTCATACGTGACAATTAACCCGTTTACTTTGCTACTTTGCGTTGTAACGTCACCAAGCGAGCCAGCTAAAGGGTAGCCACAAACGCAAACGCTACCACGACCTCAACATGAGAAAATCCATTTTTAAAATTATATTTAAAAGTTACTCACCGTTCGCGTACGTCTGTCCTGTCCCAGTTCCATTCTGAGAGTTAAACCCCGCTGTTGACATCTTGAAACAGACACCAGAATCTAAATTAGAGGTTCGTCTATAGCTAGCTTCCTAGCTAGTCGTCGCGGAGTGCAAACCTTAAGCTCTGACGATGAATCAAAACAGCACCTAAAGTAAAATACCCTATGGTTTTAAAAATGTTCTTCTTAAGGTGGTTTGTTCGCTATCACAGAGCCATGGTTATTACCAAAGAACCCGCTCAACTACCATCGGGCTGGTAACGACGGGCCTGGTCAGAGTAAATCGTGTAAGATACTTCTCCCCTTTCACCGGAAGTTGGAATCACCCAGCAGGATCAACGTAAAAATGTCTCAGGCATGCGCAGTGCTTACACGTGGCATTTCCTCCGGTGCACAGAGTTTTTTGTCTACCAGAAACAAGAGGATGGTAACATTATTTTTACACAATACACATTTTGTAAGCAAAACTCTATCCTAAACACAATCCTGGTTTAATAACGTCTTTTGGTAATGCTTGCCCATATAACAACTCACATTTAGGCACGCGAGAGTATTTTAAGGCTTGAACATGCAATAAATACACTCGTGAAATATTTTTCTTTTGTTATTAGGAGTTTGGTTGAGTTACACAATACAAAAATAAAAATATATAGATAACTTGATGTGTAATATATGGACGACAAACAAAAGGCAAGTTTAAAAATGACAGTAAGACTTTGTAAATTAGGTAAAATGATGATCATATACATTTTTTATAAATGCCACAAACAAATAACAATTAAAGATTTTTTGCGAGAAATAGTTATATTTGCACTAATTTAACATTTTAAACAGACAGCCTCTTAGGTTTTTACAGATGAGCTGTTTAGATGATGGCTTTCTAATCTTTATTTCCCTCCACACATTTTGATTGGGATTCAGGGTTGTACATTAGCTTGGGCAATTTCAAAATGTGATCAATTTTCTCCTTCCACGACATCTTTGCCAATTTACCTGTAAGGTTTGGATTAAGGCAAGTACAATATGAGAAAAACACCTAATTATAATGGTATTGTTGAATACTGCAACAATGCTTGTTGTAATTAAATCTCACTCCTTTCCTTGATCTTCTCAAGACACTCAATGGGATTTTGCATCTTGACAACTATTCTCTAAATTGAGTAGTGTGCACATTTAGAGCAGTGAGCATTAATCAATTGGGCAAAAAATTGAGGATATAGAATCTGTATGCATGAATACAAATTCCATATCCTCCATTTGATTTTGATAGCTTAAGCTTAATTACAGTCCTAGCAGTCCCAAACAACACATATTGACATGACAAAACATTTTTTGTATTATGCATAGCTTTATTTAGATCAATTTCATGTTAGAATGATTCTGAAGGTATCAAATTTTTTTTTGCAAACTTCGTGTTTTACCAGTTGCCCTCTATGATCATAATATCATTAACTTTATCAAAGAGCACTGCCTAAAAGAAACAAAGATAATTAGCCTGATCTTGGTCTACATGACTGTATCGATCATACATTGAGACACTTCAAGACATCCAACTACAGAATAAAAAAAAGTTTTCTTTTCTTGTCCAGGAAATTTCTCAAATTGATTTAGATAAGCTTGTGTGGCAGTCTAGTAGAAAATTGGTCACCATGAGCTTTGATGAGTAAGTGTGTTTAGTGTACGTATTTACTCGTAGATAGATATTCATGTGCTTCTTATACTATGGGTAAACCTTTTTACGTGATGATAGATATTTCAAAACAGGGAAGAAAGGTGTTAAGTTGTTTTACTTTTCTCTTGTTTCTGTTACTTTTGGTTTTGCTTATGCTTGAATATGTCACATAAGTAGGGTAGAGTTAGACTAGTAAAAACAAATTATTCGCTTTTAGACTGTAGGAACATTCAAAGGATCGAGTTTTCTGCCGGAACGCTGAGTGTGGAACATAGACCGGAAGCGGTTGGGCAGAGTTTAGGCAAGCTCTTGGACAGCCATTGCAGTGTCGTGGCTCACTAACAAAACACGAAAGGGCTGAGGAAGACCTGGCATCTTGCTGCCGCTCTCCTTTTTTTGACAGAGATTTAATTTATATGACTGTTGGAACGAACGAATTCGGCAGATCACTCTACATCTAAACAACAGGTAGGATATTTGGATACGTTTTTTCAGCAACGATCAAAAAGAGGAGTACGTTCGGCTTTTCAGCTCGCTACCCCGGCTGCTAATAATGCTACATTGGCATTGCTAGCAGCAAGTTGGCCAAGATGCTTCATTTCGACTTCCGTCAAATGGATTTAAACTAGTCTTGAATTTTTGTTATTTGTACTGTAACATTCTTGTTTAAAGTTTGACGGGAAACACTCCTACTAGCATGGATTGTGGTGACTCGTAAATAGACGAACTATTTTTCTAGCTAATTAGCTAACGAGGCTAGTAAGGAGCGATGAGACGTCGCCTACGGGATATGACACGTAGCTGGTTAGTTTCCTGCTAGCTTGTCTGTTAGCCGGTCTAATACAATAAATAAAAGCTGTTTCTCATCAGTTTTGTAATCCAACATTGTAGACTTTTACCCTGTATTCACATGTCGTACATGTTCTCATGCTGTCATATTACCCAGTTGTACGGAATGTCATCCAAAATGTGACTCGATCCTGCTACTACTCACTAATTAGGGAAGCTGTCAGGGAAAAAAAGACGTCCAAGTGTGCCGTTAGGCCTGTTAGTTACTCCGGGAACTTTTAGATTGCAATGATGACATTGCCCACAAATTTTCGTGTTTTATTATATTTTTTCTGTATCTAGTTGAGTAAGACAGCATCGATAAAACACGACATTTTTAGCAGTGTAAACATATTAACTAAATGTTTGGGAAATGCTTTTAACTAAACCGAAAAAGATAATTAATTTACAATTGCTGGATGGATCACGAAATGTACTTTTGACTAGTTGAATAATTCAAATGAAACAATTAGAATCTTCAACCATACTTATTTGGTTTTACTCAGTCATTGCAGCCTACACAGGACCAATCATTCTTGTAAGACTTGTCTTAAAGATAGTTTTCATCGGATGACAGGGGTGGTAATTACTGGATACACTAATCAAATATTATCTAGTTTATTTGCAGGATCCTGGATTCACATTTACACCATAGCTTTATTAAAATAAAGTAACTAGAGTTAAGCTGTCATGCTGTAGGTTTTTTAAAAATTTTTAAACCAGGACTTACTTTTTCTAAACCATTAAAGCACATAAGAAACAGTAAGACTATTAAGATATTTTTGATTTGACCAAACTCAAGATATAAGAAATCAAAACATCAATTGTTATTCAAAATAAAACTCTCAATTATGCAAAATAGACTTCTAAATGCTGTTTTCTGTATATTCTGGGTGTGCAATATTCCTTTTTCCCATAACCTGTGTTTTTGTTTCACTAACCGGTGCATCACGCCACTTGAGACCAGCCGACGTGTGGCTGAAATGCATTTTTAGTATTTGCCTGATCTTGACCTTTGTCTACCTTATACTTTAGCCCAGAAGTTGTTTGCATGTTACGCAAGAAGGGCTATAGGTCTATTTAGCTCTTCGTTACCGTGAATAAAAGGTAAAAAAGAAGGTGAAACTGGAAACGTAGTTTGTTTTAATGGGTCAAAAGTTTCTCCTTACTTTACTTAGAAAAGGGTTTTGTTTTATTGGTCCTATTAAGAGTATTATATCATGTTTAACCATTGCAAAACGCACAAAATTCACAACAAATCAGCTAAAAACTAGATATGGTTAAGTTTTTCTGTATTTCTAAGGGTTTGTGACAGATGATATGTAATCAGAATTCTAAAACTTCATTTCTGTTTTCTGACCACTTCTACCATTACAAAAAGCCATTCCTTGGCTGTAGAAACTACTCATTCTTATCACCAGTTAGTATCTTTCAGATAGGTTAAGATGAGTGTCATCACATGATGAAGTTACTGTGATTAAAGATGCAAATACTGAAGTATTTTGAGAGCAGTCATCTAGCTGAGTTGTTAAAATGTCCAACTTCAGTTGATGTCGAGTGTTTGGCGCATTTGTTGCACTATTCTAAGCTTAATTCTTACCGCTAAAAGGAGGTTAGAGGGTGGGGTAAGGGAAGGTTGGAAAGTAAATTAATATTTATGCACATGATAACTAATAGGTCAAAGCCAATTAGCATAAATGTTTTCACTCTGTCTTATTTTTTCCTTGTTTTTGTTTTTCAGAATTCCACAGGCCCGGATATGTCATTCCTATTTGATTGGATTTATAGCGGTTTCAATAGCGTATTACAGTTTTTAGGTGAGTACTGATTCTCCACCACACTGGATTGCCATAAAACATTAAATCAACACTTTTTGAAAAAATAACATTATTTTGATGTGAAGCACATTATGTTTCAGTGATATTTTTATGAATCTTATCACTGTTTTGTTTTATTTTTTAAGTTTTGTATGGAGCTTTATACCTAGTCATTTATCTCAGGTATGATATTGGAATGATTCTAAGGTATTTACTCCACACGTGACTTAAATTAGTTTAAAATGACTCAGCATTTGTGAGTAGTGAAAACAAAGAAACATTTAAGTGCAAAGGACTGATTTGAAAGCTGTAAAATGTGTCAGTAGTTCCTCTCCCCAGAGTGTTCTGCTCTAGTATCTGTGTTGGAGCTCCATGTCACCGTTCCTGTTATCCCAGTTTGGCAGGTTGCATCGGGCTGCTATGAGTAATGATGATGATCAGTAGAGCTGACTCAGTTAAAATTTTTACAAATCCTCTGGATACCACTCTGCTGACTCAGACCGTTAAACACAGGCCTAATCAAGACAGTTGAACAAGGAGTGGCCGTAGTTTGTTTTCCTTTGTTTTGTGTTTAAGCAATCAATGTGCATATTTGAGAGAAACATCCATTAAATCCCAATTTTATGTAAAAGCTGGAAGGACAAGAGTTGGAACAGGATTCATATCTTAAATGTATGAAATGGCAAATCTCATCAGCTTGATCACCAAATGATGCTCTGAAATTTCTGCTCATTTAACAAGATAACTGATCTTTGTGATCCTTCATGTAACACTTTCAGGGATTTTTATTTATTTTTTTGCAAAAGATGTCAAAGTTGAAATTGTGAATTAATATAAATAATTTTATTGAGACTGCTTTTTTTTTAGTAAAATCACACTTTTTTTCATACTTTACGCAATGGATGCAAGGAAAATACCAGATTATGCATCACTTTGACTGGGTTTGCAGCAAAGAAGATAAACACTAAAAACAGTTGCTGGTGTGTATAAGGTTGCGACAGCTGTAAAAACACCCCCCTCGAAATAAACAAGTTGTGTATTATTGCTATATTTTCTTACAGAAACCTGTTAAAAGGGTTGTAGAATTTAAAACCACATAAGTTTTGAGTTTAGGCAGCTTGGCTTGTCTAATGTACAATACCAAAACGTCTCAGCCATTTCTGACCTGCTTTCCTATAAAAATGAATAATTTTGTAATGGCCACGGAAGACTGGTTAATTCTGGGAAAGCTGGTAAAACACATCTTGGGCATGAACACACACCCTAAATTAGCATGTCCCAAACCACTTAAACATCCTCAAATATATAAAGCTTGGTTGCGGTAACGCTAACCACAGATTAGCGCTAGCCCAAGCTACTGCTATTGTCATTTTTAAATTAGAGGGAAACAATAAGGAAGAATATTGGAACACATATGTAACATTCCAGGATGTACCCGGAGCATCCAGATTTTGAATGAATGCCAGAAAGATTCATAGCTTGCCCATTGAGTATTATGGATACTCTAAACAGCTGAATAGTTTCTAGCTTCAGGCAACATCATAAGGCATGTTTCTATTGTCAGATCTTAAGGGTAATTTCTGGCAGGGGGAAATTGACCAGGAGATATGATGGCCCGGTCCTCTCGACTGTTGTCGCCATGCAAGTTCAGCTCTTTCAGAACTTTGCACAGACGCTAGCATATCACGACTGCTTCAGCAGGGATTGATGTCACTGATCAGTGCCAAAAAGCGTCTACAGTAACATTCATAACATTAAAAGTTTTATTCTGTCGAAGTATCATAATTTAATCTATTTAGAGAACGAGAGCAGCTGTGTGATGTAAAATGTGGCATTCAATGACCAGAAGGAGCTCAGTTTTTTTTTACGATGCTCCGAGACAACAAAATCCCACGAATTACGTTGTTGTGGGAGAATTTCACCACATTTTCCAGTGTTGGGAGCTTAGTAATGACAATTTCAAGGCAGTGTGGTCAGTGCTATTTTCTTTTGCTTTCATTCTGCTTCATAAGCAACCGCCGGTTGTTTTGGTCGATGTCTGCTGATGTCATTTCCTATTGTGTTACAATCAACATGGGTTAGCCAAAAGTTCCCCTCAGCAACTCCATCGGGCCATTCCGAGTACCTACCACTGATCAGTTGCTTCCAGAGTTTCTGGAAAGGGCCCGGAAAACCAACAGTTTGGCCTGCCTTGTCAAGTGGAGACACGCACAAGCTGGGAAGTTCTTATAAATTGAAAAAGTTTCGACAGTTATAACGCACCTGTAGAGCCATTAGGGTAAATCAGCCAATCAGCACGCAGGTAATTGAATATTTGTGTCCTGGCTGAGTAGGTGGGGTAAATCAGTCTTTTCATTGTATAGTTTAATTATGGGGTTGTATTTGGCCTTTTATCAGGGCTCCTGGACCATTGTGAGCCCCAACATTATTATATTCTATAATAAAAATAATACAGAGGCTAAAACAACAAGTTCCAGATGTAAGCACAGTTGTTGTAGGATCTCTTTAAATACTTGTTTAAGTCATGTTTCTGAAATGCTTCTGGTTCTTACTTTAGGACTGTACAAGAAGTCCGGCAAGTTAGTATTTCTTGGCTTGGACAATGCCGGCAAAACGACGCTACTGCACATGCTCAAAGATGACAGATTGGGCCAGCATGTGCCAACTTTACACCCAAGTGAGTTGCTGCTTTGCTGTCACGCATGCATGTTCACACAGGAAAAATGATTTGTGCTGACAAATTCAGGGTTGTTGTGAATGTATTTCACTCATTCTTCTTCTTCTCTGAATTATTTTCTACAGCGTCAGAAGAGCTGACCATCGCTGGCATGACTTTCACCACCTTTGACCTCGGAGGACACGCACAAGGTGTGTTTTTATAAAGGACATAACATCGGTTTTCTGAGATACCTTAACTAGTCAGAACGTAAAACATTGCTTTTGTTGGTGTTTGCAGCTCGCCGAGTGTGGAAAAACTACCTCCCTGCCATTAATGGTATCGTCTTCCTTGTGGATTGTGCAGACTATCAGAGACTGCCGGAATCAAAAACAGAACTTGACGTGAGTGACTTTTAAATAATTATCTGTGCTGCTTACATCAGCCCCCCTACTGCAAACCACAATTTTTCAGGAATAGTTTTTTCCAAAACACCGCCACACCAGCCTCATTCTTAAGTAAAAAGTTAGTGACAACAATTTAACCAAGACTCATGGGATCACAAACAAAAGCTACAAAGTTTCTGTTCAACTCTTCCAGGCGTTAATGACAGACGAGACCATCGGAAACGTGCCCATCCTAATCCTGGGCAACAAAATCGACCGGCAAGAAGCCATAAGTGAGGAAAGGCTGAGGGAAATGTTTGGGTTGTACGGACAGACGACAGGAAAAGTGAGTCGACGAAACAATCTTTCTGTTTTTAATCGTCTCCTACAATTTACATAAAACAAGTGAAATCGCTCATTGCAAATCATGATGCTCTTTTTTTTTTTTTTTTTCTCCTCAGGGAAACATTCCCTTGAAGGAGCTGAACACAAGACCGCTGGAGGTGTTCATGTGCAGCGTATTGAAGAGGCAGGGCTACGGCGAGGGCTTCCGCTGGCTGTCCCAGTACATCGACTAAAGCGGCCAAGCCCCCCTGCCAATAACGCATCGCCATCACCATCGAGAGGGCGCCGAATCCAACCACTCCGAGTCGCCCACCATTTCCACCGTCATAACTAGCCCCATGTTCGGTTAATCACGTCTGCCGCCCATCTCCAGGAAAATCAGTACAACTCGATCCCAATAGACTTTTATTGGTCGAACATTTGGCTCTGCACTTAAAGCATTCATACATTTAGGCTCACCTCCATGTTAATTGTCTTTTTTTGTTTTGTTTTTTAAGAGAGTAAACAGCATTGGCTCCACAGCAGAGGGTGTTCACGTTCAAATGAATGAATGAATTTTTTCCATGCTGTTTGTCGTTTGCTGCCCTCTGTCACTCTCTTCCTGCCATCTGTTGAGTGTGAAGATAGATGCATCATAACTGTAAATCTGTATATGAGTCCATTGGTATATCAGCGATCCTCTAAGGCCCTCCCCCTTCTCATTGAACCCATCTGGAGCAAACGAGTGACCAACATGGCTGTATACATTGCGGTACACTTTTTTTTAACAGTAAAGAAATCCATGCATCATTGTATTTAATCGCAGCATTTTTGGTTTGTCTTTTTTTTTTTCTCCCCTCCTGTCTTTAAGATGGTTTGGTAAGTTAGACACGGCCATGTTTGCAGCAGATGTTTGGCTGTTTCACGGATTTCTAAGAACGGAGCATTTATCCTAGTGTACCATAAATTAGATCCATATATTTTGTGGAAGTTAACCCACTTTGGTTCCAGGCAGAGTGGCTCTGAATGGATCCAAATTGTCAGTAAGCTCCTTTTAAACCGAAGCATGGTAGTTCTACTGGGGGGGGGGGGGGTATTTTTAATAGGAAATAATACTGGCTAGAACTCTTGTGTAGATGGCACAAAGGTCAGTTGATGCAAAGATTTGTATTTAAAAGAAATAAAACTTTGCAACAATGCCATAAAAGATGAGGGGAGGAAAAAACAGACGTTTTTAAGATCTAGTAGTCCTGAATATTAGTCATACAGCAGTTTGGAGTCCAGACCAGGGACATGGTCCCCACAGTGGAGAAGGGTAGAAGGAACCTTTAAGAAAAGGGACCATATATGAAATGTACATGAACATCGTACATGGATATTTGTATTTATGAGTGGTATCCTTTGATCTATGTGCATTATCAGGAACTATTATGCATGCCTTGTTCTTTTGATTTTTATTTTGTTTTGGAAGACCATTACAGGAGGGGAATTGATGCCAAAATTAAGAGATTGTCGTGTTTTTTTCTCTCCAGGAAATGATGAACTCACATAATATACTTTCTCTGTCCCTGTCCCTTTGTGTCTCTTACATTCCCTCATAACTAAGCGATGAGCTGTCCCAACATCTATGGGACTTGCTGTTAATTTACAACAATTAAAAAAATAAATGTTTGCAATGAACAATGGGCTTTAAAACTGATCTTCAATGCAGACTGAATTTTCGGTTGGTTTTAGTGAAATTGATGGAAGACTCATTTATTTTGTGAAAAATTTGAGAATGTCTACAGCGGTCTGGTGGTGTACTATGGTTACAGGAAATTTTACACTTTTTAAAAATATACAATGCAAACAAGTTAAAACCAGCTACATATTAGCTTTTTGTGTCTAATAAGTATAAAAAGTAGCTTAACTGCAGGGCTGCATGCTGGAGAAGTTGGTAGTGCCATTTCCTGGCAGCAAGAAGGTTGCAGGTTCAAATCCCGACTGTGGTCTCCAGATGAATAAGCAATTAAGAAAATGAGCGAGTGAGCCCAAATGCAGAAAAGAATATTTGACAACATGTCATTTATACTGGTCTTAAAATTAAGTGACATGCATGCAATTGAAAATAAACATAAAATGCATAAATAAAAAATGAAGTTCTATGTTAAAGGGGACATGTTATGCAAAACTCACCGTTTGCATTTTTTGTGCTGCTGTGTGGGTTTCTACTGCCTCTATTAACACTTCAAACATGAATGAAACCCCTCCGTTTTCTGTCAATGTTCGGTTTTAGGTATTATGCGCCTGAAACAAGCTGTTTCAAAAAGTCCCTGCTTGTGATGTCACAAATGGGGAAAGACCGATAGAACCACCACTTTGCTCCTCAGCTTATAGCAGTCTGAGCAGGGGGTGTAAACATGTTTTTTACGGACCGTTGAGCTATTATAACTTAGAAAAATCTTAATAAGCCTTTAATAAAATATTTTCCAAAATCCCAATATGGCAAAATTTTGTGATTGAGCTTTTTACATGGCTGCTGCTTCTATTATACATCTTAAAAACTAAACAATCATACAATAGATCACACAGCAGAATCAACACTTGTTTATGCATTCAGTTTACATTTGTGGAAGGAACATGATATATTGGATAATTCCACCATTGTGTGAGACAAATGGGCACCTTTTTTTCTCAATTTAACAGCTGACAAGAGCCCATAATAAACTATTTGTGTGGTGTTATGTAACAGTTGTGTAATACAACTTTTAACTACATGGCTCCACTGGGTGGCGCACACGACACACAGAAATTACTCAAAAGTGAACTAAATTTATAGAAATAAATAATTAGGCTTTTAGAAAAGAAGAGCGTTAAAGTTAATGTTGTAATAACCACCTCTAAATAAAAAGGGCAACTGAAGGTTAGTAAAAAAAAAAAAAAGGTCACCATCCCCTCATAATAAATTTTCTGTTAATTTAAATGACGTTTGAATATTCAGATCATTCTACTAATTTATTTCTACTCTTAATTTGTAAAAGGAACAGTGATTAAGGAAGACTTAAGTGTTTTATTCAATATCACATTTTTGCCTCATATTTAGATTATAAATCTGTCATCAGCTGAAATTCAGGTCACAAACACTTCTCTGAATGCAGGTAAAGCAGCCACATGACAGTGACAGGAAGTAGGCTTCATTACACCACGTTGTTAGCAGAAATGAGAGCACGAGATGTGAGATAAGAATGGGAAACGTTTGTTTTCATCAAGTTCTCATGAGAACTAATGCTGATTGTTTTTGGACCTGAAATGTCAAACAGCCCACAGCGTGCTCCACTTGTGGTGGTGTATTTATTACGACCTCATGTGAACTTTCTTTTGACTTATTCATTAAGAGTTTTCTGCATGTCTGAGTTTTTAATCCTGAACAATGCAATTAAAGCTTAAAGTGACAATGTGTAGTTTTTACCATTAATCTCTGGAAATATCCATCAAAATGTTGTAAATGAATTAAAAGATGCCCATTTGATGAAAAATATTGGGTTTCATTACATATAACCATAGAAGTCTGTTCTAAAATACATGGAGCAAGTCTAAGGGTGTTTCTTAATGTCAAGGCGCCTGGCCTTGCGCCTGGGGTCAGGTGCCTTGCTTATGAGGACACTGTCCTTCCTTTGTCAAAGAAAACAGTTAAATTGAACAGACTTGCATCACGTGACCGCGGCTTCCACGGCGGTCACGTAACGTCACGTGACACGGGAGATAATGTTATATTTCATACTTATAAGTTTTAATATAAATATTTAACGAGCCTTTTACTTTTTAAATTGTGTATATTTGTTAAATTGAATATATAAGCGAGTTACTACCCGCTAGCCACCGAAGCTGCAGCAACTAACCAACCAAAAATTATTTCGTTGGATCTAAAAAAAAAAACAATTTTAAATTAGTCGACTTACTTTTAACCTTGCAATCATTTAGGTATGTACTGCCCCCTATTGCCAGGGAAAATACATACTTTCACTTTAATGGATCAAATAAACAACACTGCAACACAACCGAAAGGATTTTATTTCAGCTAGAAGAAGCCTAAAAGAGAATTTGGTACCTCTGAGATTGATTTATTTTAATCCATAACGGAAAATTTCCAACCCAGCAAATAAATGTTAGATGTGAAATAAACAGGTTGATAAACATGATATAATTAAAGATAAATCCATCCATTTATTCATTCTCCTCCGCTTATCTGGGGTCAGGTTGGGGCAGCAGCCTAAGCGGGAGGCCCAGACTTTCCTCTTCCCTGCCACTTGGGCCAGTTCCACTGGGGTAATCCCAAGGCGTGCCCTGACCAGCTGAGAGACGCAGTCCCTCAGGCATGTCTTGTGTCCTCTCGGTTGGACATGCCCGAAAAACCTCACAAGGGAAACAGCCAGGAGGCATCCTAATCAAATGCCCGATCCACCTCAACTGGCTCCTCTCGACGTGAAGGGGCAGCGGATCTACTCTGAGCCCCTCCCTGATGACCGAGCTTCTCACCCTATTTCTAAGGGAGAGCCCAGCCACCCTGTGGAGAAAACTCATTTTGGCCGCTTGTTATCTGGGATCGATTCTTTCAGTCACTCCCCAAAGCTCGTGACCATAGGCGAGGGTAGGTATGTAGATCAACCGTTAAATCTAGAGCTTCGTCCTCCGCCGCAGCTCTCTCTTCACCACAGCAGACCGGTACAACGCCCGCATCACTGCAGACGCAGCATCAATCTGCTTATCGATCTCCTGATTCATCTTTACCTCACTCGTGAACAAGACCCCGAGATACCTACACTCCTCCACTTGAGGTAGGACCTCGTTCCTTAAGATAAATTTATAATTTCATTGCAAGTCTATAAAATATTTTATTATTATGAATATTGACAGAGTTCTGCACTGTGTCATTATCTCTTCCTCTGCAGTCACACAACATGCACATGTCCCTTTAACGTACAAATGTTTTGAGCGGGACCTATAACTATAATTTTGTTTGTTGTTATATAATATATTTAAAAAAACAACTCATATGAAATGATGCTCTCTTGTTTGAAATTTAGATTAATATGAGACAACTAAACTACCTCAATTTGTAACAAATAAATAAATAAAAATAGATAAATTAATAAAAGTTCTTAGCAACTGCAGAAATTGTAAAATGTAAGAAGGCATGAATTCAATGTTTGAAAATAATCACGTTCTCATTAATGGTGATTTAAAATCCAAATTGGAGGAAAAATGTTATTTTCTATAAATGGTCACAAAGAAACCCCATTCTATGAACATTTATTTATTTATAAAAGAAAAGTGTTTTATTGTAAGACAGAAAAAACTCGTTAAATAGTTATATTGTTTCTATCTCTTTCGCGCTGCAATAAAAGGCAGGGTGTAAATGCTGTGCTTATTTTGCACATCCCATTGTTTTTAGTTAAGTTTATACAGCTGCGTAAGAATGAAACATTTATTATGACATAATCAGGTTGTAAATACAAAGTGAGAAAACATCCCACCACTAGAGGGCAGCACAAGCTGAGGTTCACTTCTGCTTCTTTGGTTAAACAACACAGGAAGATAAATCCAGAAAGGTGAAATAATGTGTTTTAGTATTTATTAAGCCTAAAGGTTAATATTTCTGATTATGATAATGGCAGTTTATGTTCTTTTCTTAAATCAGAATTTGGCACAATAGTTGTTTGTAATTGGATCAAATTATTTTCTCTTTTCCCCACAAATTAGTTTAAGATAAACAGTTGGATGAAGCATTCAACTGTCCTATTCTCTTATACTTGCATTTTTTTTTACTATTTATTTTATATTTGATAACTAAAAAATTTATAAGCTGTTTTTTTCTGTTCTTTATCAACCCATTTGGTTTGGAAAGATCAGTGTAGTGACATAATCTGTTCTTCTTATGATAAGTTTGATGTAACAAACTTCTAAGGCATGTTTGAACAATAACAACATTAAACGTGTCTGTTTGTGGACAGATCGAAAAAATGATCATTCAGGGCTTTGTGCACGTCTTGTTCTTTTAAATTACTTTCTTGTTTTTATTTAGAAGCACTTCAGTCGTTAGCGGATCAGCACAAAGACACCAACCTATCATCAGAACAGTTCACAGAGTAGTCATCCAAATGTTTCAGCACTTATTAATACCGGGAATTCAGATTAAGTTTCTGGATTGTTCTTTTTTCAGAGAGACCGAATGAGCTCACAAACCTTAAGTAACATGACGCAACATTGTAATGATGAATTATTAAGCTGTGATTGTGAGTCACATGGGTTTGGAGCAGACTCACTGTCTGTGATTTAACAATATTATCTGCTCTGATTGCTGCTTCATCATTAACCGGGTTTGTCCTGCAATGTAACCACACTGATCCCTTCTTGTCTGTTCGGTGCTTAAGTGTGTGTCTTTCCGGTGTTTTCATGTAACAATGTATTCATTAAAACCCAGCTTGTTTTGTACATGGTTTGTAATAATAATAATAATAATAATAATAATAATAAATGCCATAAAGGAACATTTCGGTTTTGCAGTATCAGTTAGCTTATAATAAAACTGTTGGGGTGATTTCATTTCAGAGCCTTGGAGCAAGAAACAAAGGTTAATTAATCCACTACTTATTATTTTCTATTTTTGGAGTCTTCTTTTTTGTAGCCTCTAGTCTATTTCCCAT